CTAAACCGTAGCTTTCGCAACCGCTGGCACATCACTTGGCTAGCCATCTGAACCTGTGTTTTTTCTGTGGCCTTGTTTTGCCTGTGATGCATGGCTCAGCCACCCAGTTTTTGGTTACGTCTACATTCGGTCTATGTTACTTTCGGATTTGTAAATTATACCATATTATTATCGGTAAATTAACTATAATTTAATTATATTATATTTAATCTTATTTTTATTTTTACTATCCTACCGTCTACCTACTTACCGACCTATTTACCGACCTACCTACTAACCTACTTACCTTACCTATCATCTCTCTATCTGGTATTTGTTTGTTCCAATAATTCATGTACACTATATATTATTATCAGCCCCAATCGTATAACTAAATCTACATAGGGTAACATATAGATACGGTTTCTGTCAGTACCCGTCCCCACTTTCTAGTAAACAAGGCGCCTGAACCTCATAACGACCGTATAGTACTTCGTCTCAATAACTTTCAGCCCAAAATTTTCATCAACTTCACCAACCGTCTCAATATATTTATCCATAATTCCCCATTATCGTATTAAAATAATTCTTTATTTCCTTAAATCCATATCTTAAATCTTATATTATAATTATCTTTCGGTTTACTTTATACTACATATTTCGTATTATTATTTTTTGTTCAATACAGCGTTCCTGTTATAATTCCTATATTTAGTTCAAGCTTTCGGCAATATTCGGCATTATAAAATTTATTCAGAATTCAAAATCCATCCAAAATATCCAAAGTCCAACACCCCTATAATAATTCAAATTATTTAATATCTATAATTCTATAATTTATTAATCCAAATTTTTCATAATTATATTATATTTTATAATTATTTAGTATTTTCCCATCATAAATAAATAAATTACCGACAATTCCAATATATATATATATATTTTTTTATTAATATTTATTTTTTTAATTTTATTAAATTATTAATTTAATTATTTATTATTATTATTTTTTTAAATATAATTTTTATATAATAAAATTAAATTATTCAATATTTTTCAAAATTTATATAATAATTTAAATATTATTAAAACCTTCGAAAATATAAAATAATATAAATTCAAAAAATATTTATTTATATTAGGTTATATCCAAATACAAAATTAATTATTTTAGACGATATTTTAAAAGGCAGAAAATATAATTTTTATTTCGGTTTTTATTTCGGTATTTTAGATAATGCGTGTCCCGCTCTCGAACACTATGAAATAGTTAGGGTAATTGTGGCTAGCTGATCTGGCAATACGGAGAATTACTTCCAACTCCTAGAATCCGGACCCACAAGAATGATATAAATACATGACAACAACAATAGTCTAAAAAACCATGAGACGGGATCATTTCAGTGGCAAGCTTGTTATTACAGCTTTGATCGTTCTCCCATGTGGCTCGCCAATACCCTAACCACACGTGAGTTGGTCAAAATGGCGGGCGCAATCGAGAGAGCATGCTATCTAAGAAAAAGGGTTCGAATGGCTAAGCTAGGTTTCAAGAAAAGAAGGCGAAAAGCAAAACACCTGGGAGAACACCTAAAAAGGAAACCTGAGCTGCGGACCATATTTGTTACATAACGCAATTAACGGGGTGTTCCTACCTCGTTCTCCAGTCCCGTAACGTTTTTGCCTACCTCGTTCTCGGGGTGTTCCTACCTCGTTTTACAAGCTAAATACAATGTTTTTAACAAACCGGGGTACTTCCGAATACTACTTTCCATATACGCAAATAAGAGCCGTCGCTCAATATGCCCACTGTCAGTCGTACGAAATGCCTGTTCGACCTTTTTAGGACTTCCACAATGGCACCGAAATAATCCGAGAATTTTGGAATTTGGAAAAGCGGGAAATTCTGTAATAGCAGCCTTTTTTTTTTGGCATTTTCATTTTTCGGAATCCCATGACAGTCCCTCGATTCTCGCCTGGTTCGATTCCCCCAAGGTTTGTCCCGACCTCCTGCGAACTGCGAGCTATTACCCTTGCTTGCCTTGCTTCTGTGGTCTTTCTAACACGCATCTCTGCGAGACTGCCCGCTTGCTGCACCCGCGCGCTATTTTGGGGAGCTTCTTTGGGACGCGGCTTTGTAGCAATAAAAATAAATAGTATATATATAATATAAATTGTGCGGCTGGGACCTCTTCCAAACATCTCCGCAGGATGTGCCTTCTACGAATGACATCTGGATGCAGGCAGCGAGAAGCTGTTTTGCCTATGCCTGTGCTTCCTTGTCTTTGTCTGTTCAACAGCTTGAAAAGGGCACTTAGTTTGCAGTTCGCATTGCCAGCATTGCGGCATGCACAAACATGCACACGCAACTGAACCATCGATCGAAAGCGATCACTTGATGACTTTTGGGTCAGATTGCGCTCAGAGTCCAGGTTTGCGGTAGATGAAGACAGGCCTTGAACACTTCGGGTGGCTGAAAGATTTGGGATCGAAAGTCGCTATCCACATGAATCTGACCAACAATATGTTTTCCACAAATTCCGGTGGTGGTTGGAAGTTTACTCCTTGAGGTCCGCTCGTGTTGCCCGAGCCAACAGTCCGATACAGAACCTGCTGTGGAACGCGCTCTCCACAATAAATGCAAGGCGATTGCAGTGGATCGATTTGAAATCTAGTGGCCAGAACTTTTACAGGACACATTGGACTCACCAGCCAGGTGGTGCAGGATTGGATAATAGGATAGAGCTTTTATGTAGCCACAGAAACTGAAAGTTTAACAAGCTGAAGTGATGCACTCAATCCCACCGCGGCCTGACGAATCAAGTGCAGGCCACTTCTAGAAGCATCTGCTACCAAAGGTCTTCCAATGGAGGCAATGCGGGTTCCGGGCTGCGTCCTGACGGCTTGAGATGCGGACAAAACTTTTTGAAACACCTCGAAACTTGGACAACTTTTCCATCTTCTGTCATCTTTTTGAAGGCGTACCGGCAACAAACCATTGCGCTCATAAGTCACGCTGCGCCTCTCCAAGCCATTGGCGACTTTCTCCACCCGAACATCATCCAGCGCTTCGCCGCTGACCAGAATTACGCTAGCCTCCATCGGCCGAAGACTAGTTTCCAGGGTGGTATGTGAAAGCAGCAAACCCCGTTAGATAAAAAGTTGTGAAGAAAAACAGGGTGGGGTGCTTAGGGCGTCACCAACTGGCAGTCTTGGGCATTCCAACAGGTAGCCACACCAACCTGCCTGCGGCCATTCAGATTCCATCTCGAAAAGGCTGCCCTGGTGAAGCAAAACACGCTGCTTCACCTGGCAAGGAGCCAAGTGCTTAGGCCAAGAAAACAAAAAGCGAAGTAAATCCCACTGAGTGGCAGCTAGTTTGAAAGATTGAAGATCCGAGGATCGTTGGCGCTCATGGTTGTCCGTTCTCGAACATCTCGGGGGCGCAGTATGCTTCCTATACCTAATACATCTATTTCATGTGTGTGTGGAAAAACGTGCAGAGCAGGAAATTTGTCAAAACCTTAAACACTTAACATGGATTTCAAAAACACACTCCCTACCACAGCCAACACACCAACAAGCCTGTCTCAAGTCAACCCTTGTCACCGGGTCTAACACACATAGGGCACAGCAATTGATGTCCCCCCACACCAAGGAGGAAAACATCAACCACCCACTTTTCTTAAATACCACTTAGGCTTCTCCGGCCACGCCAGGGAGAACCTAAGCACAGGTATATTGTCAACAGCAAAACAACACTTGGAATCCCCCCTTCCACGTCCCCTCAACGAGAGCTCAAGCGAATCGAGGCTTTGAAGATCCTGTGCGAAATTACTTTCTTCGAGTGATCTCCACCTTGAAACACTATTCTGACATAGTTTCCGACATACCATCTGGAAGTGTAAATGATATGCCTAGTTTGACATTTCATTTGACATACCTTCTGGCATACATTCTGACATTCTATCTGACATCTATTCTGACATACTTTCTGGCATATATTCTTACATTTTTTCTGGCATTCTATCTGGTATATCTTGGGAGATTCTTTGTGGTTGAGGTCCGGGGGGGAACACTCTGATCCGGAGCTCGCGGTTGAGGCCGGGCAGGGTCACGAGCTTGCAGTTGAGGTCCGGCAGGGACCGCTCTGACCACTGCGATCCAGCGCTTGCAGTTGAGGTCCGGCGGGACGACTCTGATCCCGGGCTTGCTGTTCGGGTCCGGCGAGGACCACTACGATCAGGAGCTTGCAGTTGACACAATCTAACAACCCGCACCTGACAGGTGGCGAGAAAATGAAACCTTTAATTGCGGTTTAGGACTCGCTATGTCAACTATTTCAGACAATCCTTCGTTAATATAAATCCTTGCAGTGCACTGGGCCTACCACCTACCCAAGATAGCTAGAGGGCTAGATAGCTAGATAGCTAGATAGGTCGATAGGTAGATAGCTAGATAGCAGATAGCTAGATAGCTAGATAGCTAGACAGCTAGATAGCTAGATAGCTAGATAGGTAGATAGCTGATAGCACATAGCTAGATGGCTAGATGGCTAGATAGCTAGATAACTGGGTAGCTAGCTAGCTAGATAGCTAGATCGCCAGATAAATAGATAGATAGATTGGATAGATTAGATAGATTGGATCGATTAGAAAGGTTAGATAGATTAGATAGATGAGATAGACTAGATAGATTCGGTTGACCCAACAGATTAGATAGTTTAGATAGATTAGGTTGATCCATGTTGATCCAATCGATAAGATCGATTAGGTTGATCCATGAGATTAGATAGATTAGATAGATTGGATAGATAGCTAGGTAGATACATAGACAGATAGATAGCTAGATAGAAAGAAAGATGGATAGATAGATAGATAGATAGGTAGGTAGGTAGATAGATAGATAGACAAATAGAACATAGATAGACATATCGACGGATAAATACATAGGCAGAAAGATGGATAGATGGATGGATAGATAGATAGATCGGTCGGTGGATAGATATATAGGTAGATCGACGGAAAAATACATAGATAGATAGACAGTTGACTTGAACACAGTACATCTTGTCATCATGTAACTATGCATGCATATATCCTGTACATCAAGAACCTTTGCCACGCCTCGTCCTCCATTCTCTCAATGGACGCAGTGGCAGACTCATGCAGCGTGCGGTTGCTCTCCACGCCGCAGGCCATACCTCCCAACAGATTTCATGAGCAAAAGCTCAAGTAGGTCAGTGATAGAGCCAGCCGGGTATATACATGTAATGCACTATGAAAAATGTACATATGATAGATAGAAAGAAAGATAGTTAGATAGACAGATAGACAGGCAAATAGATAGACAGCTAGATGGAACGCTAGGTAGATAGATGATAGGTAGGTAGGTTAGGTACGTAGGTCGATACTTAGATAGATAGTTGTGTGGAAGTTTCCTAAACGAAGGGGGGGTACCACCACATGATCTAAAATTGGATCATTTTAGTTTTTTGAGTTGAAGCCCATGGTTTTGGGTAACCCACATGTGAAGAAACCCTCATGTGTGTGTGTGTAGGCATGTAAGGCAATGCAACGTAGTGCAACATAATGCGACGAAATGCAATGCCACGCGCTGAAACGTGATGTTTGTATGTACTAGAAAATTACCAGGGCCCCGGACAAGCACCAAAACACGACCAGACCGGCCCAAAAACGAACGGCCAATGGCCAACAAACATGCACGAACATTTGGCCCTCAAACATTGACCCGCACGAAAGTTATTTTGGCAGAAAAGACCATCAACTCGGGTGAAATATTGGTGATTGAGCCACCCGCTTAAAGATGTGAGTTGTTATGGATTATCATCTCTGGCAGGGATGAAAACAAACAGTATTTGAACTCACGGAGCAGCATCACAATTCCAACAACTTTTCATCGAACTTGGTATCGAAGAGCAACTCGTATCCCTTTTAATACTTTGGAAGGATCTTTGTGCAAGACGTCTGTGCTGCCATATGGTGCGCCCCGCTTGCACCTCGTGGCACAAGGAGAACCCAAGCTCCAACAGCCCTTGCTGATCCGCTGCTGAGATGTAGCAGCCTGCGCGCAAAAAACCGCTGCCATTTTGCGAAGTGGAGCCCGAACGCGGTGGATGATGTTCCATTAATGGGGAGCTCCATGAAGTCCTTGTTTTGCATTCTCCCACTCCCCTGAACTTGCTCTGATACTCTGAAGAACTTTCAGGTGCGAGCCACAATTCTGATTCCAAGAATGAACAGAAACTTGCCTAAGGTTTCGCGTCAGAAGGTGTGGCTATTGAGTTTGCTCTACAGTTGTGCCATGATACGCTCCCCAGATGGCAGGTGACTGGCTGGATGAAGCGGCTCCCCACCTCTCTCCAGGTTCAGGGCTTAGGCAGGCAATCAATGCAGCCAAAGAAGGAAAGGTCAACTCCCTGCCCGGGGCAGCAGAAGTGATCAAAGGGCGGTGCGGTTGTCATCAAAACACGAGATTATTGTCGAATACTTTTCGCACAGCCCAGCTAGGTGGACTTATCAGGCCCCGCGCCTCACTGGATTTGTCCCTTGAAGCCGCAATGGTGTTGTGGAAGATGAAGCAGGTGAGCTGCAAATTGCGCTTGGCTGACAACTTGGGGGGCTTGTTCCAGGAAGTCAGCCTAACTTTCTGCTTTTCCCCATTCATTCCCCTACTGCCCCCTTCGTCCCATCAATCTTAGATGGGGCCGCAGCTAACCTGAATAAACCTTAAACCAAGTATAAATAAGCCAGAAACCAAACTGAATAGACTATCAATCAAGGGTGGTGGCATGCGGTGGCTCAAATCCTACTCAGAACTTGCTCACTTGCGCACTCAACTCAAATCACCTGCGCATGCGAAATCCAACACCACCTGCGCACTTGGTAGCAGGATCACCTGTGCACTCAAATCAGGGATCACCTGCGCACTCAAAACGCGAATCGCCTGCGCACTCAATGGGCAGTGGAGTGGGGGAGCATCATATGTCAACATATGGGGGGTTAGGTGGAAGATCATCATACATCAGCATATGCCGGGCAGGGTGGGGACACACCATACAATATACGCGGGGTCTGATGGGCGATCGTCATACATCAACCTGTGGGGGGTTGGGTGGGGACACACATGATACATCAACCGGTTAAGATCATCATGCATCAGCATGTAGGTCTGGTGGGGGATCATCATACGTCAACCTGGGGGGTTGGGTGGGGACACATCATATACCAACCTGCTGGGGGTGGTGTGAAGGATCATCATACATCAACCTATGGGGGTGTGCTGGGGGATCATCATACATCAACATTTGCTGGGAGGGGTGAGGACACATCATACATCAAGGATTGGATCTCGTTTTTGATGTTGCAGCTATGGCATTGGGCCAAACCAAGAACCCCTTTACCTCTAATTTCAGAGTTTCAACGCATGTTTCCACTCTGGAATCTGCGCATGTTCATGCAAGGGTTCTTTCCCGCACGTCTGCTGCAATCTGGATGCTTCTTTATGCTCTACTGACTTCTTGATCACTTGCAAATAGAGAGATTGATGTGAGTGCGCATCATGGACGGATGATATCAGGGGCTCTTCTTCGCGATCCAGTCTCCTTCTTCACAATCTAATCTGTTGCTGCTTTGCACGTAAGATACGCTCCAACGAACCAATTCCATTCAAATCTATATCCGTAGGTATATGCGCTTCAGTGCATTTGTCTGTTTTTCGGTCTCTCCGCCCATTTGTCTACCTGTCGGTCCAATGAATGTATGTCGGTGAATCATGGTGAATCTGTATGTCAGTCAGTCAGTCAGCCAGTCAGTCAGTCAGTACGTATGCATGCATGCATGCGTATGTAGGTGTATGGTTGTGTATATGTGCGTATGTATGTGTATGTATGTGTCTGTATGTGTCTGTGTGTGTTTGTATGTGTCTGTGTGTGTACGGTTGTGTGTGTATGTATGTATGTATGTATGCATGCATGGATGTATGTATGTGTGTATGTATGTAAATATATATGTGAATATGTATGCGTGTGTATGCACGTATGTATGTAAGTATGTAAGTACGAACTTATGGAAGTATGTATATATGTAAGGATGTAAGCATCTCTGTATGTAAGCAAATATGTATGTAAGTATGGTGGTCATGTAGTTTTGCCTTGGTGGCGTGGGGCCCCTCGAAGCTGTAGGGACACAGGTGGAAAAACTATCGGCCTGAAGGCTCCACACCAATCGCTGTAAAGTTGAAGAGGCACCTGGCAAACACTCGCAGGTACGAAAAAATCTTAAGCAGGCGATGTCCATGTCCACTAGGCCATTGGGCTCCGGACATTCTGCACCAGCCGACCAGTGCATTGCAAACAGCGTCCCTGCGCTGCGTGTGAGCACTGTACAACCTGGGAGTCGTCCAGTGCCAAAATGGCTGCGGTAGAAATACTTTGTGGCCGAGGTTGATCCAGGATTGCTAACTGCCAAGAAGTCACTCTGTACTTTCAGTACCTCAAACTCAAAGCGTACGGTGCCAGTTGCATCGGCTTCCCAATGCAGCAAGGGAACATCACTCAACGCAAAGCGCGTCCTCAGAATTGGTTTAAGCCAATGCAGACTTGCAATTTCCCTGCGCATAGACATAATGTTCCAGATTCAAAACATTTTCAATCTAAATCAAATCTTTTCTTGTGAGGAACATGCTAAAAGGGAACAAGCCGTATAATCACATGCCGCATATCAGCATCTCTTCCCCTTCAACTCTGGGCCCTATGGCTTTCCGCATCCAAGGTGCATCGCCCCAAAGTCGGGGACAGTGGCATTCCCATTCGCAGTAAACGCCTGGCAAGACGCTCGGAAGCTGCATCGAGGCTGCTGGAAACAAGTGGAATTCAAGCTGCAACGTGTTCAAATGCAACAAACACAAAAACACCATGTCAGTCCCATTCGACAACAATCTAGGTGCAGGAAGCTCCTGTCAGCGCCTGGGTGGCCATGGATGTATCTGTGTAAGCCAGCGGCGTGTGCCGCCTGCAGCTGCAACAAAAACACAAAAATCACAGGCTTGAAAACTAGACGACAGTGCGGCCCGAAAGAAAGCAGGAGGGAGCAGATCGAAAGAGAATGGAAAAAGAAATGTGATGATGACTGATGATACTGATAAATGATGAATGAAGTTGATGACGCACGACGAGTGACTATCAAATGCCTTTGTCGCATAATGAAAGATAATGAAAGAAATTGCTGCTCGTGATTGCTGAATATGTGTTCGCCACATGATGGCTCATTTCTCCTTGCAATGACAAAAAACGCATGTACACATGATGGTGATCTAAGAACTGGACGAAACAGCTACGGACCAGTGTTGCACACTTGATTGTTTCGCGCAAACCGCGGTCGCAACCAACTTGTAAACGCCAGTCTGTTGCGTCGTGAAGAACACTGGTTATTGCTGAGCGTCTGTTCGCCACATCATGACTCCTTTGTCCTTGCAGCGACAACAAAACGAAACTACATCGTGATCCAGCAACTATACAATGCATCCACAGTTTGACGCTGCGTAGTCATGTGGCTAGAGCCGAAAGGATGACCATTTCCAAATACCTTCTAAAAAAGGGAACGAAACAGAAACTGCGCGCACGGAGTTATTTCGCACAAACCGCGGCGGCAGTTGTACCTCGACAATCTTTGTTGCATCCTGAAAGACGCAGCTGCTTCTGATTGCTCCGTTTGTGTTTGCCACATCATGACCCCAGCGAAAGCAAGCAATTTTGCACATGGCAATGTCGAAACAGACGCTTTTACACAGGGACGCTTTTACACACAGAAGCCTTTACACAAAGAAGCTTTTGCACACAAAAGGCTTTATACAGAGAAACTTTTGCACAGAGAAACTTTTTCACAGGAGCTTTTCGCAGAGCAGGCTTTTCTCACTGACAATTTTACGCACAGGAGCCTTCAAACCCAGAAGCTTTTACACAGAAAAGCTTGGGACAGAGAGGTTTTTCCACACAGAAGCTTTTACACATAGACACCTTTCCACACAGAAGCCTTTAGCCTTTACACAGAACCTTTTGCACATAGAAGCCTTTATATACACACACACACAGAAGCCCTTACACACAGAGACTTCCACACAGAAGCTTTTACACGGAGAAGATTTTGCACAGACAAGCCTCTTAAACAGAGAAGCCTTTGCACTTGAGCCTGTGCACAGAGCGGCGATTTTACACACAGACACTTTTTTACACAGTCTTTACACAGAGGCGCTGTACATAGAAAAGCTGCTACACAGAGAAGCTTTTCCACACAGAAGCTTTTTCACACAGCAGCTTTTGCACACAAACGCCTTTTTAATCCCCCTGTACATGTACCAGGTGACGTCAGGGCAAGCATTTTGTAGCACGCCCAGGTGTCGAGCTTACAGAATGTCATGGTTTCAAGTTTATAAGATGGGTGGTGGTGGCGGCTTGGTGCGATTCCCCAGGAAACACCGGTGAACAAAAAAAACAAAAATCGGTGCCTTACAAAATGCTTGCCCCAAGTTTATTTCGAGGCCCCAAGCCCAGTCATCTTATAAGCTAATGTCTTACAGAACGGTTGCTTTGAACATATGCCTAACTTGTACCTGTCCCACTTCCCCGGGAAACACTGCAAGCCTTTTTCCCAGTCCCCGAAACAATATCTTTTTTTGGAACAGCATGAAAAAATACATCTACAATGTAAGTACGCCTAAATACAGGTTTTTCAGCCAATCCATTTTGTAGCATAGTTTGTTCCATTCTGACCTTCTGTGGAATGTAGTTCCTTTAGCCCCAAACCATTTTGCAAAAAAACGGGTCTTGAACCCCCCAGGCAAACATGAGCATGTACCTGCCTCATTCTCTTTTCCAATTCACCAAAAAACAGTGTTATGAAATGACCGGCCCCGACGCCATTTTGTAAAGAATGTTGGCTCTTACAACATGGTTCGCCCAACAAAAAACACACGCCTTTTACAAAATGGCAGGGTTCACTGGGAAAAAATCCTGACAAAATGCTTCCTTTTGTCACAAAAATGCCCTATGAAACGGAACATGGGTCCAGCCATTTCATAGTGGACATGTGCACAGGGATCCTTTTTATACAGACTCATTTCCACAGGAACGCTTTACACATACAGCTTCTTCACAGAAACGCCTTTGCACACAGAAGCCTTTAGCCTTTACACCAGCAAGCTTTTACACATAGACGCCTTTACACACAGAAGCTTTTACACAGAGGATTTTACCACAAGTTTTTACACAAAGAACCTTTTACACAAAGACGATTTTTGCACAGAATGCAGACAAAGCCTTGACACAGAGGAGCTTTTACACAGAGAAGCTTTTACACAGAACCTTTTCCACAGAGAAGCTTTTACACGGAAGCCTGTATACAGAGCAGCTTTTACGCGCAGACGCTTTCAAAGCCACAGAAGTCCTCACACTGTACACGTAGAAGCTTAAAGCGTTGCCGCATTGGAAATTAGCAATTTCACCACACAGATTTGGCCGTCGGGTCGCCATTTTGCGCGCAAAGGTTGCGTCTGACGTGTTTTACCTCTGTTTTTGCCGTTTGACCTTGGTTTCGCGCAAAGCGCCGAGGGCCACAAAATTCGTCTTTCGCCACACGTCTGGCCGTCCGTCAAACGCACAATCTCCGCAGATGGTCGCGTTTCCATGGACATGCCACCCCCGCCAGAAGAGAAAGATAGAGAAACTTGAGAAATAGGAATCTCGTAGGGGTCCAGGTAGAAAACTCTTGTACCATCCTGTATCACAGCTCCCGTGTAGCAACCCCGGTTAACAACTCCTGTGTAAGATTTATTGTGAAACAACTTATGTGCACATGACGCTGTACGAGCTTTGTAGGAGTTATCTAGAAGTTGATCGCCTGTCGATGTTGTAGATGATGTGGATGAAACTGTAAGTGACGTAGATGATGTAGATTATGTAGATGATCATGATGATGATGATGATGATGATGATGGTGATCATGATGATGATGTAAAAATGTATGTGTTGTGGCTGATGTATGTTATGTAGATGCGGTCGATGGGGCAGTTTGTGTAGATGACATAGTAAGTGATATAGATTGCGCTTTGCAGATGAGATGCTGTAGAAGATATAAGTGATGTAAAGGATGTTGGAGATGCAGGTGATGTATATTGTGTAGATGACGTAAAAGGTTGAATGTGGCAGCAATTCTTTAAGGAAAAGGCGCAAAACATCACAAAATCATCGCAAAATATTTCATGAATCCTAAGTTTTCATAGTCTCAGAGATTCTCAAAGCCGCTGCTTCCACTGCAACTGCCTTGCCATTTGCTCAGCGTGTAGCTGCTGCAAGAAGCTGTTTGCCTCCCAGGGTGTGGAACGCTCAGTTCAAAGATGAACTTGGTGGTAACAGTTTACCCTGCCAATTTACTCAGATGCTCCCAGTGGCCTGCGAATAGCCATTGCAACTGTGAGCTCTTGGGCTCCCTATGCGTAGACGCTTGTGTAAGCGAAGGCACAGCCTCAAATTTCAACCCTCACCAAATCTAGCAGCCAGCAAAGTGCTTGACTGAGAAGGGAGCTGCTCCTCGTCCATGGACCTCTTTGATGTGCAGGGGGTTGGAATCCTAAGATTCCAGAGCGATCGCTTCTCCCTGCAACTGCAGCACCACTGGAAGCCGAGTTTCTGAAGTTGGTGGAACTGCATGGACGCATGACAAGGAAGCGAAAACCGCAATCATGAACTAACGTCCCTTACGTCAACCCCATGTAGCTAGAATTTTGTTCGAAGTTGGGAGGTCTTAGTTTCTGTCACTTGTGCTTGGATTGAATTAGGGACCTGATGAGTCATGTCTTGTATCTATGTGCTCCAAAAGCGAATTATCATCTCATCATTTGAGCCATACCAACTTGGAAAGAAGGGTGCAGCCGTACTTGCCATCAAAGAGGCCACAATGCCGTTTGGCAGCTTCAAGTATCGAAACCGGTAAAGACCCAACAGTTCTGCATCAGGTTTTGCACGCTACCTTCAGACAGCTCTTTGGCGTCTCTCTTTTTACAGCTCTTTGGGAAACTCTTTGTCTGCCTGGCAAAAACATCTTCTTAGGGAACTCCAGCAGCCACTCAAGAGAATATACTCGCAGTTCGATGCAAATACAAAAATAAAAAGGAGACATGTGCGCATATGTGCTACAGTGCGTGTATTTGCGTGTAGGTCATGGCTATAGGGTAAAATTAAAATATACACCATGTGCATGCAGATGTATATAGTATTAAAAAAAACATGAGAAAGAAAAAATAAACGAATATCTGTTCAAATATATATATATATACACATCGTCATCCTGGAGTAGATAGAATATGGACATTTCAGAAAACACAAGTAAACTTTTTGAGCAGCACGCTAGACTTTCTAGTTCAAGATGATAATATATATATATATACATAAGCAAGCAATTTCCCACTCCAAGAATCACACTCGTGTGGCCAGAAAACCCCAACCGCTTTCAAATCTTAAGTGAATGTTCATCCTGCCTCAGGAAACTTGCACTTGTCCTTCTTCCACCAATACATCGCACACAGCCTGGAACATGCGTTCCCGGCATTTCTCCGCCATGTTTGGTCATGAAAAATGGAGGTGGGCAAATCCCATCAGCCTGGTGGAAATCGTCTGCGAAGTTTTCCTCCTTTAGGAGCTGCCTGGCAAAGATGCTTTGGACAAATATGGAAATCTGGGCAACTGTGTAGAAAGTCAATACAAAACAACAGGGTTTCAGTGCATTTTGGTTAATAGCCTTCATTTCACACCTTCATTTCACAAAGGCACTTGCGCATCTCAGAACTGATGCTGTCAGGTCATTTTCCACTCTCCCTACAAGTCAAAGCCAATGGCACTGGAAACCAAGCGAGCAAGGATGGCCGCACCCCTACGGAGATGGCTAGATTTTCAACCTGCCAAACAAGTTCTCGCACCACGACAGTTTTGGCATCCCCGCTGCAACATCTGCACCAGCCGCAGCAAGTGCAACGACCAGTCCTCCAGGGCCATGGCAGGCACCATGGTCTTCCGGAACTCCTCTTCCCCGACGAAGCCATCCTGGATGCCGATGGCTGCGATGGCTGCGACGGCAGCCATGGCCACAGGTTAACTAATTGACGATGCCGGTTCTTAACAAAGGATATAAACAGGGAACTGAGAAAATCACGCCATCCAAGTCCATTCGAACTAACCTTGGCAAGAAACATTTGTAGTCCCGTCATCTGAACTGATAGACGACCTCTTGGCGGAAGACCCACATTAGTGCCAGGTCACAGTTTTGCTGCCAATGTCTCGGAACGCGTCTGCAGGTGCGCACAGCACCTTGCAACTTCTACCAACTTCGGTGACTTGCCAACCTCTAGCTATTAGCATCCCTATAGTGACTTCATGTCTATGGTTGGTACTCCGTTGGGTGGTAACACGTGGCTGGGGATTTCCCAGCCGCATCTGTTTCACGGTGACCAGCAGCGTCTGGGCTCCAGTACTCTGCTGCAATACGCGCCGCAGTGCCCTCATGCATCGCAGTTGGATCGCTTGGCGTAATGGTGGATCCAAGCAACTCATGATAGTATTCAACCAAAAAAAGGCGGCAGAGTGGCAGTCTTTGGCGAAGAGAAAACAGATATCGGATGATATCGGTATTATACCATCAACACCCAGCGTGCCCATCTTTTGCCAGGCATGCTCCCTCGTGTCGCATTTCATGGCTTCCGCTAGTCACAATGAAGTTGGAAAGATTGGACTGATAGCCCCAGGGTTTATCAAGTTCGCTACTACTAATGCCATTTGGAAATATACGCCCTGGGCTTATGTAGACTTACGGCGCAGTTTTATCCACCATTTTTGGACTTACGCCCACATGTACCCATCGGCCGCCCCAACCAACTCCAGCCTTATGCCTTTCCAGGCATGGCTTCATCTGCTCGAGGACAGCTCCAACCTTTTTCAATGGAGCATAGCAGTTGACAAGGTATTGAGCGGGATGGGGATTTAATGGTTGATGATGGTTGACCATGGTATTTCGGGGATAGATGAGCTCCGACATCACCAGGCAAAATTGGAGACCATCAGTGATTGCTGGAAGCGGATGAGGTCAGATATGATCGCAGCTGCAGCAGCAGGACCTTCTATATATATACATATAGATAGATCTAAAAAGAGAACCTCATACAAGCACCAATGCAAAGCAAGGACCTCTTGAAGAGGATTTCAACAGGATCTCCACAAGATCTCCAGACAAGGACGTGTACGAGATCATGCAAGGACACCTGGAGGATTTCACCAGGAGCTCTTCAAGAGCTTCCCACAATGAAGATCTTCATGCCAGGACCCCTAAAAGAAGCTCGCAAGATCGCCATAAAAGGGCCTGTTGCTGCTGGAGCGGATCTGACAAGATCTTGGGACAAGAACCTCCCAAAAGCCTCCCACAAGAGCTCTCAGACAAGCACCTGTGAGACATGGCATCTGCAAGATCTTCATGCAAGGACCTCTTGGAGAGGATCCCACCAGGATCTCCGCAAGATCTTCTGAAGGACCTGTCCAGGATCATGCAAGGACCTTGTAGAGAGGAATATTGAAGGATCTACACAAGATCATGCAAGGACCTGCCAAGTACTGCGCCTGCCACGACACATGAGGCACAGCCAAAGCCAGCCAAGCACTTTGTGTGAGCCTGCGCAGGCGAAACGCGCGTGGACATGCCACAAGAGCCATGTCACGCGAGAATTTTCAGGAAAACAGGCCGCGCCCCAAGACCGGGACAACCGTTCTGTGCGAGCCTGCGCAGTCGAAAACACACATGGATATGTCACAAGAGTTTTACGCAAGAATTTGTAGGAAAAATGCCGCGCACCAAGAGCAGGATAACCGTTTTGTGCGAGCTCCTGCGCAGTCGAAATGCCCATGGACATGTCGCAAGAATCATTTTATGCGAGAATCTACAGGAAAAAAGCGGGCAAACAGTTGGAGCCCCCTGATCAAGCACCGGCCTTAACTCCTACCGCAAGAACCCTTCAGTGTGGACACACTGTTTGGGGAATTAGAAAGATATCATATCAAATAGTTGTACACACACATATAGATATATATAGATAGATATGTGGATGTGGATCAAAACTTTTGGTGCCCTGGTTCTCACATCAAACTTGCTATCATGGCGTAGAAAGATCATGGCGTAGATAAATCTCCACTCTGAAAAATTATCACGTTTAGGTTTGACCCAATCCCACATCAATCAATGATCAATGCATGCGGAAATGCGTTCAGGTTTGCCAACTACCCATGCTCCAAGCTGCATTGATATGCCGCTCCTCTGCATGTAGAATGTTCTGACCAAGCTGCACCTGCATATTATTGAAAGACTGCTGGGACTGCTTAAGAAAATGTCACAACCAGAAGCCACCTGGCGGAAGAGGTTCATCACCTGGTCATTAGCAAGACAAGTTTCCTGCAACCGGCGTTTCCACTGCAACTGAGGCCAAAACCAACTCATCTGCCAAAACATCGGGGAATGCCACAAGATACGCTAGCACAAGGTCCTGCCACGTGGCTGATCCGCCTGTCGTTCGTGGGAGTTTTCGCGGTCCATGGGTACCTCACTTTGGCTACGTTAGATCTCCTCCAACTCCTCTACATCCATCCCATGCGCTTCGGGAGACTCGCGAGACAAGATCGCAGTGTCCTTGGTCATCAGGTGGGTCTCCATTGAGTTCCCGCCAAAAAAAGTCAATGAAACGCCGCGAAATGTATCTTTAGATTGGGAACACCCAGGGTTTGGAAAGGTTCAGCTGCCACATATTATTTGATATATTTTCATATTCTTTCCTTTTTCAGACAGCTAAACTGAACCCAAGCTGAGTCGCTGAGGATATGGCCCATAAAAGTTGGAGTTCAGACTCTGCACCGTCACCGTGGCTATCGACAGCCTGGACCGGTTTTGTCGTAACCAACGGGCAGTGTTCGAACCAGAAATCGGATAGATCGGATAGGCTTCCCTTGATACGGAGTATACTGGCTGTTTGATACGGATTCAATGGGTATGTAATGCCCACTGAACCAGGGAGTAAAAGCCCCTATCATCATCAGGAGTTTGATCAATGCTCATCTGGCTGTTGGCTCAAAAGACATCAAAAGGCAAACATATGGAAACAAAGAGCAATTATTCTTTCACACAGAAACTTCAAACCATTGGTAGCTGACAGCGGCAAGAAAAATAAAACAGATTCGGTTGACAGGATTTCCATGTGACACAGTGGAGCGGCGGTTTTGTTGTATGTCCTGTTTGATGCAGCGTATGGAACCTCCAGTTTGTCTTCAAGTTCTTGACGATTTTCTGCGGCAGCATCATGTTCACCTGTGGCTGTCACTGAACACACACACACACAAGCAAGCAAAAAAAAAGTGGACGTATGACGCATGCTCGAGTTTGTGTTTGTATACATGGAGAGTGGCTTTCCGTCTCAAAACAGGAGAAGATAGAGCATGTTTGGTTAAGTTGTGCACAATGTTTGAACAACTTTGAAAGACTGTAGTGACTATATACATGACTTGTTGGTTTCTGTTGCATCCCCTGTGCAAGTTCATCGTCAAAGTCGCCCTGCAAGGCCTAATGACCCATTTCTGGAGGCTTCATGCCTGGCGAGGTGTCACAGATTCTCCAGCAAAATGCTGAACCTGCAAAATGGCCACAGCTCAGACAGTCATCCCTAAAAAGATAGGAACGTGTTCGACGTGTTCAGAAAGTAACGGAGAAAGTAACGAAAGGTAAATCCCTACTAATTTGGTGTATCTTTTTGGAGATGACTATCGGTAAGTACTAGTAACTTAGTACTCAGGCGGACAAACGGTTCAGCTCTTTTGGCCATACGGGGTATACGTCAAACTGTGTCAAGTTCCTGCACAACATGATGGCATGACGCCAAGATTGCTGCATCTTTCAGAGATCTTCTCACCACACGACCATGTTGATCATGGAGCGCCTTGCACATCCAAAGAAACGCATCTGAACTCCCATATGGTTTGTTTTCCTGAAGTATTCTCAGAGTACATCTTAAGTATCACACTTCAGATCCCACCCACACGACTAAACCTCAAAAAGTAAATGTTCACAGCACTGTCCTGAAATCCTGGGGGCTGGGCTCTCAACAGGGCGCGCATTGCAACCTCCAAATGGGCGTTCCAACATCCACAAGAATCCAACATTTTACCCACAGCTCTGGGCTCCGCCCTTCGCTACTGAGTTTGCCACCACAAGGGGGTGTCTTGCAGGATCATCTGTCGCCCCAGCCATCATTGCATGTGGTGCGATACAGTTGATGGTCCGGGTATGCTCGGGTTGAGTACAGCCAACGTAAAAATGCTCCTTGCCAGAATCTTGACTGCGTGTGCATCTTATCTTGCGATCTTGAAGAAATTAAGCAGGTAAGAACTAAACCGGGATGTGCAAAGCCATATTTCTATTTGATTCTACTTTGATTTTTGCCACATGTCCGTTACCAATGTCAAGGAAAAATCAGCATAACATCTGGCCATTCACGTTGCTATCGCTTGGTTCAACATGGTCAATACCGCTGGCAGCAGCGCTGAATGGACGTGGATTGGCCGACACGGAAAAGCAAAGAACAAAAACGCACTGGACAATGACCTCAACCAGGCTGAAGTAAATAGTCCTGTTGAGACAAGCGGGGAAGCAGTGAAGCGGAGCAACTTTTACAACCACCACAGGCAAAGACTTCCCAATCTAGAGATCCATGTCAAATAGTTTTCTTGGATTCAGACATGTGCCAAACCAAATTCAATCATTTTCACTGATAACGGTGGAAATCCAAAACATCAGGAAACCAGCTCGCTGAGAAATTCAATCAACGTTATCCGCAACTTCATGTGAGCGGTGTCACATAGGAGACCTCCATGGATCACTGCGGGATAATAGAAATTGACTGATTCTCAGAGGTATTTCCCAGAGCATGTACCCCCTACATGTGACATCTAGATTCTAGATGCAGGCAGCAAGCAATTTCCTGTCTAATTTGGTGTGCAACCACGGGCGCAACACTAACAGCGCAACAACGCGCGCAATTTTGTGCAACCCAGCGCAATTTGGCACGAACGGAGCGCAATTTCAAAAAGGGTACAATTTTGGTTTGGCCAGTCGTTGCATCCGACGTTCAAACGCGCACCTTTTTGTGAATCGCGAGCAAATTTAGCCAACGTGCAGAAATTCAGCAAATGTGTACATTTCCAATCGCACGAGATGTGTTTCCGTTATATATACATATATATATATACACGATTTAAGCTACGTATTGTACAACAAATATGACACACTATACATTGTCTTACACTATATAATATCATATATCACCTCAACATGTTTTGCACATAAAGCATGTGATATACCACATGAAACATATGAATAATAATATAACACAACAACATATACGATATTTGCAATACATGTATTGTGCTTATGAACAAATAAATTCACAACAAAGTTTTCATCTATATTAACATAGGTAATTATAATTGAATAGAATTGAATAGATACACATCGTTTACACACACACACACATTATCTCTTTCACGACTTTCCTCGACGAAGCGCAACCTCCAGTTGTTTCCTGAAAGTGAGTCTCTGGTTTCGCAATTCAGAATGGATCCAGATTCAAGTCTGGCAAAGATGCTGTGCAGGGTGCTGTGCAGGGTGCTGTGCAGGGTACTGTGCAGGGTCCTGTGCAGGGTGCTGTGCAGGGTGCTGTGCAGGGTGCTGTCCAAATATATCATTTTTTTTTTAAATATATATTTTCTCAATTCATTATATGATAATCCTTGAATATACATTATATAATATAGCTATAATTGCATGTATGTATATATATATATATCAATCATTCAATTAACGGGTTTAAAATGTTTTAACATATTTTGATATATTTTGGACAAGGAATTATTCCAGGTGCAGGAAAGCGAATGCATCAAAATTCCACCAGCCTTGGTTGGCAAAGCGCTAAAACCAAAGGCAAGGACAATTTTCTCTAGGGCATCACCGGAACGAGCGTCTAGTGACAATAATCTTCCATCCTGTCAGACTTGTGCAGTTCTAAACGAAACTGTGAATCATGGAGGCTATATGCACCAAGTTCCACATTCGAGAGGCATGGTAGGCATCCCCCAAAACGAGCAAACACCATCGCCAAGTTCAATATCATGTCCCCAAAAGCGCCACAGCTGGTGTCTCTCCGAACGGCAGACATCTTTTTGGGTTGGCACTGTGCACCTCGGCTCGACTCGGCTCGTTTCCGTTTTTGCTCTGGGGCACCCCAACGACACTGGCAGTCAGCGACTCCATCAGTTCAGACATAGGCAAAGCAACCTCTACAAACCCCAGAGTTCACACTTGGTCCGTTTTGTGAAATACCCATATCACACCATCCAATCGTCCCACATCCACTTGCGCCTTTTTGTGGAGTTCGGGCGGCCCCGCGAAGATTGACATTCAGGACCCCGCGATCAACTTGTTTTTTGGGCACCAAACCACTGTTTGGCGGAACAAACGCCACTGAAACATATCAACAGGGGTCATTATCTCAAGGTGCGAAAACACTTGAAACGATCAACCAAGTAAAGCGTTGGGGCTGAACACTTTTGATTCGATCATTAATGGGTAGATCATATGTTGTCGTACAATGTCGTACATCGCTTTCCCAGGGGTGACATCAGCAAACCTACACCTTCAAAAGGTTCCACTTTTGACCAACCAACTCTTGATCCGACCTCACCCAGGAAGACCAAATTTTCATCTTTCAATAAAAAGCAGCCTTCGACTAAGAAGATTTCCCTCTCATTCCCTCTCATTAAGCAATTCCAACATCATCTGACATGCAGCTGTTGCAATACGGTATTCAACTGCGGAACTTTACACCTGAAATTGGCATCGAAACTTCCCAAACCGCCTCGGTGCAATGCTTCAAGAGCTCTTTGTGCACTCCATCTCCTTCGTTGCCTTCACCGGTGAGTTGGCCATCCCACTGCTGCCAAAACCAGGTTCGCACCTAATGAGGACCTAATGGATTCAAGCACTCTAAAGATTTTGTCTCATAGGATCCCATAGGATCCCATAGGACAAGACCGCCATTGGGTCTTGAGAGAAGCCCGCTGCATCAACGTCCCAGCAGTGCCTATGATCAAACAGAATCCCCAGTGATCACCGAAGCTCTGCCTGGTCGGGGAAGTTCTCCCAGCGGTCAAATTTTGGGATCCATGATGCATGTTTTGGCTTTTTTTTTTTTCAGGACTTAGAGGTACTTACATCATCTTACATCATCTTACATCATCATCTTTTACTTGAAACATAGTTTAAGCCCTTGGAGTACCTGATCTTGAACAACGTGTCGCTTTGAAGTTTCGACACGTACGTTGAAGGTGGAAGTGAACAAAACTTCGAAGCACAGTCATTGACTTCATGGTGTCGAGTTTTGGATTTCAGGTTGACCATCCAAGTGATTAGCTGCAGCTAGATCAGTTCTTCATGGTAAATCCCTCAACCTAAATTACTGGAGTTTTTTGTGAGATTTCTCCGAGTTTCTCTATGAACCATCATTTACGGTGAGGTCACTTAGATTGGTGTAAGGTCATCAGTTACCCAGACTGGACTTTGGGTGCCTGAAACCCAGATTCGGATTCCTGCCGGTTTCCCAGGATCAAACTTGCACAACGTGGGTTTGATATGGTTCAATCATGTTTAATCCAACCCCCGAGGATTAGGATAGGATCAACCCATGAACGCTGGGATTCCCATCATCATCCAAATGGCTTTGTCCACAAATGAGATATGCATCCAAAAAACAAAGACCCACAAATCCACTGTTTCATGATCATATTGGTTGAAATCGCCATAAGTTTTTGGGGTTTGCATGGGTTTGCACCATTTTCAGACAGATCCAAATGAGCTAAAGCAGTTTGGGAATTTGCAAACTCAGTTGGGGAGTGTTGCTCGGGAGAAGCTAAGGACGATGAACTGAGCCACCCAACAAGTCGGCCAAGGGCCGCCCCCTTGGACTTCCCGCACAAAGCATGAACTGCCGCCTACGGGCTGCGGAAAGAGTTGTTTGGGCCGCTGCTGATGTGCTCGTTGCCCGAGGATAGAGAGTCTTGCAACACAGGAGGTGTTGTTACTATCATTGTCAGATATTGTCAGTACATTCTGATCTTAAAGCCATGGGCGTCAACAAACACGTTGATACGATGATAGACTCTGGCACACACAAGCATCAAACCATTGCAGCTGATGGTCCATTTCATTGGACCCCCGCGCCAAACGACCAGCAAATTATGAGATTGCTTGGGGACCTTGTAGGGTAGATTTCTACCCCGCCAATTCGACATCAGCGGCATTTGCATCCAAATCCCAAAGGGTTGGGTAGCTTAGAAGCAGGCTCAGTCTTTCTTTTGGATGCTTTGACAAAATATCTGGGGCTTCAGTGATTCTGAACAATGAATAACGACGTATCTATAACGGCAATCTTTTAGTGAAGGACAAGTCGAGTGAATGGAAAACCCATTTTCGGCCAAATCCATTCTTATCTGGGTTTGTCCAAAAATAGGATAGTTACCGTTCCATCCATAAAGATAGGGTCACCATCAATGATGGAATGGTTACCGCTTGCCATTACGTCCACCTCTGGGAGAACTCGATGAGCTCCTCGTTGCTGGCATATCGATATGGCCTGAAGCCGCTGACGATGCTTGGAAACAAATAGGATATCATGATATAGCGGTTTTATGATGATATAATTGGATTTAAAGTTTTTTTGGATTTTAACGGGATTTCAATGGGATTTTGGTGGTTTCTAAGATGACGACCGAGGATTGAAGATGATTTCACCACAAAACGTGGGAAAAACCAACCATTTTATGGGGACATCATTGGGATCACATAATGGGGATATTGCGCAGAATGGGGTATACAACCAGCAATATGACATGGCTTTGCCTAAAAATGAGGGATTGCCTGGATTTTTTTTATTTCTTGAGTTTGTTTAAAAAAGGTTGGTATATGATATATGGTATACCCGATACCCAAAAAGTTTGTTTATTTTATTGATCGGAATGGGTGACAATCCTGTTGGAGCTATCTGCCACATGCGAGTTGGGGAAGCCAACCTTTTCGAGAGCTTGATGCTTAGATGGGGCCTCCGGGTCTGCCGATAGTTGGGGGCTCAAGACCTAACATCTGAGGGCAACATCAGCAACAACAAATTGTCTGATGAGATCCCCTATCATGGCAAAAACACGTTGGAAAATACCTTATATACAACGCTTAGGCATAGGATAAGATTCCCAGCATGGATTATGATAATCCCGAATAATCCATATTAACTAGTATAATCTCGGGATATCTCGTAAAATCATCAAGTGACTAGGATTTTGAAACTCCCCATGTTCCTCCTTCTGCAGGTTTCTTTTCATGTCAGATCAATACAACTTGGGGATGGACCCACGTCCCGCTCCAGGCCATTGAGTCTCCGGCAGTGTCCAAGCGACCCCCTGACCGTTTCAACAAACGGCGGCTCGCTGCAACTAGTTGACATCGCTGGATCCAATGAGTTTATGTCAATTGGATCAAAGTAGTAAGTAGGATGATCATGTTGGAAACTGCATTGAAACCCCAATGATCCCCAGTGTCCTGCTGGGTCCGAGCAGAATCCGAGCAGCTTTTCCTTTCTTTTCTGAGGGTCAATATTTTGAACCCATAGCCAAAATGGAAATCTTGGATGATAGAATGTCCCTTGTGCCATCTTCCCCAGGCAAAAAACACGGCCTTTCTCGGAACCGTTGCAGTTGTGGCCCATCCGGCCTGTGAAGTCTCCAGGACCTTGTAAGAAAAAGGATCAACACCTCAGTCGCTGAAGAGCAGCTGGCTATGTCCTATGGTCAAGGCGGTGGATGGATTGGCAAAGCTTGACGTAATGGATACATGAGAGTTGTATCTATTCTGTTCTATTGATTCTATCGATTCTATTCCTATTCCATTCTGTATAGAAATCTGTTCTATCTACCTATTCTACAATTTTCTAATTTATGAAGCAATTCATCTACAGTATCAATCTATCTAATCCATCTAATCAATCAAATAAAATCTATCTATCTAATCTATCTAATCTAAATATCTACTGTAATCTAAAATATCTATCTAATCTAAATATATACTGTAGTCTAATCTAATCTACTCTAATCTAAATATCTGCTGTAATCTGATCTAATCTAATCTACTCTAATCACTCTAATCTAATCTAATCTAATCAAATCAAACTATCTAATATTAATATTAATATATATATATTATATATATACAATTATATATATATATAATAATATCTACTCAATCTACCAAAACTATCAATCTATCATAATATAATATAATGTATTAGTAACAATGAACCTATCCATGTGTACACGTCGGCTACTGTACATGGTGTAGAGAGACCTGTATCCGAAGATCCAGTAGGATCCATTCGTGAATGATGTGACAATGTGGTGCTGTATCCCCAATTTAGGATTGGAGCGGGTATCCAATCTCATCTCTGGAGAATGTTCAAGCATTCTAAACATATGGCACGAACCCAGCAAACAGACCTCTGATTTCCCCTCAGCTGGAGCACATTCTCGGTTAACGATGACACCATCGAACTTCAGCGCAACAGCACAACTTAAAAGGCGACCTGGCAGCTTCAAAGGGCAACTCAGCTTGCCGGAGGGAAACTGAAGCATTTGGGATTCCTGGGATGGGCACATCCAAGGATGTGATGCTTCAGCATCTGATGCTTAGAACATGTAGAAACCAAACGTTTTAAACTTATGTTCCAAAATGGACACAATAGACTGGCTGCTGCTTCTGATCCGCCAAATCTTGCTTGAAAGCGTCGGACCAAATTTAGATGGTCATAGAAACAACACATTAAAAACATGGCAACTTAAAGGTTTTTGATCCATTCATGTCGCACCCATGTTCTCAGGATGCTTGATGCGATCGATCATCAACAACCGCTCCGCAGAGTCGTCAAACCTCAGATGACACCAGAAATGGGCAAAACTCAGTGACCATTTGCTTTACTGGGAAATGATGATAAACCAGAATCCAATGGATGGAATGGGGTGATTTTCAATGGCCACATTGGATTCCTGCGCATCCCCGAGTTTGATTATCGACTGCTCCAAAAAAACTTGACAATGGTCGGATTGCCGCAATCATGCACTGCGATAATCCCAATATACATATATATATACATATATATATATATACACATACATAATATATATATATATATGTATATATATAATAAAATAATAATAATGTATATATATATATAGAGTGGGTAGTAAAACAGTGGTTGTTGAAACATCTCAAAAATATTCAAAAATGGCTTCCAGCTGGTCGAAGCGTAGGAGCGGATGCTTAAACACGTCTGGCTCTATAAGCTAAGATTACCTATTACCTGATGGGGATTAAACACATTTGACATGTAGGGGCCAGCCAATTACCAATTGAATCCAATTCATCCATCCCATATTGGGAATCCATATATGTATATATATATGATATATGTAAATGTATATATATATATACAGTATAGTATATATACAGTATATATATATACATATATTGAACAAGTATTGAACATCCTAAAACCCAATAAGTCGGTCGATGACCATCCTCTCCTTTTTTTGCTAAGTCCCCATGAATGAAATCATCAGCTGGGTTTCTGCCACCTCCCCACCGGTCTGGGCTCTTCTACTCCTGGATCTCCTCTGGCTGTTCTATCTGTCCTCTGGGGAAGAGCTGAAAGAATATGAGGGGATCATCCTCCAAAAAAAATACAGAACATATCAGAACATCAAAGACATGGGCAAAGACCAGCCTGTTCCTGTTCTCTTTTTTCCAGGCAACAAGACTGTAGTTGAAAGAAGCAATCCTTGAAATTCATCCAAAAAATGGGATACCACGGGATATCCCGTGCCACATGGACTCCCCGAAACACCAAAGTCTTCGCGTCCTAGCACCAGGTCGTCGTCTTCGCACTTCCGCGAGATGCGCTGGCAAAAAGCGGAGGATCGACTGGTTGATGAAACACATCAATTTGAAACCAGCCAGATATGGCCAGTAATACATGCAGTAGATTATATACATCTGACTCATCTGACATGTATTATTGGTAAATAAAGTACATTACGGCATCATACAGCCATGTAGCAACATCTGAAATAATCTGGAATCTGACATCCTACACAAACCTCGGCTGAAACCAAGGCTTTGGAGGTGAAACCATCGGAATCATCCCCCGGTGGTTTCACACCCCCAAGCTCTTTGAAAGCGCTGGCTTCATGGGACTAGAGTCTACAAGATTCTACAAGTACAATGTGGTAAACCCAATGGTTTTCCCCTATCATTTGGGGATGGTAAACCTATCACAACCCATGATTTACACACTGCCTGCAGGCATTTTTCATGGCCAAATATCCAGATTTTGTTGGGCGTCGCGGCGTCGCCAATCCCGTCGGAGCCCGGAGCCTCTTTCGCTCCAAAGAGGATGTGCTTCCTTGGGCAGCTTGCAGCTCCAAACGTCCACTGAACTTCTCAATGCTTATGGGAAATCAGGATTTAACCACTCATTTTTTCTATTATGATTTAGTAACTAACATAATCAATGAATAGATTCATTGGACATTTGACAGCCAAATATAGAGGTTCCTGTACATTTTCCTGGCAATTCTAGGACTTTGGTGGTATCCCATCTGGACAAACCATCAACTTGGGAGCCAAACTTACCAAAATTGAATCTTCTGAATCCGACAGTGAAACTAAGAGGCTCACAAGACCTCCTTCTCCACACGTATGACCTTTTCCTTGGTCAAGTGAGCTGTGTCACGAGAACCATGTTCCCATCTTGGACTTCATAATTCCCCCTAAAACGAGGCAGGTCGTTGCTCAACTGATGGGACCCAAAAAACAGAAACATTGGAAAACCACCCCGTTGATATACATTCACACACAACAAAAACAAATACATAGTGATACATGTAGAAACATATGATTTTCCTACCCGGCGAAGAAGGTATTTCCACTACTACATTTGGCCTTGAGAGGACTGAAGTCCATTACCATGTTGTGTGTTTGGTGCTTCTATATAACCCACTACCAGACCATGCAAATGGCTCTCTGGTACCCCAATCATCAGCGCCCACTGGCTACCTGAACATGTAGTGTTCTGTTTGAAGTAGCATCGGGAAAATAGAGCATACTTGAAACAGCTTGAGACATCAGGTAATGTTTGCTGAATTGCAGTGAAATCCGTTGAACATCGTTGAACTTGGGAACCCATAAAGTTGGCTAAGATCGCACGACTGGTTGGATGTATACTGTAGCAACCCGAACAGAGGATAGACTACGACATTTCCACTTCCACTATTACACTTGAATGTTGTTTACCTATCTCTCTTGGGGCTCGCTTTTTTAAAAAGTACTTTGTTGATTTACAATCCCGTACCAAATATTGTTTGGACCCATCCGAACCACATCCTGCCAGCAGACTGCGTTGAAGGCAGCGAAGGTCTCCCGGGGCTGGTGGCTGTAAATCTGACAAGGCGGGGAGTTGGCCCTGGGAATGGCCATGGTTTCGGTTAGCTTAAGGGACAATTCACACAACATCAACATCAACATCAACATCATCATCATCATCATCATCATCATCATCATCAAAGTCATCATCATCACCATCACCATCACCATCACCACATATCAAATCATACCAAACCCAATCACATACAGCAACATCGAATCACGTCACATAACATCGCATCGCATCGCATCACATCAGTCAAATCATACCATATCATGCCACATCATATCATACCACCATCATCACCGCCGCCGCCGCCACCACCAACCACCACCATCACCACCATCCTCATCCTCATCCTATTCCCTTTAGATCCTTTTGTACACAAGCATGTGGCTTAAGATGGTTCATGAAAACGTTGAACATGTTCTTGTTGCGCAAGGATTGCCTGGCTGCCATTTGTCCTGCTCAGGTTTCAGCCATACCATAGCCATGTGTTAAAATGTGTTTAAAGAAGGGGTTTGTCTGAAAATAGGCTACCCCATGCTACCCCTAAATTTGTTTGTTTATGTTTGTTTATCATCACTTTCCCTATCAATATTAACCGTTTTGGGTGCTATTTCTCATCTTCAGACAAAGCCGATCTTGATCCATAACTCTTAGACTCTGCAGTCGAGACAGCTCTCGCAACTGGCAAAATGATGGCCCCCTTCGGGTCCTGGGGGGTTCACACCCTGATTCGACCCTCCCTCCCACATAAGAAAGGTGGGGGTGGGATGGTGGAACCCAACATCGGGGAGTGGTTGGGTGGCAGGGGTTTGTGCTGCCCAGATAGCCTCCTTGAACTTGAAACCAAGCGAACCTTGGATGTTGAAATCAACTCATTTCCCAAGAAAAACTGCTACGTTCTGGGCGATTTTTTTTTACACCCAACAAATTTGCTGCCATCTACAAAAAATCAGGGTCAGGTATCCCAAAGTTGTTATTGCGTAACTATTTGAAACCACAAATCAGATATTGTTGATGTTGAATTTGAATGGATTGGGGATGTTTAGCGCCACCTCCCTATTGCCGTGGGACACAGAAAATCTTCCTTTACCGGGGGACTGCAGCCCAACATCCCACTGCTATGGGAATTTAAGGGGAATACACTGAACATCTTCACCTCGGACATGCCTTTCTTTCTACATGTACGAATGACAGAATGACTTCATGGAGGTGCAGTTCCATCGATTTGAGCTATGTTCGAGTTGTCAAAAAAGTCGACAACCAGGCTTCTGCTGGCTTCCTACAGTATATGAATATACTTGTATAATATATATATATGGGAAAAGAACACATCGAGCCACTTGGATTCCATAACACTCACGTACTCCATCTCATAATCTAACAAGCCATGGAAAGCCCCATTTATCCTATTTCTATCCATTTCTACTAGGGAAATCATTTTCACAGCAAACGGTCAGATTTTCAGACCAGGCAACCCATAGACTCCACCAGTTGCTTCCCTCGGACCTATATTTGGTCAGGGTGCGAGCAATCCTGGATTTGCTGAGGTAATCATAAGCATATAACATGTATAAAAATGTATGAAATAAACATTCATGTAAAAATAATCATCAGCGAATCCAGGCGCTTGGAATCAACATCATCACTTTAGCATACTGGCTATGGGAATAATATTACAACGGCATCAACATCATAGCTGATGGCCTTTGGCGCCGGCCGCTATGGAAAATCAGCAAAGATAGGGAAATCATCGACTGAATGAATCATAGCTACCATAGCTAAGCGAAATCACCGCAGGGTACCCAGCTGATTTTTTCTTTTGGTGGATGGTATCTAGATTGGCTGTGATATATGGACATATCCCATACTAGCCCAGGCCTTCTGGATGCTGATTCTTGGGGAAATGAGATTCGTATGGAACAAGGCAGTTGGGATATGTTGGGATATGGATATGCATGTAGTGTCTGGTTTTGTGTTCAGATGTTTCAATGGGATGACGATCCAAGCTACTTGTATGCTACTTGGAGGATGGGTTGAAGCTGCCTTCAACCCATTAATCTTTGGGAGGCCTGGTTTCCAGGTTCCATGTTGGATTTCGCAGTATGAAACCCTGGTCACTGTAGCTCAGTTTGCCTCCAGGAGATTTTACCTTGTTGTAACTATGGATTAACAGTATATACTACTGTATATGTATACATACACAGTATAGTATATACATATATATATATACACATACATATACATATACATATACATATATATGTATATATATATATATATTACGTGTGATTTAAATATCCATAGCAAGTATGGGTAGATGGGTAATTCTACAACGGCGATCAATGGTATTTTGTCGTCAGATGTTGTGGATTTAGCTTACCCATCCAGTCGCCTTGGCCAGGCATGCCATCTTAAGATGGTTAAGTCCCCATGATTGCTGTCTTGATGATCTTCACTGCTCAAGGGTTTCTCTACCTAATCCTTCACCCTTGTGGCTATCATTCACATGTATATATATATATATATAATTGGTTGGAGCAAGCATGTTTTTAATGCTGCTTAAATCCCATTACATTGTATTTAATCACACTCCGATCATCCATGGCTGGGGGTGGAATCACAGCCAGGGGATCCCCAATGGGATCGTCATGGGATTTTTGTTGTGAAATTCACATACTCCTAATGGGCTTATAATATGTAATGAACATGGATTATTATATCCCATTACATATTGTTTTTTTTTTTTTTTTTATATCATACCATTATCATCCCATATCATCCCTACATCTTCACAGTTTTCGGAAGACCTCTCGGATTCTGAGATCGTCGCACCAGGCAATTGCCACGGTGTTTTTCGCGGGCGCGACGACCTCCCACGCGCAGGCGGAAGAGCTCCTGGCGAAGTTCTCTGGGAAATATCTATCTGGCTGAGCTGAAAATAGCTATGGGAAATAGCTGAAAATACGTGGAAATAGCTATCTTAATAATTCACTAACCTGATTTGTTTGTTGAAAATGGCTGAACTAGCTATTTTTTTAATATTTCAAGAATTCATTAAGCTGAAACTAGATGAACAGAGCTGAAATGTTCGGTCTTTCCCCGAATCCATTCACCATCATTTCAGTGACATTCATCCAGATAGGTGGGGGTAACACATGTCACCAAACTTGAAACATGATGGAACTATCAACAATCGCTGGTGGTTGAGCCCCTGAACAACATGCGTCGTCAATTGGGGATCATTGACACCACCAGCCACAAGTACAACTCTTGGAATAAAGGGCTGCTACTTGACAACCTATTTTGGTTTTGAATGGTTTTGACCCATACCCAGGTTTCGAAACCGAGTTGATTGTAAGGGCGCATGCCTGAAAAATGGAATCTTAACTCTTGACTGTTCATCAAAAGCTCCTTCAGTCATTTGATGCCATTCACAACTCCTTTGTATGTTGGGATGCAGCAAAAGGAGGACATGTTGCTGCAAGGCAGGATGTGAACGGCTCATGATGGCTGGTTGAAATATCCTGGAATCATGGAATCACATAACTTACACACCATTGAGATTAATATGTATACAGTAAATGGTATGGGGAGCTTTCTAGATTGGGGAGGACCCCAATATGATCCAAGTGAATGTTCACTACGGGGAAACCAATCAGGTTTCGACCACCTCAAAGTCTTCCCGGTCTTCGGCTTGCAGTGATGATTTGGGTTCTGAAAATAAGGTACAGTACCAGCAATTCCAATGGATGATCATCATCTTGGGCATTGAAATAGCCATTTCGGAGGTATACCAAATAATCCAAATATTTTCAGACACATCCTATTCACTTTTCGACCTTTTCGGGGGTTACTGTGTTACTGTACCGCGGAAAAACATTTGACCTTCAACTCTGAACAGCTGTATGCTTGAACCCTCCAACTCTTTCGCTTCGGTGGAAAATATTTTCATCATCTTTCATCCCATCTCGGCAAATCCTGGTTGTTTCATAGCCATCCCCATGCCAATATTGGCTCATAATTAGCCAATCTTAATCCCCAATGATAGCCAATTATAGCCAATATTGCTTAATGAAACAATTGGTTCATGATTGGTTCAGAGCCAATATGAATTCCCAAGAAGCCTCGGCCAGGTGCGGGGCTTGGTCCTTCACCTTGGGATTTCGGATGGAGAGGATGTCATAGAATCCAGTCATGCGCCTGGCTGCGGCACAAGCCCCACAGCAATCCATTCATTCTGTGGTTCAGAGAATGTTCGATGATTCATGACGCTTATTCCACCACGATATTCAAAGACTGCAAACTGTAATCTACAGCACAAAATCAACAACCAAAACACAGCCATCATCAACCATGATTAGTATGGCTGCCAAACCATCTTCCAAACCATCATTTTCATGCTTTTTGGCAGCATTTTGTAGTCGTGATCTCCCAGTTGCGCTCCGCCTGTTGGCATGCGAGGCTTCTGGGTTGCACAGGCGGCGATCAGGTTTTGCTGGACATCAATTGCGGTTTGGATGTGCATCCCTTGGAAGCTGCTTCCTGACCTTTTTAACATAGTTTGGCACAAAATCTCATCATTCTTCTGGACAAGATCAGGTCGAAGCTCGTGGAAGGAGTCGCAATAGAACGTTATTTGCGGTACAGTGTCAGTGTCACGGTCACGATGACAGTACACATGGCATATTTCAATACTGATCCTGATGTTTGAATATGCGTATACAGTACATATTATGTATATACATGTATATATATATAGTTATGCATGTATGTATAGATGTAAAACATATGCGTATACAGTATAAAAATACATATTATGTGGGGATATATATAGAGATTATATAAATGTTTATAGTTGTATATATATATACTGCAAATATATACATAATGTACACACATACATATGTATGTGTGTACATTATGTATATATTTATACATAATAAACTATATGTCTATATTTACATATATATATATATATATATATGTATGTGTGTACATTATGTATATATTTATACATAATAAACTATATGTCTATATTTACATATAATCACATATATATATATATCACTTGATATCATTTGTATTCATTTGTATAAGTCAGCTGATGGACGAAATGGATGTCCTTGCTCTAACATTGTACGTGTGGTAGCCAATGAGTCGAAACTCAAACAGATTCTGAGCCACAGTCCGGCTACAAAGTGCTGGCTTCATCCAAGAGTTCCTCTTAGCTGATACCGCTATGGGTCTGGAATCGAAGAGCAGGCGTAGGGCCCAACCATCTCCCATTTTACGTGCCATGGTCAAAACATGGTATGTGGATGCATGTGGTATATTGTGGTATATGGGTTATAATCATCCCACCATTATTCAGTCTTCTATGGGCCATTAAAATTAACTATTGATGGTGAGATGGCATGGTATGGCATGGTATGGCATGACCATTCCCCAATGTGGCTGATCAAATCCAACTTTTGACCATGGCACCATGGCACATCCATTCCCAATCTATCCAGGCAGCCAGGCAGCATATGTCTCAACGCGCTCTGGTGGTGGGCGCCGCATCTGATGGCACTGCGGGATCTTGCAACCGCAAGGGCCGACAAATCTATGACTGGTGACTAGGCCAAATGCAAAGGGGACAAAGCCGCGAATTGAACTGATCTGGCTGGTGGTTCAGTCACCTATGCCCCAAAAATCCCAGTCAACTGGGATCCTGTTTCCTATCTTTTGCTTTTCATCTGGTTGGAAAAGATTGCCGGAAATTGAGCCCCCAAAAAGATTAGTAGTAAACAGCTTTAACAGCTGATTATAATGATTATATAGCGGTGATTACGTAGATTTTAACAACTTTAGGGGATTTAACAGGTTGACAACTACTCTTGGTAATACCAAGCCGCATCGACTCCTAGCATTTGGATCATTTGGTATTAAAACAAGGCCAGTGGTGAGACACGAACTGCGATTTCTGGAAGTTGGGCGAAATAGGAATGGAATGGAATGGATAATCCATGGATAATCCACAGATAAACATATGTTGTCATTGATAATAATAATAGTTGGAATCAATCAACCAGATAATCTACCAGATGATCAACCAGATAATCCGACATCGCCCAACCCCCAGAGTCCAGGCATGGTTTCCCAAATCCGCAATCCGCAGGGGGCCATGCACCCAAACTCAAAAGGTACGGAAAGCTGGTGGCTCACATTAAAAAAAAAGCAAGGCGGAGATGTGATTAGGGGGGACCCGTTTCCATGATTTTCCATCCAATGCTTGACACCGGGAAGCCGGGAAGCCGTTTTAGCCAAGCAAACATTGAGACCCCTGATCCATGGGCACTCAAAATATCAAACAAATTCTGAATATTGCATGATGAAATGTTTGGCTTTCAATTTTCACGGATACTCATTTGACAAGCCACAAAAGGGCACACAAAAACCTGCCAATCGATTGGCTCCCTAGCCTACCAGGTGATTTCCGGAGTGGACACCCCCTAGATGGTCACTTAAATATGTGATGGAAAGTCGGGTGCTTGATATTATATATGGGGTTGGATTAAACATGTGTAGCAAGTTCAATATTCAATAATTGTAAACTCATCTTTCAAGTTGGAAGCCATGACAAATCTTCCGAAACATCCGCAACACTGTCAAGCCGGGAGACGTTCTTTTAACCCCGTGGGGCTGCTTCATGAACTGGGTCCCAAAAAAAGGGTTAAAATGGTAGCATTCACAATCATTCATCACTACTTGGGGGAAACCTGCAATTTATCAACAAGGTTTATCAATCCAAGGTTGACATTAAAGCAGAAAGACGACTGCTTACATGTCTGGTTTCAACCGATCCCCAAATCTGGTCATACGCCTCCCGCAACATCCCAAGGACAAGGTGGAAGTGATGGATACACCCATTGTCCCATTTACATAGACACATGCATACATATTATATCTATGGTATATATGTATATATGTATGTAAATGTATATATGTATATATGTATATGTATATGTATATATGTATATATGTATATATGTATATATGTATATATGTATATATGTATATATGTATATATGTATATATGTATATATGTGTATATGTATATATGTATATATGTATATATGTATATATGTATATATGTATATATGTATATGTATATGTATATGTATATGTATATGTATATGTATGTACCAACAGTGTCTACAACTACAGTATACACTGTACACTGTGTCCACAAATCAACTTAGCAGCAATGGCAGGTTTTTGCCAACAAGTTCGAGGTTTGAGATCGCCATAACATTTCCATCCGAAGTGTTTTCTGCAGTGGATGTGTGTCTGAACTTTTACCAAATCTAAAAGAGAGGCATATATACGTAGTACTTATCACGGCCGCAGCTCAGAAAGATGTTCAAAGATAATTTTCCAATGATTTCCAACTCTGCAAAAAACCCCGTATTTTGCGTATATTTTTCGTCATCAAACAGAAGCGGCGAGTCTTCCAAAGATTTGGGCATTTTCATGGATGTGGGTCTTTGGGTTCCCGCAAACAAACATTACCTTTGTTAGTTGGAGGGTTCCCCTTCATGGTCTGCTTGAGTAAAGCAGAATCAGGTCCATATTCAACCTCACACCTAGGAATTGAATCTTTAGCTTCCCCAAAGATTTGAAACAAATGGGGGTTTCCTAAAATGGGGGTACCCCAACAATGGACGGTTTATAAGGGAAAATCCATCTATAAATGGATGATTTGGAGGTACCCAACCCTCTTATTATGAATTATCCAACCCTCCCCAACTTGCCAAAAAGCGAACCCAACTCGCACGAGCCGGTCAGATCGGTCAGGTGCCAAACGGTGCACCGGCCATCCCAGCACCTTTAAAATAGCACCAGGATATTTTTTTTGTAGAGAGATCCCAATCCGACATGGGAATCACAACATTTTTTAACTAATATAGGGTTATAACATGTTATAACAATTATAACTAATCATAAGATTCCAATCCTATATGGTATAAATTGTTATGACAACTACAGGTGTTTGACGTCACTAATGTATGAGAATAATGGTGAATCATGGGGTTCATCACCTTAGGTAGCTGCGGGTGACAAAGAACGCCACATCCATTACACATGCTGTTTGGAATCCCAAGAAAATTGGTTTGGAAGATAATTCTCGTATTTCACTTTGTAACTTTTGGATGTAATCCTATCATATCTGCAGTTGGCTATATAATCCTATACACCGAAATGATTAATATTGATTAATATTAATTAATGACTAATGTTCATCCTTTCCATTTTTCATGGTAAATGTTCACGCGTTCTCTGATATGTCTTGTGATCGATTTGTACCTACAGATCTTTCAAAATTGTGGTTCCACATGGCTCTGAGTCATTTGGCCCACGAAGTATTTTGTCAAATGAACATCCATCACAATCAACAAAACTTTGTGAAAACCAGGGTAGCAGGGTAAACTGACCCATACCCACATCTAGCTACGATTCAAACATGGAACCCCAGTTTAGCCATTAAATTCGCCGTTTTCAGTACTGTACCATCTATCATCTAATTTTGGTGAATTTTGGTGATAAATCAGTTTGAACCAGACCCATTTCTTATTTTCTTCAACTTTGACCCCGAAACCCCAAACCTGGCCTCCGAAACCGGACATGCCCGGCATGCCAGACTGAAGACCAGAAAGACCTCCGATGTTCAATCCCGACCTGAGCCACAAACGAAACGTTGGCTTAGTCGTGGACCTTTTCGGTTTTCATCATTTTGGGGTCTCTTATCGGGGCTATTTAAAACTACAAGGTGTGGAAACATCCTCTGGTAAAAACCACCAGTTCTCTCCATTTTTGATAATATATCACCAATAAACAGACCATGTTCAATGGCTAGGTTAGCTAGGATCGGCCCTCACAATTGGGCCAATTTTGCACACAAGTGGCCTACAAGGCCCCTTTTTGTTGGTGAAATCCGAATGGTTTGACCCCCTACCATTTTTCGACAAAAATGTCAGCCCAGTGGACACTCCAGGCATCTGCGAGAAGGACATCTGCTGAAAAGTTGGCATCCCCAGGTTGGACAGGTTTGAAACACCTGGGTCCCACGAATCTCAGATGCTATCACGTGTTGCGTGGGGATGGTGCGACTTGAGTGACTTGAGTATGTCCCAAAAAATCGGGACAACAAAGTCGGCAGGTTCTGTTCTTTGCTTCACGGGGATTGTCATCTTCCAACTTGAATTCATGGGATGATCATGATCCCCGATAGACACGGTGCAGATTCGGTGACATGTGGAAGTACTATTGATAGACTTTGTCCACACCTTGAAGTTTCCTGGATTATTATTGCGTCCTTAATGTTCAGCAAGTTCAGCAAGTCGATGAACAAGGTTGACATGTCAAGATTGAAGTACAAAAAAATAGAAAAACAACTCAAACATGTGTTCCATACCTGTCAGATGTACGTTGAAATTCCGCTTGCCGGGTTTTTGGCCTAGCCCGGTTGCCATGAACGTATGTCGCTGGACGTCTGCGGTGATATCAATGTCACATGCAAGCAAATCCCTTTGTTGAGCTGGCACTTGCACGGACAACCAGCCCCCCTGCATGTATTTGAACCCTTTGATTGTTTTCCTTTTGTGATATTGTAACAGGTTGCAAGCACACACACACACACACGCACACACACAGGCACACCACCACACACCCCATCATTCCAGGTAGACTGGAGTCTTAACCTATATACAATATCGTATATGAAGCGACAAACAAATTCATTGGCTATGAAGGACCATGGTGTGTCACTTTCTATGAGGGTTTCTCAAAGTACAAAAGGGGAACCCAACAATCATTCAAACATTGTCATTAATTTTTGGTGTTAGACCCTCCAACACTGGACCCCACAGCCGCAATTTTGAGAAGCACCCACATCAGGCCCACATCCGCTCGTTTATCGTACCAAAACTGTAGCCATATGTAAACCATCATTTACTCATACCAAGCACCATGTTTTGCGGATAAGCTACTAGAAAACAACCAACACGCTGAAATCAGGTAGCCCTTCCAGTAAACATTGGTAAACCCCCCATTTGTCAAATCCTATGGATTTCCTTCCCCCCGCCTGGCCTGAGAGATGCGGGTAGGGGCAGCCCAGTGTCGAGCCTGCGTGTCGAACATTATAATGGATTTGGATTTGGCTTATGAGATACTACAATCGATACTACACTTGTCGAAGGAAGCTTAGAAGCCACATTCCAACAATATGGACAGATGGAAAAGCAGAGGTGGGAAGAGTCAAAGAAGGTCAGAGAAGGTCAGAGAAGAGAAGAGAAGAGAAGAGAAGAGAGGAGAAGAGAAGAGACGAGAGGAGAGGAGAAGAGAAGAGAAGAGACGAGAGGAGAAGAGAAGAGAGGAGAAGAGAAGAGAAGAGAAGAGAAGAGAAGAGAAGAAGAAGAAGAAAGAACATCAAGGTGCCCGAAAAGGTAGAAAAGTCGCGAAACACTGTGTTTCTCCGATGATTTGTGGCTCCGGAGGGTCCAAAAGTAGGCTCGCTAAAGCGGCGGGTGCGGAGCCATCTAGAGAGATGAGAAATAAACAAGTGCACACTGTTGTGGCGCGGAGCAAGTTTCGAAGTAAGAATGCACAAAACACCTCAACGTCGGAGCACTTTTGGAAGTTGAGATGTCGACAAAGTGCACGCCGTTGTGGCGCGAAGCACATTTCGAAGTCAAAATGTACAAAGCACCTCAGCTTCGGAGCACTTTTAGAAATTGAGATGTTGAAAAAGTGCACGCCGTTGTGGCGCGACGCACATTTGGAAGTGAACATGCTCAAAACACCACATGTTCGTGCCACTTTTGGAAGTTGAGATGTCGAAAAAGTGCACCCTGCTAAAAGTGAGCAAAGTGTGAGGGTTTTGTAGCAGTTTCAAAAACGTTGGCAGGCGTGGGACATTTGAAGAGAATCTGCAAAAATGCATTTCGCGCGACAGGCGCAATACAAGAGACATGTTCATCAGAGATGTTTGGAGGTCAGGGCGGAGATTTCCTGAGAAGGGTTGCATTTTGGAGCATGAGATCTTTAGGTTTGCTAAGATGATTTTGCGTGACGGGTGCAGTACTTCGTATGACCTGGCCCCACTTCTTCGTGCCAGGCGCAATAGCTTAGAGGCATGGACTGGAAAAATCGCAAAAAAAACACTGGTACGAGGCCGTCAGCTCTACATTCAACTTTCCATTATTGAAGGAGGTCTCGCAGAATTGCTTCGTTTTTGATGTTGTCAACTTGAAAAATAGAGGAATTCTCGCAGAATAGCTTCGTTTTTGACGTTGTCGAGCTCAAAAGTTGAGGAAGTCTCACAGAATTAAAGCGCTTTTGATCTTGCCAAGTTCAAAGATTGAGGAAGTCACGCATACTAGCTTTTGTTTTCAAGCTTGCAGATAAGCAGATAGAGAGATAGAGAGATAGATAGAGAGAGAGAGATAGATAGATAGATAGATAGATAGATAGATAGATAGATACATAGATAGATACATAGATAGATAGACAGATAGATAGATAGATAGAGACATAGATAGACAGAGAGATGGCTGGGTAGACAGACACACACAAACAGATAGACAGAGACAGAGAAACAGATATATAGATAGACAGACAGATAGACAACTGCAACTACACTACACTAGAACTACAATTACCAGTAGTACCGCGCAAGGCGGTGGCGGAAGTTTCAAGGATAGGACACTATAGGAGAGGTGAGGTGTTGTGATGCATGAACGGCAGAGCGAATTAACTGATGGACCGAAAGGTGGTTGGAGTTGTGCTTTTTGGAGTGGTTGCAATGGTTGCAGTGGTCACCTCACGCACAACTCCTGGATGCAGTGTGGTGTAATGCAGTTGTAGTTGTAGTTGTAGTGGGGTTGATGTTGGTGAAGTTGTAATGTTAATGTTGTTGTTGTTCTTCTTCTTGTTGTTGTGGTTGTAGTAGTAGTGTAGTTGAAGTTGTATCTGTCTTAATTATAGTAATTGTAGTAGTTGCAATAGTTGTAGGAGTGGCAGTTGTAGTTGTAACTGTAGTTGTAGTGTAGTTGTAGTTGTAGTCGTAGTCGTAGTTGTAGGCTGTAGTGTAGTGTGGTGGTAATTGTTGTTGTAGTAGTGTAGTTGAAGTTGAAGTGTAGTTGTGCTGTAGCTGAAGTCGTATTGTAATTGTAGTTGCAGCTGTAGTTGCAGTTGCAGCTGTAGTGTAGTTGTAGTAGTTGTTGCAGAGTAGTTGTTGCAGGTGTAGTTGTAGTTGCAGTTGCAGTTGTAGTTGCAGTTGTAGTGGCACTTGTATTTGTAGTTGTAGTAATTGTAGTTGAGGTTGTAGTTGTAGTTGAAGTGTAGTTGAAGTTGTAGTTGTGGTTGTAGCTGTAGTTCTTGTAGTTGAAGTGTAGTTGAAGTTGAAGTTGTAGTGGTAGGTGTAGTTGAAGTTGTAGTTGTAATGTGGTCTAGTGCAGTTGCAGTTGTCTATCTATCTGTCTATATATATATACACATGTTGATCTATTTGTCTTTCTGTTCATCTATCTGTCTATCTACCTATCAACAATCAACCTATCAACCTATCAACCTATCAATCTAGCTATCTAGCTATCTAGCTATCTAGCTATCTAGCTATCTAGCTATCTAGCTATCTAGCTATCTAGCTAACTAGCTATCTAGCTATCTAGCTATCTAGCTATCTAGCTATCTAGCTACTATCTAGCTATCTAGCTATCTAGCTATCTAGCTATCTAGCTATCTAGCTATCTAGCTATCTAGCTATCTAGCTATCTAGCTATCTATCTATCTATCTATCTCTCTCTGTCTATCTATCTATCCATCTATCTATCCATCTATCTATCCATCTGTCTATCTATCCATCTATCTATCTATCTATCTATCTATCCATCTATCCATCTGTCTATCTATCCATCTATCTATCTATCTATCTATCTATCCATCTATCCATCTATCCATCTATCCATCTATCCATCTATCCTTCCATCCATCCATCCATCCGTCTATCTATCTATCTATCTATCTGTTTATCTATCTGTTTATCTATCTGTTTATCTTTCTGTTTATCTATCTGTTTATCTATCTGTTTATCTATCTGTTTATCTATCTATCTATCTGTTTATCTATCTGTTTATCTATCTGTTTATCTATCTGTTTATCTATCTGTTTATCTATCTGTTTATCTATCTGTTTATCTACCTGTTTATCTACCTGTTTATCTATCTGTTTATCTATCTGTTTATCTATCTGTTTATCTATCTATCTATCTCTCTCTCTCTCTCTCTCTCCCTCCCTCCCTCCCTCCCTCCCTCCCTCCCTCCTCATCTTTTTTTGAAGTTGGCAACATCAAAACCGAAGCAGTTCTGCGAGACTCCCTTCAATAATGGAAAATTGAGTGCACAGCTGACGGCCTCGTGCCACTTGCGTTTTGCGATTTTCTACTCCATGTCTTTAAACTTTAAAGTATTGCGCCTGCCAGGCAAAAGTGAAGCCAGGTCATACGAAGTATTGCACCTGTCACGCAAAAACATCTTCGCAAAGCTGAAGATCTGATGCTCCAAAATGCAACCCCTCTCAGGAAATCAGCGCTCTGACCTCCTAACATCTCTGATGAACCATGTCTCTTGTACTGCGCCTGCCACGCGGCATGCATCTTTGCAGATCCTCTTCAAGTGTCCCACGCCTGCCAACGTTTTTGAAACTGCTACAAAACCCTCACACTTTGCTCACTTTTAGCAGGGTGGAGAATCCCTTGCGCCTGCCACGCGAAACGACATCTGACCGTCCAAACGTACTCCGAACCCGTCAGATTTTTTACACTTTTGACTTCGAAATGTGCTTCGCGCCACAACGGCGTGCCCTTTTCCGACATGTCAACTTCCAAAAGTGGTCCGAGCATGGTGTGCTTTGTACATTTTGACTTCGAAATGTGCTTCGCGCCACAACGGCGTGCGCTCTGTTGACATCTCAACTTCCAAACGTGGTCCGAACATGGTGTGTCTTTAGCATTTTGACTTCGGCATGTGCTTCGCGCCGCAACGGCGTGCACTTTGCTGACGTTGAGGTGTTTTGTACGTTTTTACTTCGAAACGTGCTCCACGCCACAACAGTGTGCAATTGTTTATCTCTCATCTCTCTAGATTCTAGATGGCTCCGCACCCGCCGCTTTAGCGAGCCTACTTTTGGACCCTCCGGAGCCACAAATCATCGGATAAACACAGTGTTTCGCGACTTTTCTACCTTTTCGGGCACCTTGATGTTCTTTCTTCTTCTCTTCTCTTCTCTTCTCTTCTCTCCTCTTCTCTTCTCTTCTCTTCTCTTACTCTTCCCATCTCTGCTTTTCATCTGTCCATATTGTCCGAAGTTTGACTTCTAAATTTCCTTCGACAACTACACTACAACTACAACTACAACTTCAACTACACTTCAACTACACTTCAGCTACAGCTACAACTACAACGTCGACTACACTTCAGCTACTACCACAACTTCAACTACAACACTTCAACTTCAACTTCAACTTCAACTGCACAACAACAACAACAACAACAAGCACAACAAGCACAACTAGAACTACAACTACAACATTACAACATCAACAACATCAACTACACTACAACTACAGCTACAACTACAACCACGCTACAACTACAAACTACAATTACAGCTACAATTACATTTCATGTCTCTACGCCACACTGCGTCCTACAGTTTTGGGTGAGGTGACCACTGCAACCACTCCAAAAAGCACAACCACCTTTCGGTCCATGAGTGGATTCGCTCCGGCATCCATGCATCACAGCAACTCACCTCTCCTATAGTTTCCTATCTTTAAAACTTTCGCGGCCGCCTTGTGCGGTACTGCTGGCAATGAAAACTGTTAACACGATTAATTATCAGTAGAATCCAATACAATGGAAAGTGCTACTATAGGATACTATTGTGTAATCCTGATCTTGAGGCGTCTTGATTATGACGAGGACTTGGGGGATGATGATGCTGATGATGCTGCTGCTGATGATGATGATGACGATGACCATCAGTAGATAATTATTGTTGAAAAACTACTAGCCTCTATTAGTACTATCGTTCTCAATCATTATGATCAGCAAAACATCTAAAACCGTTGTGACGACTGATGATGGATGACTACTCTCCTGAGGTGTACAGTAATGCAACCATACTATAACATACTCTAACCATGTTAATTTCCTAAAATGGGGCACCCCCACATTACCCATGTAAATAAGATTTTCCATTACAAACCGTCCATTTTGGGGTATCCATGGGAACCCCCATTTATGGGCACCCTCCAAAAACGCCATGGCAATTATTCCATATCACATCTCCATCCTCGCCTATCAAGCCAGGCACCGTGAGTTGTCCTGGGCCCGGTGAAGCCAGTGAAGAGACCGGCGGAGCATCATCTTTAACTTGCGTCCTGAGCAACATCTGCAGCAAATTTGGGATTTACGCAACAACTTTTTTTTGGCATTATTGGGGACGAACGGTTTAAACATCCTGATCTACTTGAACTTGACCAACAGAAACAAGGTCTTCATGTGATTTAGCCAACAAACAGGCTGATTTGACTGAAGATTTCATAGGATTGAATGACATGAATGCCGGCATATGGCGACATTTTTCCTCATTGATGATACTAATTGATGGCCCACTTGTTGACAGTTCCATAAGATGCCTAAACACCCTGTTGTTGCTGCTCAACCTGGGGTCAAACTTTGGGTACCAGTGGACCCAGGGGGGTTGCTGACCCGCCATTCTATTGATGCTTGTTTTTATCCCACTTGAACAATCTCTTGATGGTTGCACATCATCTATATCATGTCTACCATGCTGGGACAACCTTATCATCACATGCTAATCATCAAGAAGCAACGTGGGAACCCCATAGTTATTGCATTTTCGAAGATTATAACATCCCATCTGCGGGGTAACCGTTCTTCCGTTGCAAGTCAATCCAAACATCACACTGGATCAGTTCACCCTGGTGGTTTTCACATCAGACTGTGGTTGGTGGTGATGGATGAAAATCTGACCAAACGAACCGGATCTGGATGGCCCTACCACATATGCCTCGCTAACCAGTAGTACCGCGCAAGGCGCTGGCGGAAGTAAGTTGTTGTGATGAATGGATGGCAGAGCGAATCCACTGACGGACCGAAAGGTGGTTGGAGCTGTGCTTTTTGGAGTGGTTGCAGTGGTCACCTCACCCACAACTGCTGAATGTAGTGTGGTGTGGTGTAGCGCAGTTGTAGTTGCAATTGTAGTTGTAGCTGCAGTGTAATGGCAGTTGAAGTTGAAGTTGTAGTTGTAGTGTAGTAGTAGTAGTAGTAGTAGTAGTCGTCGTGGTAGTCGTAGTAGTCGTAGTAGTCGTAGTCGTAGTCGTAGTCGTAGTAGTAGCAGTAGTAGTAGTAGTAGTAGTGGTAGTAGTGGTAGTAGTAGTAGTAGTAGTAGTGGTGGTGGTAGTAGTAGTAGTAGTAATAGTAGTAGTAGTTGTTGTTGTTGTAGTTGCAGTAGTGGTGCAGTGGTAATTGTAGTTGTAGTTGTAGTTGTAATGTAGCGTAGTGTAGTTGCAGTTGTCTATCTAACTGTCTATCTGTTTATCTCTCTATCTGTCTGTCTATCTAACTGTCTATCTATCCATCTTTCTGTCTATCAATCAATCAATCAATCAAGTCTAACCATCCATCTATCTATCTGTAAGCTTTGAAACGAAGCTATGTTGCCAGATGTCCTCAATTTTGGAACTTGAAAACATCAAAAACGTAGCATTTCTGCGAGACTTCCTCAGTCAAAAACGCAGCAAGTCTGCGAGACGTCCTCAATTTTCGAAGTTTACAACATCAAAAACGAAGCAATTCCGCGAGACTTCTTCAATAATGGAAGAGTGCAGAGCTGACGGCCTCGTGCCAATGCGTTTTGCAACTTTTCCAGTCCATGTGTCTAAAGTACTGTGCCTGCCACGAAAAAGTGAGGCCAGGCCATACGAAGTGCTGCACCTGTCACGAAGAATTAACACACCTGAAGATCTGATGCTCCAAAATGCAACCCCTCTCAGGAAATCAGCGCTCTGACCTCCTAACATCTCTGATGAACCGTGTCTCTTGTACTGCGCCTGCCACGCGGCATGCATCTTTGCAGATCCTCTTCAAGTGTCCCACGCCTGCCAACGGTTTTGAAACTGCCACAAAACCCTCACGTCTTGCTCACTTTTGGCAAGATGCCGAATCCCTTGCACATGCCACGCAAAACCACACTGTAACTTCAAAAAGTGGTCCGAGACACTCCGAAACCCTCAATTTTTAACACTTTTGAGTTGCGACCGTGCTTCGTGCCACAACGCCGTGCACTTGTTGAACATCTCAACTTCCAAAAGTTGCTCCGAACATGGTGTGCTTTTAGCATTTTGACTTCGAAATGTGCTTCGCGCCGCAGTGCCGTGCACTTTTTGAACATCTCAACTTCCAAAAGACTTTCGAAGCTGCGGTGTTTTGTACATTTTGACTTCCAAATGTGCTTCACGCCACAACGGCGTGTGCTTTTTCCACATCACAACTTCCAAAAGTGCTCCGGACGTGAGGTGTTTTTAGCTTTTTGACTTCGAGATGTGCTTCGGCCACAACGGCGTGCACTTTCTATCTCTCATCTCCCCAGATGGTTTCGCACCCGCCGCTTTAGCTTCTTCTCTGACTCTTCCCACCTCTGCTTTTCCATCCATATTGTCGGAAGCTTGACTTCTAAACTTCCTTCGATTATGCACTATCTTGTTTCTTGCTAGTTCTGCTAATTTCAACATCGCTATGGAAAAAAAACCTCTCTTGGAATAGGAAAATCATCTTGAAATGGGCCATCTTCCATAGCATTTGCATTTTGAAGTGGTCCTTCACTTCCCCACCACCACGATCGCACGGTAAGACCTGACATATGGAGGCACCCCTCAAAGACACCTCACTAATGGAACCCCTGATTCTATTGGGAAACAGAACTTCTGGTGGGATACGGTCATTTCTTGTAAGCAAATTGTGCTATATAAATGACTCAAATACACCAACTATCTCTGATGCAGAAACTCCTCTTCCAGACCTCTTTTCAATCATTTTCGTGCGTTCTATGTTGATTTTCAGGGACATTTTCTAGAGATACTCCCATCTCCCCGACTTCTCACTCCGATGCCAAAGTTCGCTGCAGGCTGGGCCTTAGGTCAATCGAGTCATGGTAAGTGGCATGGCCAAGTTACATAGGATTAATGGGGGCCATCCCACCATCATAAGATTGGAAATCCGTATCTTGGCCACTAGATGCCATGAAGCAAATCCCTATTCATGGTAGTATGACCGTCCCAACATATGGGTATGCAATCCAACTTTCGACCATCGCAGTTATGACAAATGATCAGTTCCTGAGATCCGTAACGGATGTGTGGGGAAACAAAACTTCATGGTTGGTGCTTTCAGGCCCATCTTCAAGGGAGAAACGCCATTTTAAAATTTGAAAGCGCCAGCTAGTTCATCTGCGATTTCATCCCCATCAAAGCCATTCAAAGCAAACCCCTTCAAGAACAATTGACTTCAAACCTTCAACCCCTTTAGACTTTAAAACCCATATTTCAAACATTTTAAACCACTAAAGAGTCTTCAAAACTGCGTTTTGAACCCGTTTTTTGGGACCGGATTTGGGTTTCTCATCGTGGCCCATCGCAAGAAGAGCCACGGGCACAGGCGAGTCAGGACGAGAATTGGCCGGCTCCGATGCCATGTGCCTTGGACCAATTTGGGAATTCTTGGCAGTTTAGCCATCCAGGTTTGCTGGTCAATCATTTAGCCAACACGGTGACCCCACGGCGACCCCAGGACCATGTCAGACCCCTGGTGACCTGGTTTTGCTGCCAGCACCACAAGCCGAGACACTGGGTGGCTCCACATGCAACCTGTCCAGGTGACAAATTCAAGGCCTAGTTTCATGGCGAAGTTTGGATACTCATCAAATATTGTGCATCTATTCAAACATCTTTCAAACCTCTCTGGTGCAAGTATATACATTCTTGGAATTTCTGAGCTGGGTAACTATTTTCACCCATTCACAGCCAAGGATGAAACTATCGAACTCCCCATCTTTATCGGATGATCCTCACGACAGGTGAGCAATCAAGCACCATGAAGCGCCGATGGTGGCCCTGTCAAGTTTTTCTAGTCATATCCTTCATGTTAGGATATGTTAGGTCTGTAAGTCTGGTGGCAACTGTCGAGTCATGATTTTGACCAGGTCCATGGTTGATCCTAGTCACCTCTTGGCTCACGTACGAAGCGTGTTGCTTACCATCCACCGGGCGTCCGAAAACAGGGTATACATCGGGTACAGCCCGTTTCAAGCAAATTAATTGCCATCACATGTTTCTGTTTAGGTATACAGAGCATACGGATGTATACGGTATAACGGTATAACTCTCAAAAACACACCTCCACCATCCCGTTTCTTCTGGCGCCTTAAAACCCAAATCCAGTTCCAGGTGCTCCACCCTGGCTTGCAGCAAGTTATGTTTGGACTCCAGCAAGTGCCCGGCCATAATCTGCATCCTCGGTTCATATAGCGAAGCTATGCCAAAGGCCAAGGGTTTTGTTGGTGACACCCCCTCAACGTAACATGGAACTAAAAAGTGGGATGCCGAAGATTGGTTTACTGAAGATTGCCGTTCTTGAGTTAAATGGTGAATTTCGGCGGTGTAAGAGTGTAAGGGAAATCTCGAATTTGGCTACACACCCACGGGTGCCTGTTGAATTTCTTTGTGGATGAAGGGTCTCTCGGGTACTCAAACGTGGCAATGGAAATTCGGGAAATCCCCTGTCAATGAGGGACTTTGATGGGGAAATCTCACTCTCATCTACATTGCCAAGTTAGACTAACAGCGGATACACAGCTTGGTTTGATATGGTTTGATGTGAGGTGTAAGCCACTGGAAATCTAGCCGAGGAGTCAAATCATGTCAAATCGGTATTCAATTGTATTGACATACTGGGCAACTGCCTCAAGTGAAATGCGGAAGTGAAAGTAAGGCTCGAAGAAAAAAAACTTGTGTTTTTCGTTCACCGATCTTTTTTCTTACATTGATTCCCCGAATCAAGTTGCAGATGGGCACTAAAAAGAAAGCGCAGTAGTTCGAAAACACACTAAAATTTCCCAAGGTTCGTTCATGATGGGCTTATTCAGTTTCAACTTTCTGAACGAAAGGTCTTCAATTCCCATGAATGAGAAAGCCAAACAAGCCTCACCAGTTGAACGATACGTCTGACTGAATTATGGGGTGGTAAACCATCGTCTACGATGACTTTGGCTAGTGATATCGGTCCAATTCACCCACATATGTAGCCGCCGTGCCTATGTCCACTGACGGTTGAAAAAGGTTTGATTTCCAGACATAAGCACTGGTGGACAAGGGGATGGTCGAACGAATCCACACAATTTGTCAATGTTTAAGCAACTAAACCAGATACGGGATGCTATTTCAATCCAAGACTATGAGAACCTCACATTTGAATCCACAGCAGATATATGATTTCAATTAAAAACACCATGCCTATGACTCCAAACCTTTAAAGCTGCACCCACCCATCATTGCTCCCCTACATGCGTGCCGGGGATCTGTAGCTCCATCTTGGTGCTACTGAGGGCAGACTGGTAGTGCCGAATCTCTGCTTGAAGATGGGCATTTTGCCACCTGAGAGTCGCGATATGATGGGCCAAGGTGGCCATTAAATGTCGCTGGAAGCAGCGGTTAGATATCTCAATAAAAATGAAACAATGATATGACACAACAATATATGTGACTTGTACCAGATAGTACTACTAATGCTAATGATCATAAGAACATATAAGATCCAAAATATCACCGACAATACCAATGAGAAACACATATCCAACAATGACTCGTACAGTAGTACATGAGAAAAACGACCCGCAGACTGTTTGTACTACGTATCTCTTTATTCATACTAACGACAACAACGATGAGATGAGGATTTCCGAGATGAGGATTTCTTAAGCCATGGTTTGGACCCAAAGTTGTCACCCAAGTTCTTGGTCATATTTAGAAATACGTACTTTTAATGGGTGAACCAGTGGTGAATAAGTGTACACCTGCGGATGCAGCCAAAACCTTAGACCTAACATCCCGTGCTTCAATTCTGGCAACATGTTGAGATTGGCTCAGAAATGGCCAGGAATTATATAAATACATAAGATACAGTGAACCCACGATTAATATGGAATTGCCTGAAAATATCGGAGCCCCCAAAGGCACTGGATAATGAGAATTCTTCCTATCGAAATTGCGCAAAGCAGGAGTATTAGTACCCGACTTTCAAGTATATATGGACCCACCATCGAATAAAACATACCCTCCTCTTTCATTAAATGCCAATGGGAAATCCTCTATACATAAATTGATATTTCAATGGGAAAATCATCGATCAACAAATGGTGGATTCCCATGGATTTTCCCATGAAGGCGGCAATGACGAAATGGTCCAGGTGCTGTAAAAATAGCAGGGAGGTCGACTGGGCAGAGCCGGAAATCTCAGGTATCTTCTCCTGGAATGCCATGGGAAGCCGCCGAATTTTTTTTCCCGCCAGGGGGTGGTAGGGTAAAAAAAACAGCCTCTTTCAGCCAGCATTTTGCTGGAGAAATCATAGTAAATCATAGTAAATCCAATACCCATCATTGTGATTCATTGTGATCGCTGAAACCCCAACTATCCCCAACTCAACCATTCCGGTGCTCAAGAACTCCCCCATCAAGCATATCACCAGTGGCTTTGTGGTTGGTGATTTCACTCCCTGAAAAATATGCTCGTCAGTCCTGATCATCATCCCAAATCATATCCCAAATGGGGCTGTTGTCAAAAAAGATCTTTGAATCAACCAACCAGCGGTGAATTGGTGAATATTGGTTATATATATATATATCCACAGTATATCCACATTACATCCCCATTTTAGAAAGCTTACACATAAGAGTCGAGTTGAACAAAGAATGTTTGACACCACCAACCAGTAAAAACCATAGATCAATGGATAATGGACTAAATCTAAGGGAACATCTACAGGAAACCATGGATTTTCCCATGAAGTCATGGTAATTTTCTCTAACATCTGGGTTCCTGTTCCCTTAAACCAATCCATTGAATAGATAAAACCGCCAGACTTTGGCCACCAGTGGCCCCAGCTGTCACCTTTGGCATCTCCAAGCTTGGTCCAGGCGTTTCCGAACCCGCGGCAGCTGCTGCTTTGGCCACCTGCGACACCAATCCAGCCAGTTTTGCTGGAGTTTCGGAGTTATATGGGGGTTTCCATAAATGGGGATACCCCAAAATCGACTGTTTATAAGGGAATGGATGATTTAGGGGTACCCCCATTTTAGGAAACTTCCATATGAGCTGTGATCTTTGATGATTTCGTTAAGGACCTTGAGATAGATCCACATGAGAAAATGTGGCACGTCTACGTGAAGGTCTTGGGCTGTAAAGTTCTTGGACGTTTTTGAGGAATGATACATATTTATTCTGATCCAATCAAATACAAAACCGGGCTTTTCTTGACAAGAAGTGGCGACGTATGAAGGGAAAAACTCAGCGGACATATGCTCAGAAACATAGGAAACTGAGAAGCACAACAAGAATCATCATAATCATCTCACCTTGGCAAAAACAAAAACCAAACAGTTATACGTCATCTTAATCATCTCTAATCATCTCATAATGATCTCGTCACCATCTCGTCTCAGAGTCTCAGCTTCTCAATATTGGGCTACTCCCATTGGTTTCCCCATCAAACACCACCCTTGGAGGCCCTGGGCCCATGGCCTGCAACTGGGTACGCAAGGAACTGGCCTCAGATTTCGCCTGTAACATCTGTTCCTCCGCCATGGAAAACCTACGGTCCCAACGTGGGCGAGATCTGAGAAAGTGAAAGAAACACTTGGGGATTACAAAAAGAAACATCCTAGTAGGGATAGAATGGAGGATATCATCCGATATACGATCTGGCATGGGGAATATATGATATGTGGCAAATGTGGTGTTAGGTATTTACGTATCTGGATCAAGTGGCTAAGGTTCAGATAAGAACCCCTGGATGGACGGATGGACAGACCGACATGATCCGGCATGCGCAGCTATGAAACAGCTCTGAACACCAATACTGAAAGGTGCACACATGGAGAGAAAAGGAACCCAACTTCAAATTGGCCCAGTAGAGGAATCATTTCCATCAGCCACATTTCTGCCCTCCACAAGTTGGTTGAGTCCCATGGTGGATAAGAACGGTTCGTATCATATTTTCTGTCCTGAAACAATTCTCATATCAAACATTCGAAACTAAAAAAACCTAGATCTGTATCAACTACGAATTGTACAGTTACTGCTACTAGTAACTGTATCATTATCCACTTAAGCAGCTGTGCTTCCAAGCTGTTTCTGGAGCACGCTGAAACCGTTTTGGCTCTTCAGCAGCTCTTGGTGAAGGGCTTGCACCGCCATCCTAGGCTGGCTGCACTGCACCCTACCAGGCTTGACTACCAAACATGGGGATAAAGACTATTGATATGCTATTGATATGCTATTGATATGCTATTGCTGATATACTATATTAATATACATTGTATCAATATATACGATATTACTTCATACTATATCAATATATACTGAATTAATGTATGCTATAACAATACATATATTACTTCATGCTATATTAATATATACTGCATTAATGTATACTAAATCAATATATACTGAATCAATATTTCCTAAATCAGTATATATATATAAATATTATATATCAATACTACATCAATGTATACTGGACTATATTACTATATACTAAATCAATATATCATACATTTAAAGATACTATTTAAATATATACTAAACTGCCACATACTGTATTAATATAGAAAATATTAATATATACTACATTAATCTATACGATATATATATATAAATTATAGTACTATATGCTAAATTAGTCTTAACAGTACAATATACTGAATTATTTTAAGCAATACTATATTAAGATAAATATATACTATATTAATATATACATATATACTGTATCAATATATACTATATCAATATATACTATATGAATATATACTATATGAATATATACTCTATTAATATAAATATATATACTTATGAATATATACTATATGAATAAAATATATGCTATATGAATATATACTACATGAATATATACTATATGAATATATACTATATGAATACTATATGAACATATACTAATCTATACTATATATATTCTCTCTCTCTCTATATATATATATGTATACACTATAGTAATACTATATCCATATATATATATATATGTTCCCGGTTCGCAGTTCGGTAGCTTCCCCCTCCCCAATGGTATAATACCCCGCGCTTTCCCCAAAAAACCAGCATTTGCATGCTATTTGCAGCACTGCAGCATTTCAGAGTCACGGCCTCCCATTTGCATGCTATTTGCACCACCCACACCACAGGGGGAGGGCGCAACCACATACACTTCTAGATATCTCATACTAATGATAGATATGTACATGTATCATGTATGTGTAGACATGTATATGTATGTTCTATATACTTGCTACCTATAATACTATACACTCTACATATTTGCTACCTATACACTGCCTATATACTACCTATATAACACGGTTACAAATAGATAGACACTACCTGTGTACTACATACATATGTACTACATATATACTACCACATAGCACCTGTGTACCACTTATTTGGATGCGCCAGCTATTATATATTCATATATATTCCCCAAACAGCAGATGCAACTCCCTTCCCACCCGAACCCACACCACAGGGACCCCAACCGGGGGGGGGAACCTAGAACCTGGAAGAGAGAGAGAGATATATATATACATGCTATATTAATATATACTCTATCACTATATACGATAATTATTCATATGTATACTAAATCAATATATACTACATTAGTATATAAATATCTTATATTAATACATAGTATTCGTAGATACTATATTAATCTATGTATATATATATAATGTACTATATTAATATATACTATACTAATATATACTATATCAATATATACTACATTAATATATACTATATCAATATATACGATATCAACATATACTATATTATATATACTATATATTAATATATACTATTTTAATACATACCATATTAATCTATGTATATACACACTATATTGATATTTACTATACTAATATTATATGAATATCTAATATGTCAATATACGTAGTGTATATACATGTATACACCCAAATCCATCTGGTGGGTTTCAAGGAATCCCATGACCTTCTTGGTGCTTCCATTCAGGCCGAAATATCAAGCCGTCCACGAAGCATTTTGAACCACGATGGTTCAGGCAGATCACCATTTCCATGAAAGGTATAGTTAATAGATGTTAATATTATATTAATAGTATATTCATGCTATCTTAATGGTATATTATCATATTTCCCCTGCTCTTGTGTGGCTGGGAAGCTCTGATTGTAGCTCCAACTAGCTCCCCATTGTTCATAGACTTCATGGGGAATACCATAGCTCCGAGCTGCTCCCTCCTAACCAGTTCCCCTCTGGAGTCTACATGCGGTAACTACATCTAAATATACGGCTTTTTTAATATATATATATATATATTTTTTTTTAAGACTACCTCCGGGAAGGTTTTCCTTGGCCCGCCCGGCCATTTAAACATACGGAATCCAGTTTATTTAAACATACATTAAAACATACGGATGGAACTGGCGTTTCATACTATCTCCGGGGCCTTGTGGTCTGGCCCGCCCTCCATATATTTAAATGTCGTTACCGTAGTTGTAAGTGGATATTGGATGTTTTCCAATTGAAATACCTTTTATAGAGGATTTTCAATTGGCATGTGGATGTTTGACTACCAAAGGGCATACCCATTTCTAAGCCCAACTGCGACCCCAAGTTACCCCAAGTTACCCCAAGTATGCGGCTCTAGGCTCTGGCTTTCCAACAACATCTTCTCTGCAGGTTGAGGAGTCGCCTGGCAGCCGGACTGTTGCCAGCAAAGATTTATGGGATATAACATATATACTGTATGCATATCATATGTATGTAGTAGAATGTAGTGCAATGTAACGTAACATAATATGACATAACATAGTAAAAAACAAACTATAAACACATAACATACCATAACCTAACATAAGATAAAAATAATATAATAATATATGTAAAAACATATAATAAACTATAGTATAATGTAATTTTCCAATAATATAATAAAATATAAAATAAAATATCGTAATAATATAATGTAATATAATAAATCATAGTAGTATATAACATTGTATGACTGCATGTATGGATGGATGGATGCATGGATGTATGGATGTAAATCTGGATGTATATATGGATGTATCTATGGATGTAAATGTGGAGGTATTGTATTGTATTGTGTTGTACTGTGTTGTATTGTATTGTATTGTATTGTATTGTATTGTATTGTGTTGTACAGTATTGTATTTGTATTTGTATTGTATTGTATATTGTACTGTATTGTATTGTATTAGTATGCATGCATGCATTACTAAGTATTGTATTGTATGGTATTGTATTATCGCATCGTATCGTATGGTATTGTAGTGTATATTCTATCGTAGCGTATCGTATCGTGTCGTGTGGCGCTGTGTTGTGTTGTATTGTAATTCTAATTGTAAATGCAGTTGTAACTGTAATTGTATTCGTATTGTATATATATATATACATACATACATATCCAGCTGAACGAACAAAACGGTCATTTGGTTTTGTCCCAAAAATGGGGGAACATATGGAATATGGACAAATGATGATCAACCATGAAATGGAATGAGGTACGGTATATTGAGACAAATCAACAAGGCAAAGGCACACTCATCCCTTCATGTTTGGAACCTTGAGGTACCCGGCAAGTGTGATAGGTGCAACCTTTCTATTTCCACAATGTTGGCGCAGCCCTGCAAAAACCATGAGTTTCCTTACTAAAAACAGCTAGAACCATAAGTTTCCCCAGCAAAAATCGATCCATTTCGGTGCCTCCCATGGTTTTCCCCCCATGGCCTCCACCGGCTTTGCCGGTGCCCGCAATGGCTTTGGGTCCGACTCCTCAGGCGACAACTATAGTTAGGTGACTGATAGCTGAAGGGCACCACCTTGTGGACCTCAAGAAACTGGGGGATAACCAAGCAAATCTGAGACAAGTTGGAATGGTTGGAGGTCGGTTCAGCAACAAAGTGGTGAGATTACCAGGAAACCATGGAGACAACTGATGAATACGTTGCTCTTCCCATCTTCCAGGCCCTCTGCCCTCCGCATAAAACCATGCAAACACTACGCAGCACCACCGCAGCACAGTTCAACCAATCACCAAATCGATATCACAACAGGCGCAATACCCTAAATCCACATCCCGATACCCAATCCAGCGAAGCAAGCAGGCATAACACCCAAACGACAATAAACTAGATATGTGTTTTGATGAACACCACTTTTCGCATCTTCTACAGTTCAAAACGTGAATCTCGCTAAACTAATATATAATCATACCAATTCATGATACACTGGTTTTGGGATGGTTACCCTTAATTACTAACCATCATTCTCATCTTCAGGTCGTAGTGGAGCATTCCAAACGCTCCTGTACATTGTACATCAGCCCAACGTTGTGGCTGGTGAACAATCATCTATGACTATGAGAAATCCGAAGGAAATGAGATGGAATATTCAATGAACACAGACTTCATGGCAAGCTCGTTACAACGCAGATAAAATCAAATAATGTTGTAAACCCAATAAACCATCCCATAAACCAACCATTTGGGGGTTATTTTACGGTTTACCCAATTAAATCGAAAACATGGGTTTTTGTCTGATTTTTTTTTGTACCCTGTTCCATCCAATGGTAAACCACACCTTTTTCCATCCAAAAATAGCAAATTTCATCTCCCAGCTGCTGTCGTTTCAGCAATGAAATAGTGCCTGGGCGTGGGCTGCGAAAGTACGAATTCTTCACGGGGAAACGGAGGGGCTGAACGATTCAAACCATTGGATTTTTTTGGGTTTTCACATGTGTTTTGACCATTCAAACCAACCTTTGTTGTTTTTCCATGTTATTTTTGCCAGAAATCCCTGGGTCCCAGCGGTCATTTCTTAATTCTTGAAAGCTGAACTTGCCCTGAAAGTCGAGTTCCTCCATTAGAAGAGACGCGACCGTGGTACGGGGGAATAACTGGGGTCTTCATGGGTCTGTCATGTTTAAAGACAAGTGATTTCCTCGTTTACCATTGCTTGAGGATATGAGAGTGTTGAGCCACAAACTCCGTCCAACAAATCCGGGCCCCAACTCGGTAAAGCGAAGAAATTGGAGAACTTTGTCTCGCGAGTAATTCAGATGCTCAACTCCGGAGTTATCATACCATGGGCCCTGGTCACAACGACTGAGGAAAGACCCCCAGATGAACCCCCTGCGATTGGGCACTTATAGCCCCATCAAACTTATTTGGGTTCAAACCCTATACGAAGTGGTGGTTTCAATCCACACCTGGAGATCATAAATAATAGAATCAATTGCGATCGTCATTCCAAGTTTAAACCACCAACAATATATGATCATATATAAATATGATATATATTAAATATATCTAAGATATATATACATATTATTGTATATATATATTTTGTATCTTAAATATATTATAAATACAAAACTATTATATATATTTTAACTAATATATATATCTTAAATACAAAAAACAATTAAACACAATATATATAATACCAATGATAAATCTTGTAAAATATATACATTATAAAAATATTATATATATATATAAATATTATATTAAATATATTATATATATATATTAAATTATATATATAAATTATATTTAAAGATGTATTAAATATAATATTGAATATATTTAATGTATATAACATGTATAATGTATAAATATATTTACATGTGTATATATATAGATAATATATAGAATAAATACAATATATATATATTATATTATATATATTATATATATTATATATATATTATATATATATTATATTATATATATATTATATATATATAAATATTATATATATATATATTATATATTATTTATATTATATTATATATTGTATATATATATATTATATTAAATATATATTATATATGTTATTTATATATATATATATTATATTATAAATATTAAAAATTATATATATTATATATATTGCCGTTTCTTGGTCAAATCCGAGTGGTTTCTTGGTCAAATCCCAGTGGTTTGGTGGTAAACACCTCATGTTTGAAACAAAATCATTAGATCTCAAATTTTGCTGACAAGACACACAAAACGTGTTGTTTATCATGAAAGTTTCCACAATTTGCTAGGTATTTTGAGCCATTCTTCGAGGTGACCTGGAGGTATTCCACATTGGAAATGCGCCGCAAGCGGGATGATTATTATGTAACAATGCTCTTAATGATGGTTAAATTAAACCATCTTAAATCACATGTATGGATGGTGAAATCCCTACCTATGTTTGATGGTGAGATTCCAATCGATTGATGCTTAAATCCCCATTTGTTGATGGTAATGGTACAAACATCCCCATATATTGATGGTTAGAATCCCATTGATGGTTAAACGCCGGGTGAACTGATCCCATTCGGCCCGTCAAAAACGCCAAGTGGCTCGCCCAAGTGACTGCTGGCATCGCCCGAGAGGAGCCGCAACCCGCTTTGCTGTAGCTCCGCCTGGCGGATAGAGATACCTTGGCTAAGCTATGAACACTAGTTGGGGTCTATGGTGGTTAATAACTATAGTTAATATAAGTGAATATGCCTGGATATTTCTGGAATTCATATGTCGAAGTCAAAATGTACTAGACACACCAGCTTCGGAGTCGGAGCACTTTTTGAAGTTGAGATGTTGAAAAAGTGCACGCCGCTGTGGCGCGAAGCACATTTCGAAGTCAAAACTGTAAAAAACTGCCGGGTTCGGAGCACTTGAGGGTTTTGTAGCATTTCCAAAAACGATGGCAGGCGTGAGACATTTGAAGAGGATCTGGCAAGATGCATGTCGCGTGGCAGGCGCCGTACAAGAGACATGTTCATCAGAAATGGTTGGAGGGTAGGGCGCTGATTTCCTGAGAGGGGTTGCATTTTGGAGCATCAGATCTTCAGTTTTGGGAAGATGATTTTGTGTGACAGGTGCAGCACTTCGTATGACCTGGCATCGCTTTTTCATTGCAGGCGCAATACCTTGGAGACATGGGCTGGGAGAATCGCAAAACGCATTGGTACGAGGCCGTCAGCTCTGCACTCAACTTTCCATTTTTGAAGGAAGTCTCGCAGAATTGCTTCTCTTTTGATGTTGCCAAGTTGAAAAATTGAGGAAGTCTCGCCGAATAGCTTCGTTTTTGACGTTGTCAAGCTCAAAAGTTGAGGAAATCTCGCAGAATTGCTGCGTTTTTGATGTTGTCAAGGTCAAAAATTGAGGAAGTCTCCCAGAATAGCTTCGTTTTTAAACTTGCAGATTGCAGATAGGCAGGTAGATAGATAAACAACTACAACTACAACTACCACTACATTACACTACTGCTGATTACACTAATTACACTACACTACACTACACAACGCTACGCTACACTACACTAATTACATCTAATTCCGCTACACTACACTGATTACGCTACAGCTACAACAACTATCACTACCACAGCTACAACAACAATATCAACTACACCACATTACACTATACTGCGTTAATTACATTGCAGTAAACTACAAATACACATGCAACTACAACTGCACTACATTACACAACACAACGCTACACTACACTAATTACATTACATTACGCTACACCTACAGCTGCAACTGCAACTACAAGTGTAACTACCACTAAATTGCACTACAATACATTGCGCTAATTACACCACACCACAGCTACAACTACAACTGCAACTACACTACACTTATTACACATTACAACTACAACTCCACTACACCACCCTACAACTACAACTACGACTGCGCTACACCACACTACATCCAGCAGTTGTGGGTGAGCTGACCACTGCAACCATTGCAACCACTCCAAAAAACACAACTTCAACCACCTGTCCGTCCATCTATGGATTCGCTCTGCCATCCGTGATTCGCAACAGCCAACCTCTCCTATAGGTTTCCGATTTTTGAAACTTCCGCCACCGCCTTGTGCGGTACTACTGGTAGTTGTAGTTGAAGTTGAAGTTGTAGTGTAGTGCAGTTGCATTTGTCTTCCTATCTGCCTATCTATATATCTGTTTATCTATTTGTCTTTCTGTTTACCTATCTGTCTATCTGTCTATCTATCTATCTATCTACCTATCTGTCTATCTTTTTTTCTATCTATATCTATCTATATCTATCCATACCTATCTATATCTATCTATATCTATCTATACCTATCTATCTGCAAGTTTAAGAACGAAGCTATTCTGGGAGACTTCCTCAATTTTTGACCTTGACAACATCAAAAACGCAGCAATTCTGCGAGATTTCCTCAACTTTTGAGCTTGACAACGTCAAAAACGAAGCTATTCGGCGAGACTTCCTCAATTTTTCAACTTGGCAACATCAAAAGAGAAGCAATTCTGCGAGACTTCCTTCAAAAATGGAAAGTTGAGTGCAGAGCTGACGGCCTCGTACCAATGCGTTTTGCGATTCTTCTAGCCCATGTCTCTAAGGTACTGCGCCTGCCACGAAAAAGTGATGCCAGGTCATACGAAGTGCTGCACCTGTCACGCAAAATCATCTCAGCAAACCTGAAGATCTGATGCTCCAAAATGCAACCCCTCTCAGGAAATCGTTTTTGAAACTGCTACAAACCCTCGCGTTTTGCTCACGTTTGACAAGGTGCATAATCCCTTGCGAGTTCCACGCAAAACGACATCTGAACGTCCAAAAGTGCTCCGAACCCGTAAGTTTTTACACTTTTGACTTCGAAATGTGCTTCGCGCCACAACGTCGTGCACTTTTTCGACATGTCAACTTCCAAAAACGGTCCGAGACCGTGACTTTTTAACACTTTTGACTTTGAAATGTGCTTCACGCCACAACGGCGTGCACTTTTTCAACATCTCCACTTCCAAAAGTGGTCCCAGAATTGCGTGCTTTGTACATGTTGACTTGGAAATGTGCTTCGCGCCACAACGGCGTGCAATTTTTCGACATGTCAACTTCCAAAAGTGGTCCGAACCTGGTGTGTTTTGTACATTTTGACTTGGAAATGTGCTTCGGGCCACAACGGCGTGCAATTTTTCCTACTTTCCGGAAAGCTTTTGGAGGATCTATAGCCATTCCGTGGCATGGTTTTGCGACGAAAATGGATCATGATGGGTTTTCGTATTCAAAAAATAGGGTTTACCTCTACAAGTTTCCCTCCAATTATAGGTTTTGTATTCTTCTTCATGGTTCTTCACCGACTTTGGTATGACCACATGACCACCTCAAAAGGACCTCCCAGAACCGCCAGAAAAACAGCCGGAACTCGGTCCTCCACATCGGCGGAGAGGCGACATCGCGCGCTGCGCGACAGCAGGATGCGGTGCTCAGCCGCCTTGGAACTGCAGGATGGCTTCAATCCAGACCAAAATGGCAATCATTGGGGAAATAAGAGTAAATCTCCATTACTATTATTGTATTTACATATATTTACTATCCATAATAACAGGGTAATTAAACTTAATGGACTGTATATTGCAAAGATTATTTTTTTTATTGCTATTACTGTTAGTAGAATGTCCATGCATGTTAGTAAAGCAGTAGTAAACCATCAATATTTTGATATACGACCCATGGATGATAAAATTGGGGATGGTTTACTACTGCGCCCTACTAACATTGCAAAGATGATTTTTGTTATTATCAATATTCTTAGGTAAAGAAGATGGACATTCTTATCGATACTACATGCTTCTTCTTGCTAATGGACATTATTGTGGATATTATGTGAAAATAAGTCTATCTCACATTAATTATATACATAATAATGTTCATCAGTAATAGCAGGTATATCTCACCAACAACAATGCTAACAATGACAATAGTAATGATGTCCAAAAAAATAGTTATATCTCACATCAATTCACACAATAAGTACATCTCATATACGTCCACTAACAAATGATCATCATCAAACATTAATCAATTACACAATATGATTAAAATCCATCCCAAATTGGGCATTGTCAGCCAATGTATGGATGGACAAATATCGCCAATAATGACAACACAGTTGGTCGGACACACAAGGGGTTCAATACCAAAAAATATTCAAAACTACTCAGAATCATACCAATGATCGAAGACACTTGTGGCTTCAATACCAAAAAATACATCATTTTTTAAACCCCAAGTAGCCATGTTCAAAATATTTCAAAATAGTACCTAAAAACCTCTTAATGAACATGCGTTACTATAAATACCAGTAAAAACCTGTGCCAAGATCAACTTCATTCATGGTCCAAGGCTCAGCCTCGCTGAGTTGTCTCGCCTGGGGAAAGGATAGGGATGATTTTCAGCAACAAGATTCGCTGGTAATATGGGGATGTTGATCAACGAATTCATGGGGATATGTCATGATATACTTGGATAGATTGGATATATATATATATACACATACATATATGGGCATTGAATGGATCGCTTTTAGTTTTTAAAGCCGAAATATAAAGGTTGCCCGCTCTGGGAAGATTTCATCAACAGAAGCGCATAACTATGATCTCCAAAATTCGAAACAAAAACCATGGGAAAACACCTGATGATCCCACGATGCAACTCTTTCAAAGAGTCAGGGGATATCACAAACGCACAGCAAGAAACAATGACCGGTGCTTTATACATGTTTCTATCATCGATAGAGCATGTTGGCCCAAGAAGCTAATTCCAACCACCTTCGGGCCAACTGTAGGAAGCATAGCCACACAGAATCAAACCATTGGACGAAACCCCATTTAGGCAATGAATGGAAGGGGAATGTCCTAAGATTGCAACTCAAATTCCCCAAGCTACTCAATCTTGAGATGCCAAGCACGGAAAAAAACCCATGGGTTTGAGGTTCGCACGGTTTTGGACATACCTAATGTTTTCCCACCTCAGATTCTGATGTCTTGAACAGCGGGCCGTAGCCAGGGCAGATACGCAGCTCAGTAATGGGACCTATCAGTTTGGCCATTTCTTCTCTTCAATCAATTTCTCATTTTTCGGTCATAAATTTTCAGCGGCCAAATAGCCACTCTTAAGTCCAGTTTCAGGAGACACCCCAAAATCCAGCAATTGCTTCCGTCTTTCCCCGCCTTTTGAAGGGTTGCACTGAACAAACTGCTTTTTGGATATTGACGCTTGCCCAGCGGTTTGGCTGGGACTGAAGTATCCTGGGTTGCAGCAGGGGGAAGAAGGTGAAACACGTTGATGTCCAAATCGAATCCCTTTTTCTCAACCGTTAAATCGTTGGAGTTTTCACTTTTTCAGGGCAGGGTGTATTCATCAATGCCGAATATGCCTCTGAAATCTGCGATTTCTCTCGATGTTCTTGTTTTATTTCAGGAACAAGGAAGCCACGGCTCCTTCCCAGCGGTTCATTGGACATGTGACATGCAGCATGGAAAGACGTAGGGGAAAGGACCATCAGGTCATGTGGTAAGCTGGATGTGTGACCGTTCTACCAAAGATTTGGCGGTAACATGCAGTAACATAAATAAGAATATACTACACATTACTACACATTACTATGTTTGCATGTATGTACGTAAATACATCCGTATCTACACTATTGGTGGTTTGGCCCCATCCCGCAAGAAACAGCAGTTGCCAAGCATCTGTATCGATGCCAACCCGCAAAGACATGGAGGCCTTGCGACAGCCGCGAGGATAAAGGGGTCACCTTTCCTTGAGGACGTAGCTCTTAAATGGAGCAGCATAGAAAGGCAATAATATACAGTGGTAAACCCAACAATAAACCATCCCCGAGAGCGCATGTGTATATATTGTATAAACCGTCCCCAAATGATAGGTTTACGGCATTGGGTTCCCTACATTACCATAACAATCCAATGTGTGAGGAGGGTGCTACAAGTACTTCTCTATCTTTTTGGGGTATCTTTTTGGGGTTGCGTTGCACCACAAGTTTGAAACTCGGGATCATCCAAAGTGCCCCCCAGCGCCGCTTCAAGCCTTTCTAGCAGTGTCCCTCAATTTGTGCGCCAACAACAAGAGCTTGTCCTTGCATCCAGCATGACCAGCAAACCGATGCCGGAAGACATTCAGGACTGTTCATGTGAAGCCAGGGATAGGTAGATCATCTTGTGTCATATTGCTGGAGGCTGAACATGGTATCATTTTGTTTAAGGGAGAATCTATAGGAAACCGCAAAATACAGGCGTTTCCTGCACATTTTCCCTTGAACCAATTCCGAGAGCTTAGAACCAAGTTCCATTTCGTTTGTCCCAACTTTTGTCTCAACTCTCGTTGTTGGTGAGCTTTTCCGTCTGGGGTGGTGGCTGCCTTGCCTAAAGAGGTGACGGGTTGATACCCGAGCATAACAGCATCTCGATATACTGGTTGATGTTACTGGTTTGTCACCAATTTTCCCTAGGAACTTGCAAATTTGGCGGTATACGGTATACCCAATTTCCAGACAAACCCGTTTCTGGCTTCTCCTGGTAAATCAAGATGATCCTTCTAAAACATTGACCAAAATCCTGCAACCCTGGTGGGCTTCAAAGAGGCTAATGAATGGATGCTCATTCCCCCGAAAAAGGTCCACAACTGTTGACCCCCATCTTATGAGAGGAGCCAGATACCCCGCAAAAACTGACATTTTAGGATGGATATTTCATGGTCAACCTTTGGTAGTCGACCAAAAATTCATCCTTTGCTGGTGATGGCAGTGTTCCATGTAAAACAAGAGACAAACTAGAGGATTAGACAGGCTATCCAAAAGTTGGGGATGATTTTTTGTCCTGATTCTTCCCAGGATTTCACCACAGATAGCCAAGTTTCTGTGTGCCGCGTCTCGTCTCCCGTGCCAACGGCAATAGCCAGGTAGGAATCTTGGTCACCAAATGTGGTGGTTTCCATAAGGATGGTTGATTTCATGGAACATCCTATAAAAATGGATGATTTGGGGGTACTCCATTTCAGGAAACCTCTATGTGCAAGTATGGTTTTGCAGAACACTGGGGGATGAAGTGATTAAGCTAAGATAAACATTAGTAAACTAGGGTATCTGCTTTCAAACAAACCATGTGATGATCAGCTTCCAGATGCAGATAGCTACACCAAGCAACTCCCAATAATCTCCTTGGTGTGGCAGAAAAAATGGAGGCAGGGTCAACGTACTGGACTTCATCTGCAAGAACTGGGGAACCAACAAAGATGTGGTTTTCACATGTCTTCACGAGCAAAGATATGGGGATCGAATAAGAAGTGTGCCTGGGAACAGAGGCAAGATTCATTGAGATACATCGAGCATATGGCGAACAAAACATAGGATGAACCTGGTGTTTATGTTTATGCGTCTGTATCGCGCATCATCAGCAAAAACTGTGCAACCCGGTGGGCAGGTAAAGCCAGCACGTGGGACCTGTCCAAGAACGGAAGGACCCTGACAATCACCATGGAAATGGTCATGGGAAGTGCCACCCGGGCCTTTGTATTAAATTTCCACATCTACAACGGGAACAATCTTTCAATGTAAACTGCTGCGGTACCCGACTCTGTCGTTATAAATGGAACCAAACATATTTGTGACCTAAGGATGCCTAAGGTTAAACTTCAAAGCAAGCCATCGCAGGTAGAGAAACCATTGAAAAAATGGATTCACCCAATAGGGGAAGAACAGTTGAAAAGTCTCATTCGGGTCACTTGCAAAACAAATACCACTCACTCTCAATGATGACAAAGATTGGGCTACACTCACTCTTGAGAGTTTCGGACATTAGTTCATATATCAAGCGATGCTGCTGCTAACCCATCTCAACCTTCTTCAGCATCGATCTTCAAAGGATTCACAGCCGATGGGCCGAGGTTGGTTGATTTGAATTTCAAGATTTTCAAGTACCAACATCCGAAAAAGAGTCATGTTGTGAAAATCCAGGCTACCAGCTATCCTACCTGCATATTGGGAGGCCATCAAACTCTCTTACTCACCACCAAATACTCACTGTCACTCTTCTTGTCTGCAGACAAGTCTATATGGGTTTCAATACCAACATGGTCTAATTTTGGATGATTTGGGGTATCCCCCCAGTTTAGGATAGCTCCATATCCAGGAGATCCCGGAAATCCCGAGAAACGCTCTGCTTTTGGTTCCCGTCTCCCCGTCTCCAGCGCCCAGCGAGTTTGGTCCAAAGTTCTGTGCGGAAGGCTTGATACCTTGCTACCAGCGATTGAGGAGGATCAAGCGCTACTTTGGCCAACAACCAATGGGGATTTTGGCAGGTAGGGTCAATGTCGCTAAATCGCTAAATTCACACCAATTTTAATAATTAAGTGATTAATTGGATCTTTAAATCACACCAGCATCCACTATTAACAGGTGGGCATTAGATCCATTATCCACACATGTTTCAGTGGAACGGCTCTGACCTGGAAGATGATGCCCCACCAGTAACTGGGCATCCAGCATCTTCCGCATGGAACCAACGAATAAACGGGTGCTTCCGACAACATATATAGAAACACCAAATTGCTGGGCCAAAATTCTTGACACTCACCCAGACTTGGATAGTGTGTACACTTTCATAGTCTTTAAAGGCGTGTTTCTCTGATTGCCCCACTTTTGAGTAATCGCAAAACTCTGCTGAGAGTTGCTGTTCGCTCAGACTTTCAAAGTCTTGGAAGAGAGAAACCATGCTCTCGATCGCAACCTGCAATGGATTGGCATCTTCACACCGGGATGGGGCAAAAATTGGATACCAAATGCCCACAAATTTATAATTACACATTTGTCAAACCGTTCCAAAATGGGGAACATTTTGCGCCATCCCAAAGGGGATGAGTCAAAACTTCATTATTTTCATAGATGAGATGAACTAGCAAAGCACATGAGATGCATTCGTCCCCCAAACATATCGTATACTAATCATTCTGCGCTAAGCATCGTGCAGAGTCACTGACCAAAGGTGGACCGGTAGGTAGGGAACATGGGAACGTACCGGGCATTTTTGGAATCTATCTCACAAAATCCAAGATGGAAACCGAACAGGGAACCTGCCCGGTAGCAAAATCATCCCCCGCAAGCTGCTTAGCTACTTGTGGGGTTTCATGACACTTTTCAAGGGGCAAAACCTTTTTTTCTATACACATTTTTACTGGTTATACATCAACTTTGCGTTTTTGGGCTGGTGAAATCCCAAGTATGCTGGTGAAATCCACTCTCCTGCCAGTAAAAACCGTATTTTTTTCGTTCTTAGGCCATCTTAGACCTACCTCTTCCACCGCCCCGTGCCCCTCAGCCTCTGAGTCCTAAGTGGGTCACAGCTGGGCAGCTTGGTTCAGACAGAGTGCCTGGTTGATGGTAGCAATCTATATCTATGTATATATATATATAAATATGTTTATGTATATATATATATACATAACATATATCTCTTTACATGCATACATATGATTTTATGTATAGACTAAAAAATATAGTTATACACATATACAAATAAGCATTACTGAGCCACCCATCCTGTAAGTTATCTTGGGTCGGGGATCATCACAACAAACATGAAAACATTCATCGAATTTGAAACAAGGTCCAGGGTTTTTTCGCCACCAATGAACACAGGGATATAAACTGAGCAGCACCAAGCACATGAAGAAGCAATCGGCATCTTGGATTTGTTCAAGATCGCTCCAAAAAACAAAAATAGTCCCTAGTCCGTGTTGGGATTCACCAAATGGTGGATTCCCTGTTGGGGAAAATAAGCAATCACCTGCAGCAAACCCAGGGTATAAAATGCGGGGCTATTCCCAATCCCATACCTTTTGTGTGGGACCCACCATGAAGAAGATTCCGCGCGCCGTGCGCAAAGAGATGTGGTCATACCCCGCAGAAACGGCGAGTAGGCACAGAATCGCAACACTAGAGTACTAGAGTCTTGAAGGGCCGCAACACATGCCGGGGTGGGAAGAGGCACTGCAACTGCAGTGGGCGCCTTGACCTAACTTTCGGCTGCTCAGATCGAACTTGCAATCACATCCCACAGAATCAACTTCAGTCTGGCTGCAGCGGTAGCCGCCTGTCTGAGAGCAGGAGAAACGATGTGGCGGGGCGGCTGCAAACGGAACTTCGGCGCCTGCCGCAGGTAAGAAGCAAAGAACCGTAGGAACGGCGCGTGCCTCCGCAGCCCACCGAACCCTTGACGCCAGGTTGGCCCGCCTTCGCAGTCGCGCGCGCTTGCGAGCGTTGCGCCAACGTTGCGCCAACGTTGCTCAGCGCGCCCCAATCCGCGAGGGGCCTCCTGCAAAATGAGTGGCGAGGGTGACGTCCTCAGTGCATTAATCCCTTGATTACAGATGTTTTCTCCCAAGTCCTTCTCGCACATGCGAAGAAGACGGTCTGGGCCAGCTCTGAAAACGGCGCTTCGGTGCTGTGCACTTCGGTGCAAGCAAGGTGGCGCGAAGTGAACAGAACAATGCGCCAAAGAAGTGAAAGAAAAAGCCGGGCGTGCCTTCACGCCGCTTTGCAGCCAATTGAGCTCGGCCCGGGTGAGGGCTCCCAAAAAGATGGACGGTTCTTTACCAAAGAGATACGAGCATGAATCAGTATGAATAAAGTCGATCTTTTTGGCGACCTTACATGGACAGAAAAGGGGGATATGTAACAACAAAAGGTGACCACGTACACTAGTTAAGCAGCCATCGTCGTGTGCATTTCAGCCGCCAAACGAATATCAGGAGGGATGAACAATTAGATAGCACTAGTATATTTAAAAAACACCAGCTAGGCTTTGAACACACCTTCATAGTTCCCCAGAGAGATGCTATTGTTGCAAGCCAGCCTCTATTACAAGAGTCTGTTTATATCAGACCATTTCCGGATAGATTTCATCCTTTTGCCTGCCCATGTGATACTCCTTGTGGGGATTGCTCAAGCTGGACCAACTTCTTTGGGCTCTTTCTATAGAAAGTCTCCTAACTATTTTTTCCTAAGTTTTCCTACCTACAATAGAGTCATATGTGTTTTTTTGAAAATATGTTACCCAAATTTAGAATAATTTAGATATTTGACGATTAATCGCCATCCCTACTAAAATGGCAATGTGGCGATATACCACATTTTCAGACACACCCATGTAGACAGTGGGTCACAACTGTGGAAAATGGATGGCAAAATTATTAGTCCATCTGGTCCAGAGGCTTTCAACTTTGACTACTGATGCGCATTCTCATGATTCCCATTCATGTTCTTCGGTATATAATTATATATATAATTATATATAAAATTATATATATAGTTATATATAAAATTATATATATAATTATATATATAATTATATATATATACATAGGATCCAACATTTTCTGAAAATAAAGCCCACAAAACCTCGAATTGCAGGGAAAACAGCACAAAACCATACAAAACCCATGCAATACCATTCTCAATCCATTCTCCATTGATTGTACGAGTTAGCGAGAAAAACCATTTATTGCAATCCCATGGTACTGTGCAGCCCAAGCCACTACCGTGGCAAACAGCGCTGTTGTATCGGTAGGACCTTGGAGAGGGGTCTGCATTCCACGCTTGTGATCAAAAACACACCTGGAAAAAGTGGATTTTGTGATGTTCATGTCCAACCATTGTCCAACCATTGAAATCACTGTAAAAACACCCTAAAAATCTGTGTTTTCTTTTGGCCCACCAACAATATGAAGCGATGATTGAGGCTCGTTGCTTTTGCCAAGTGGAGTGGTCATCCAAGTAGCACTTCCAGGCAAAGATACATGTAGCAAAGCCAATTTCGACAACATCTGCCAAGAATATCCAAACTGCACATCCCCAGGTGCCGGTCATCAGTGCCCTGTATGCCTCTGTCTTCATAGGGTTTCGCAATGTAGTACATCCCATCGTTCACCATTGAGACCTTATCCAGTATTGAATACATATATATATATAATATTATATAATATATTTGTGAACATCCCAAAAAACATCTAACTGCTGAAATTTCACTTCCTTTGGATATTAGTGAGCTACCCTGTTTTCCTTGTCCATTCTATTTTTGAACATTCTCAAAGCACTGGGCCACGGGGCCATCAACGTGCGACTGCGAGACATCCACTTCCAAGACCTGGCACTGTGGGACCCTCGGTTGGAAAAACTATGAAACAACTCGCTATTTTGTGGTCTTCTGTTTTTTCCTATCTTTGGTTTACTAATGTTTACTATATATCCATTCATGTGATTGTCCCATTGTTTGTTTCAGATGGTGTTTGATTACCAATATGTGGCACCGCGTGGCTCACTGGAACCCATTCTCATGTGGCTGGGAATCTCCTAGTGGCTGCTGAACGCTCTCACCGGGTATGGGGGATGATCTCCCAAGTTATTTCCCAAACCGTTGGATGTGTCAAGCATTGAATTTTTATTCTCCTGGAGCAGAAAATGGAGTTTTCAAACATATTTCCATCTTAGTAATTTTTTTTTGACAACGCCATATTACTCCTGTGGGTCAGCTGGGTCGGGTCAAACCACAAGGATCCAGCTGGCCCGCCTCCTTGTTGGGAGACTTTCCGGTCGATTCGTCCTCCAATGATTTGGCTTGGCTTTGGAACACCGAGTTTCATGAACTCCCGACAAAAACCCTACGGGTAGGAAGAACCCCGCGTAACTGCATATGCAAACACGTATACATATATATATAAATACACACATATATATAATAATACATATGTTATATATGTAATTATATATATATGTATATAATGTATATATATATATGTATATATATAATGCACAAATAATATCACAATCATGTACACGCTGCTCCCTCTCTCTCAACAGTTTTCTTATCATCCCCCCCGCTCTCTCTCTCTCTCTCTCCATGTGCACAGAAATGCATGAATAAATCTGTACGTATGTATACATACGTACAGTTACGTATAGGTAAGCACAGTATATATGTCTACAGATGTAGTAGATGTATGCTTATCACATCTTATCATCTGGATACTTCCCTGTAGAGATGACCATGTCCCAATGATCATCCAGGCGCCTTGATGGCTCCCACAGCTATTGAAACCCATCAGGTACAGCCAGGCTCCCTGATGTTTCATATGATTTCATGGCTCTCCTCCTCCACCGCGGGCAAATTCTCCTGGCGGATCCCCGTGGGACCGATGTGGTATGTGCTGCAGAAACATATGTGCGACGGTCTGAACATCGTACTGATTCCATATTATGGTTCCTTTCAACCACTTATATATATATATATACAGCGCATACATATATAAATATATACATATGAGGGGTTGTCAACATGTTTTCTTTTTCAATGCTTTTTTTTGAAAAAAAAGAAAGCAAGTCTGATCGGGGCCTGCATGTCGTTCTCTACGTTTCTGAAGGGGTTCGCATCATGTGTGGAAGTTAGAAGACTTTGGTGCGACGTGTACAATCTGGCATCTAGCGTGGAGTCCATTTTTATTTCAAGTCCAAGAAGCAACCGGGACAAGATTTCGAACTACAACGAAGCTATGATTGAGCAAGAAATGGGCGACTAATCACATTTCACATGTTCTCTAGCACAAACCTAGCCCATAGTCTAGCACGGAGCTAGCGCAAAACCTCAGAAGCATGTTCAATATCTATTTGCTTCAAGTCACAGTTTCGTTGAATATTGGTATTGTTTTTGGTTTTGGGCTTCGGAATTCATTTGACAAAACTTGAAACAAACTCTATCGAAGCACACCGTTGTTGTGTTGCGCTACTTCAATTCTGACATACATTTTGTTTGCATGTCTTTGCATGTCTCTGCAGGTTTTTGCAGTCTAGTCTTTATCCACCTCTCTTCACACTTCTCAGCTGTCCATCTGCGGAAGAGGAAAAGAAGATGAATGAAACGAACAATAGGAAAAGGAGAAGAGGAAAAGGAAAAAAGGAGAAGAGAAAAGGAAGATGAAACGAAGAGAGGAAAGGGACAGGATAGGAAAAGGAAAGGAGAAGGACATCCCGAGAACCAAGAACCGAGAACCTCGGCACTGAACCCTCACTAAAAAACCAACATCCTAACATATTCACGTGCCACGAAGACAACAAATCCTAGTGGTCTTTGACATCCCATCGTACGCAGGATATCCTCACTTGAATATGGGCTTTGAACATCTTTGAACAAGGTAACTGAGATACACATCCAGGTGGGTAACTGCAGTTACTATGTCCGTAGGTTTGTCATTTCTACTTGTGCTTCCCATTCCCAGAGGGGGCAGTCCTCTGTCGAGGACAATTTCTTGTTCTCAGATCTTATCCAATGACTGGCATGTCTATCGCTGATGTCATATCTGTTGGGTGTCCTTCAAAATCATTTCACATGGGATGTTTTTAGGCCCTGAAAAGGAGTTGGGTCATTTGACACCCCAGGGAACTCAAGCCATGGGGTTGTCATTGTGATCGTGCTACCAATGAAATCATAGGTGATTCATGACAATGCAAGATTGAAGACCTGATTGACCAACCGTTGTTGATTTTGATTCACTTAGCCCCCGCTTGTTGTTGGCGCTGAAATCCTCTTTTAGTTCCAATGTTTCTCGGTCAAATCCACTACCAACAAACTTTTTGCCACATGATCGTTGCAATTGTGTTCATGTACGTAGAAACCCAACATCAAATCATAAACTCACCATTTCTGTGTTTGAACCCCCCACTGCGATGGTATTTTTTGCCATAGAACTCCCACATTGCTCCCGAGGCCCGGCACCTGAGACCTCTCTTGGGCTGCAGAGAGTCTATAGCTCAGCAGCATTGCGCGCATCTTCAAATGTGACTGGCACAAAGGCGTTATAACTTCAGCCGGAAGGATTTTGGATCGTTGAATCGATGTTGAAACAAAAAAGGAAACTAAAAAGAGTTAATGCCAGCAACCTTGTTCAATAGATTTGCAAATGCCTTACACTGGAGAAACAAGCCTTTGCTTCTGTACATGCAGATCAAAATGTTGTTCCACTTTTTTTCACGGAGGGGGTAACTATTAACCAGCCGAATTACTATAAAGGGCAAACACCAACAATCATGGGGATATAAGGATAAGCGGGTAAACCTCCCAACATTGGATGATAAAGATTCAACCAGCGGTCAGTTCTGTGGTTCTCTAGCTCTTCCATGCTGACACATAGGGGGCTTGACCGGAAATGGGGCAGACCATGGCATATATGGACATACTATGACTATCTATCTGTTTGAATTGGGGAGTACACCATGTCACAGAATCATGAGCCATGAACAATACAACTTGTTCATCCCATTGCACTATAATAACTATCTCAACATATCTCAACTAAATTGGCTATAATTCTCCGTGATAAACAAAGTAACTTCATGACCCACTACAGCAAACAATTAGCCATCATTTCGAATTTTTATGCCCATTTTGAGCACTTGAGAACCATATTTGGTACTTGAATCAACCTATCCGGATTTTCGAAAAAAACAATTCACTGCCCTGAACAGTTCAGCGATTTGGGGATGACATCCTATACTAACTTGTTGGTGGTTTCAACCCCTCTGAAAAATATTACTCAGATTGGATCATCATCCCAGCTATTGGGGAAAAAACAAATGTTCCAAACCACCAATCAGTTAATCGTTGCTAACCCCATCATTCCCAGCCCGACTGAATCAACCATTGGTGATCGCCTTCACTCGCGCGATCAGCTCCTGTCGACAGAAAGGCTTATGGATCCAATCGCGACAGCCCAATTCATAGCCTGGGCCAACGTTGAGCAACGAAGATCCAAGTCCCTGGGACTTTCCTGGTGATTTCCGTTAAAAGTTGGTGAAATTAACTGGCTTTCTTTGAATCCTCGAGTTGTTGATGCATTTGACTGCTATTTTCTTTTATTGCATCAACTTGGGACTTTGTCAACCAAAACACACATGCAGAGTGTGATCTGCAACACATGAATAAAACATGAGGATATACCATACCTGGACTCTACAAAGCACGGGTGGTAATGGCTATCCCAGGAAAAAAATAACACCCAACCTGCACCAGATGTCCCAGTGAGATGAATTGCCCTCTGGTAATGTGTTGCAGTTTGTCAAATAGCACATTTATAGATGCTTTACCTCTTCAAAATACAGATTTTCCATAGCTATGTTGAACAATCAGAGGGTACATTGACTAGCTGCCGTTCTGCGCAAGTATTGGAATCACCCAACCACTGGTAGAATCACTACCAGTGATTAGCTGCTTTGGTGATGCTCAAGATTCCCAAATAGGACATTTACAAACTTATGTGTCAACGAGCCATCTTTTCCTTTTGTGGCGGCTCCGAAACATATCAAGATTTGCCGGTGAAATCATTTAAATCATGGAAAGGCCCGTTTGAAAGGTGAGTTTAAGATAGTTTTAGAAGGAACATCTGTGAAACTCTGTGAAAGGTGCCAACTGGAGTCATGGACAAGCATCAAGGGTCCAGAAATGTCCAGAAGCAAGCAACGGTTTTACACTGGAAGGTGGACAGAAGAATGGTGGAATCACATAATGCTGCGCATATTTCATTCATCTTCATCCCAATCTGGGTATGGGTCAAAACTTAAGACCTTGTTTACCCTGCAGCAGTCATCGCAAACACGGATCAAATCCAAGCAACCTACACAAATAACACATTTTTGATCATTTTGGGGCATCTTCACCTACCACCAGTACCATTTTTCGGTGGTTTTATGGGCCCAGCGATGAATTTCCCCAAGGAACCCTTGACCACGGAGCTTGATTGATTTTTTGCCTCGCTTCGCGAGTTGCTGAGCTGACTGAGCGGTCCCCCAGATTCTGAATGTGAACAACCAATGATATTGCCACTCATATGAAGGTTTCCATAGGGCGCCGGGCTACCCCCAAATCATTCATTTTAATAGGATGTTCCATGAAATAAACATAAATAAACCATCCATTTTAGGGGCTCCTCATTTACGGAAAACCCCCATATGACATTTGCCAATCCCTGCCATGTTTTATCTGGATAACATGATTCCAAAACCGTTTTCCCTCATCGAATTGATGTGAAACCCAAGACAAACCACCACACACAAAACGGCGGGAGGTCGGCCATGTCTGGTCGCATTGCAAACACAATTGTGTAACATATCGATCTCGGCTCATGTTTTCTTACAATTTCCCAGTTGGTTGATGTGCTCAGTTCTTTCAATCTTTTTTAATGTATATTATATATATATATGTATTATTATGTATAATATATTATATATACATTGTCTATTAATACATATTATATACATGTATCAACAAATATAGATTTACAATACACATACATGTAGAATTAAATGTACATTATCAACCATTAACATATACTTTCCCTCTTTAGCGGTTCCCTTTCCGCCCCAGAGACAATCTTGGATCTCTAGAAACCAAACTAGGCACGTGGTCATGTTCATGCTGCACTACCTTGCAGAAATATCTTACTTATAGTCTTATAGCAATTCTTTGTCGTGCATCCATCATGACGTTCAAGTTGTTTATGGCTAGGAATTCCAACTGTTTGTGTCAATCCACCACTTTTTTGAGGTCTCATCCCTTCCCCGGTTTGGTAGAAAGAACACCTCTTTGGGACAATAACTGGGATGTTTCATCTGGGGGATGACAAGCACCATCCTCGACCCGACCCTTGGGAAGGCACCGAGACCATGACCACCGGCAGCTCCATTAGACTCACCTGGTGCCAGGCTGGTTCCAGATCCGCTCCACGAATTGTTCTTGGGACTGGGGATTCAACAATGGAAATCTTTGATTCAGACTGGACCCACGAGCGTGTTCTTTAAGATATGGGAGAACTCCGAAATCTACCAGTTGAATTCAGCTGATGAAAGCAAGGGTTTTCAGGAATACCGTCTCGGACAAGGGAAACTCACCTGGAAACAGCAAGTAGCTGGGCGCAGCCGCTTCAAGCGGGGGTCACAACATGGCGATTTTGAGTCCTAGTTGGGAGAATGACGGACTATTCTTCGATATTTACACAATGGACTAGGCAACCGACTAGGTAGATCATCATGATCATAAATTTTTGGCGAAGTTCTCCCCAATCTTCGGGGCAGAACCCTACCCAGGGCACGGCAATGCACCTTCTTGTGTAACGCTTGGAGCACATCAAAACCTAGTCTTTTGGGCAAGGAGAGACCATGGGAGACCTACATAGAAGACATACAATCATACTGCTATGTTCGGCAAATGGAAACATGGATAACATGCTTATGGGACGTTTATGTTTGAGCAATTTGAAAACACATATCCTTAAAGTGTAACTGCAAATGTGCGCACCCAATCAGATTTGCACATCTAAACCATCTGCAAGGTGCTTTAAAATGCCTTAAGTATATATGCATATATATATATATGGAAGCTTTGAAGCATTTTGAGGACTGCAGGCCTTTTGAACCCATCTGGGTGCCTAGTGATTGTGATTGGCTCTTGGCCACAGAGTTTCCACTTTGGAATGTTCGACAGCTCTCCCACTCAACAAGTTCTGGCAGCAACCTCAAAGGGCCTAAGCCTCAAAGATGGCAACGGGAAATCACCGTTTAGAGATGATTTTACCATTGATCCATTTATATGGGATTTCTCAGCTATCCATGTTTGATTACGGAAGGGTAGTGAGAAACACTGCATATTGTTGGTCTGTATGTTTACCAGCAGCCCTTCAATCTGTCCTCGGCCACTGGTGCTGATTAGATCTCCGTTTTCGTTGCCGAGACTGCAGGTTTGTTGCTTCTGCCCCTACAACTGTTTGTTGTACCCCCATTGTTGTGTGTTGTATCCCGATGTTTCTTTCTTATATCTATATATGTATATTTGTATTTATAGTTATAGACACGTACTTATAACTACATCACATATATTATACAGATATATTTTATGGCTACATTCCTTTTTGTGGCTTATTTTGTATTATCATTCGATGAAACAATCACCTGCCCTGCCCCGATACGTCTGCATCCGCGTCACCGCTGAGTCCAGGCATCATCAAGTCCTGCGGAGTTGGATGGAACCATCCGAAGTTTCAAAACAAGGAACCTGATTTCTCAATGATATGCCCCATATATATATATATAAATATCAATATGTAAATATATATAGCAATATATATATATATGTATATACATGTAATATTTTAATTATTCTAGAAATCCCAGTGACTAACATCGCCAACACATTTGTTTTAATCTCTATATATATATATATAGAGCAATATATATATATAGCAACATGTATATATATATATAAATAGCAATATGTGTAAATATATATATATAGCAATATGTGTATATATATATACATAGCAATATGTATATATATATATACATAGCAATATGTATATATATAGCAATATGTAAATATATATAGCAATATGTATATATATAGCAATATGTATATATATAGCAATATGTATATATATATAGCAACATGTATATATATATATATCTAGCAATATGTATATATATATATAGCAATATGTATATATATAGCAATATGTATATATATATATCTAGCAATATGTATATATATATAGCAATATGTATATATATATATAGCAATATGTATATATATATATATAGCAATATGTATATATATATAGCAATATGTATATATATATAGCAATATGTATATCATATAGCAATATGTATATATATATATATAGCAATATGTATATATATCTAGCAATATATATATATAGCAATATGTATATATATAGATATAATATCTTAATTATTCTAGAAATCCCAGTGATTAACATCGCCAGCACATTTGTTTGAATCTCTTTGCTGATTCAAGTGATTCTAGTGGCTAATAACTCCAGTTTAATGGCTGTGGGTCAAGAAATGTCAAAACCCTGGCATCCTTCTGTTCACGCCAGAATAGGTTCTATAGCGTCAAAAATATATGTTACTTGAAAGGTATTCATCCATCGCCAACTGGGAATGGGTCAAAATTATCATACTAAAAACATCTAATTTTCAGGGTCCACTGCTGCCACATTTGTGACCCATACCTAGCGGGAAATATTTCCGGGTGAATTGTGACTAGGAACCAAGAAGAACTCTTAAATCTGCCATTGGGCATGTCTGACTTCGATGTTGCGTACATTTCAGGGCAGCCCTTGACAACAGTAATTAGCACCAATTGAGCATGGATCAAACTTGGCTACCTGTACCCTAAGATGTGATACAACATTGACTACTACCCCCCACTGGGCCCACGCTGTTGAAATATGCTGGACCCATGCTGTCCAAAAGGAGCAATCGCGGCCGTGGATTGTCGCCATCCAAATACTCCAGGCATTCAGTGCCGTTCATGCATGCGATGACCCTTGGCACAAGCGGCGCTGCGCTCGTCTCACTGCTGTGGGATGGCAATTTGGCGATTTGGCGATGGCAGCTATCAACAAAATCCTGGAGAATTCAGGACAAGCTATGGCCAATGTTTAAATGATGTGGACATTCGACAGCCTTTCTCCAATTCAAACATGCAGACCTTGGAAATTCCGAGAACCCCAAGTGAACAACCTATGGGTTGGTGATGCTCAAATTGGCACTAGCAGATGACCCAAACAGCTGGGTTTTCCAACGCGTGGAGATCCATGGGTTGCCACTGTTGCCACCAAGCTGCTTGAAACCGCAGGGCTCCAAAATCGATCGCATCACTTCCTCATCATTTCAACAAAACCCTGGTTGGGTTTGGCCAGCAATATAGATAGATAAATAGATAGATAGATTAGATTAGATTAGATTAGATAAGATAAGATAAGAAAAGAAAGATAGATAGATAGATAGATCGATAGATAGATCGATCGATAGATAGATAGATAAGATAGATAGATAAGATAGATAAGATAGATAGATCAGATAGATAAGATAGATAAGATAGAATGATAGATAGAATGATAGATAGAATGATAGATAGAATTCTAAGATAGAATGATATACAGAATGATAGATAGAATGATAGATAGATAGATAGATAGATAGATAGATAGATAGATAGATAGATAGATAGATAGATAGATAGATAGATAGATAGATAGATAGATAGATAGACAGGTTAGATAGATAGATAGATAGATAGATAGAATGATAGATAGAATGATAGATAGATAGATAGATCGATAGATAGATAGATAGATAGATCGATAGATAGATAGATAGATAGATAGATAGACAGGTTAGATAGATAGATAGATAGATAGATAGATAGATAGATAGATAGATAGATAGACAGGTTAGATAGATAGATAGATAGATAGATAGATAGATAGATAGATAGATAGATAGATAGATAGATAGATAGATAGATAGATTAGATTAGTTAGATAGATAGATTAGATTAGTTAGATAGATAGATAGATAGATAGAATGATAGATAGAATGATAGATAGATAGATAGATAGATCGATAGATAGATAGATAGATAGATAGACAGGTTAGATAGATAGATAGATAGATAGATAGATAGATAGATAGATAGATAGATAGACAGGTTAGATAGATAGATAGATAGATAGATAGATAGATAGACAGATAGATAAGAAAAAAGAAAGACAGACAGACAGACAGACAGAAAGAAAGAAAGAAAGAAAGAACGAAAGCAAGAAAGAAAGCTAGATAGATAGTTAGATAGATAGATAGATTGATAGATAGATAGATAGATAGACAGATAGACAGATAGACAGAGAGACAGAGAGACAGATAGACAGATAGGATAGGATAGGATAGGATAGGATAAGATAGGATAGGATAGATAGGATAGATGAGATAGATAAGATAGATGAGATAGATGAGATAGATTAGATCGATTAGATCGATTAGATAGATTAGAAAGATTAGATAGATTAGATAGATTAGATAGATTAGATAGATTAGATAGATTAGATAGATTAGATAGATTAGATAGAATAGATAGATTAGATAGAATAGAATAGAATAGAATAGAATAGAATAGAATAGAACAGAATAGAATAGAATAGAATAGAACAGAATAGAATAGAATCGAATAGATAGATTAGATCGATTAGATCGATTAGATCGATTAGATAGATTAGATCGATTAGATAGATTAGATAGATTAGATCGATTAGATAGAATAGATAGAATAGAATAGAATAGAATAGAATAGAATAGAGTAGGGTAGGGTAGGGTAGAGTAGAATAGAACAGAACAGAACAGAATAGAATAGAATTAGAGTTAGAATAGAATAGAATAGATAGACAGATAGATAGATAGAGAGATAGAAAGATAGATAGGTAGAAAGTTAGATAGAAAGAAAGATAGATAGAAAGAAAGAAAGATAGATAAATAGACAGACAGACAGACAGATAGACAGACAGACAGATAGATAGATAGATAGATTAGTAATACATAAAGAGATTCCCCCAGCAAGAAACATATTATCAACATATTATGAAACTCACTTTTCGATCTTTTTTGAGGGCATTCCAATCTTGAAAACTCAAGCCAGGCTCTTGGTTCACATAGTCGTCATCCACAGACATGATCAAATTATCCTCCTCTTCCTCGGCGCAGCTGACATGGCCATATGGCCTGGCTGGATGGTACATCATCTCCTCCAATATTGGGATAACAAAGGACAGAATGGTAGGCACTTGCATGGACAGAATGGCTATTCCCGGGTGTTGCGTGGGATAGCAACAGATCATATGGGCATGGGTCAAACGTGTGAACCAAATATATACACATACATATCATACATACATGTATATATATATAATTATATATATATACAGTATAAATATGTAATACGATATATTGATCATTTAACAGTGATCGTGATGTACTATCCGTACTATCCAAAAACCATCACAAGATATCACAAGGATCCGGTTTCTTGACCACGCCATGACCTTGTACTGAGGATCTAACTGAGAATTACAAATGTCTCTGTGGAAAACTCTGGGCGAATCTTGACTGATTAGTCATTAGTCCTAAACTTTAGAAAAACATATCACTCCGCATACCTTAGGCCATGAATCATCTATCTTTTCCATTCATCCCAAAAAATGCCAGTGCTATGTTTTTCAATATGCTCCCATCTGACTCGACCGAGTTTCCCAAGTACTTGAAGGCGGTTGATCTGTCGTAATTCCTTCCTGTGAAGAATGGCTGGTCAGACAGCATCCCGACACGAAAATTTCTGGTGAGACAGGGCGCCAACACATATCAAAAACAGGACTTACTGTAAATAGAATGGCATAAGAATAGATCATAGACACCATGCAACAGAAACAAAATTCTGAAAACAGACAGGACAAATTTCAGAAACACATCGGAGAGTCCGGAGTGGCTTGGAAAACGTGCCTCAAAATCCTGTTCGGCGACCAGGTTAATGTGGCATAGCCAGATTGTTGAGGGCCGCTGCTATCAGATGAAACCCCGATAATAAACCTGGATTCTTGACCGTGATGGTCATGATCATGAATTTCGCAGTGGTACCCTCTGGTAAGTAATTTAACATAAGTATGGAAAATCACCATTTTTAATGGGTAAATCCACTATAAATGGCCATTTTCAATAGCAATGTCAGCTATTACCAGAGGGTAATCACCACCTTCTGATTGCCCAACTTGCCTATGACCTGGTCCAATTGCTCCAACACCACTTGAGCAGTGTAGCATGGCCATTTGGATTGCTGATGGATCATGAGAATCCCTGATACACACACACATATATATATATATAAATATGTAGATAGATATATTTATATAATTATATATATAAGGTAGTATAACCACCAGAATCAACTAACCCAAATTTATCGATTATACCAGTAGTACCGCACAAGGCGGTGGCGGAAGTTTCAAAAATAGGAAACCTATGAGAGGTTGATTGTTGTGAATCACGGATGGCAGAGCGAAGCCACTGATGGAACGAAAGGTGGTTGATGTCTCCTCTCTTTCTCTCTCTTTCTCTCTCTTTCTCTCTCTTTCTCTGACTATCTACCTACCTACCTATCTATCTATCTATCTATTTATCTATCTGTCGACCTATCTATCTATCCATCCATTGATCTATCGATCTATTGATCTATCGATCTATCGATCTATCGTCTAACTATCGATCTATCGATGTATCGATGTATCGCTGTATCGATCTATCGATCGATCGATCGATCTATCTATCTACCTCTCTCTCTCTCTCTGTCTGTCTGTCTGTCTGTCTATCTGCAAGCTTGCAAACGAAGCAATTCTGCGAGACTTCCTTCAAACATGGAAAGTTGAGTGCAGAGCTGACGGCCTCATACCATTGCGTTTTGCGATTTTCCACTCCACCTGTCTAAAGTAATTGTTGCGCCTGCCACGAAAAAGCGATGCCAGGTCATACGAAGTGCTGCACCTGTCACGCAAAATCATCTCAGCAAACCTGAAGATCTGAGGCTCCAAAATGCAACCCCTCTCCGGAAATCAGCGCCCGGACCCCCTAACATCTCTGATGAACATGTCTCTTGTACTGCGCCTGCCACAGAAAATGCATCTTTTCAGATCCTCTTCAAATGTCCCACGCCTGCCATCGTTTTTGGAAATGCTACAAAACCCTCACGTTTTGCTCACTCTTGACATGGTCCACAATCCCTTGCGCCTGCCACGCGAAACGACATCTGTTTGGACGTGGCGCGAGCATGTGGCGTTTTTCACATTTTGACTTCGAAATGTGCTTCGCGCCAAAACGGCGTGCACTTTTTCGACATCGCAACTTCCAAAAATGGCGCGAACGTAAGTGTTTTTAGCTGTTTCACTTGCAAATGTGCTTCGCACCACAACAGCATGCACTTTTTCGACATGTCAACTTCCAAAAAACGGTCCGAGACCGTGAGTTTTTAACACTTTTGACTTTGAAATGTGCTTCGCACCACAACGGCGTGCACTTTTTCAACATCTCCACCTCCAAAAGTGGTCCGAACGTGACGTGTTTTTAGCTTTTTCACTTGCAATGTGCTTCGTGCCACAACGGCGTGCACTTTTTCGACATCTCAACTTCCAAAAGTGGTCCGGACCTGGTGTGCTTTGTACATTTTGATTTTGGAAATGTGCTTCGCGCCACAACGGCGTGCAATTTTGAGACTGTGGATTAAGCGCGCGTAAATTTGGGTCATTAATAGCGCAAAAGTTGGGGTCACTAAGCGCGCATAAACCAGGTCATTCCAAGCGCAGAAGAGTTGTATATATTAGACGCTATTAATGCCATTTAAACGCAATTAATACATATACTTGTGCAATTTTTCATCTCTCGTCTGGCCAGCTGGCTCCGCACCCGCCGCTTTAGCGAGCCTACTTTTCGACCCTCTGGAGCCACAAATCATTGGAAAAACACAGTGTTTCGCGACTTTCCTACCTTTTCGCGAACCTGCATCTTCTTTCTTCTGACTCTTTCTCGTCTCTGATCTTCTCTCTTCTGCTCTTCTCTTCTCTATTCTTCTGCTCCACCTCTGCTTTTCATCTGTCCATATTGTCGGAAGTTTGACTTCTAAACTTCCCTCGGCTATGTATATATGTACATATATTATTACAATAACAACATGTATACAGTATATAAATAATATATATACATATATAAATGTATTTTTTGGTATGTTTGATATCTTATCAGCGAGGGCTAACCAACCGAGATAACACATTGTTGCTCAGTAACTTATCCCAATATACCCCAATTATTTTCCCATCATATCTAAATTACTGCATATCACCATAAATTATAAAAATATATCCATAGTATCACCGTAAAACTGTCATAATCATAAACCAAAAACCAACATTTATCATCATTTAATCAATCTTATACTGGTGAAACATTCCCATTTGCAGATTTTCCAGACTGCTCATTTGTTTGGTCCCAGTCCCAGTCCACAAGGCTTCAAGGCCCCCGAAAGATCCGAATGCGCCTTCAAAGATGGCAATGATGTCGCCGTGCGGCTGCCTTGGTGGATGATGGTGGATGTAGGGATGATGAAACATAATGAAACGACATAGGACTCACATCATGTCACAATCATCCCCTTTTTCATAACAGTCATAGCAATATCAACCTATATCAATCTGAAAAGCTTCGTAAACCTTTGGCCTTTTTGGGATGATTCCCTCAACCATTTACGCCGAAAAACGTCGTGGTGAAGTCGGCCATGCCCAGCTCCAGGTGCATTGCAGGTACTTGAAACCACCAACCGGAATTGATAGTGGTCAAAAAAAAACATTATTGTATCCACTAGTCCCGATGCTTCCAGCCCATTCAATCCCAATTGTGATGGTTAAATCCCCATGAAGTCCTATTTGGGGATGAGTCAAAACCTATTATTACCATATTTGACGGAACAAACATCCATTAACATCCATTCACCAGCTATTTTAGGCTACCTATTTTGATTGCTTGCATCGAGTCAACGATTGGGGCGAAACCCGGCCTGCATTGACTGCAGCGTTCCCGGGCACAATTTGAATACCTCAGTCGCCAGAGAAAATATGGAGATGAGCCAAAAACTGACATTTTGTTCATGGATGAACCATGATGAATCCATCCATCAATGGAATTTTGATGGATATTCCGACATTCCATTCATCCATAGGAAATGGATAAATTCATGGAAACTCATCCCTATGATTCATGGCAAAAATGGGTTTGTCTGGAAATGGTGTATACCCCCAATCTAACCATTTAGTGGGGATAGTGAGGATTTTTTCTATGGATTTGGGGATACTCTATTTTCAGACAAATCCAAATCCATGGGTTTCCTGATGTTTCCTGTCCATTTTCCAGACATTTTCCATCCATTTTCCACCAGCCAAGGGGCCAAGCTGTGCCGCAGGTCCCAGCCAGCTCGACGGTGGCCCCTTCTGTTTGGCCGAAGGGACCTCACCGAGGTCGCGCCCCCGACGGTCGGAGACCGTTGTGGTTGGGTGCATAGCCAATGGATGCCCATGGTGTAGTGAAGCCGTGTGTGGCTGGGGTTTCTAACATTAATGGATTGGTTTACGGGAAAATCTACAGGAAACCATAGATTTTCCCATTAAAGATGGGGCTTTCCAATCCATTGATGATAAACTCACTTACGATATCTATGATCATAATTGATCATATGGGTATGAGAGTTGTGGTAGATGTTATTAGCCACTTACGACGCCTGGAATGCACATCCAAGAATGTGAACGTAACCAAGCCGGGCGAGCCATGGTTGCTACAGCCGCTTGTTTGGATGCCCAAATAATGGCCACCATGTCCAATCCGATCGCGTCAACGTTGATTTCCCTTGAATGGGCGTGCAGAATAAATTAGATCCAACACTGAACCAGGTTTTCCAAAGGATATTCCGTCAAGTCTCTTTGGTGTGAAGGATGTGACTGCTCACTGCTCAACGTCGGCAGCAAGATTGCGCCAGTGTGCGCGTGACAATCAGATGCGGCCAAGGGATGCACAAAGCCTCCCTCAGATGAGATGAGATGAGATGAGGAAAAGAGCTTGTTCCAAGCAATTTTGTTTGGTGGCCGCATCTTGTCGTGAAGGTTGGCATGAACCGTGGGCAATGGAGATTTTGTAGCTTAAGAGTTTTTTGATGCAACCCCCGTCCCGTCCTGCCTTCTTCCACGAGACATTTCCGGGAGCCTAGGGGTGGCCGAGTCACCCCGTGATCCTCCCTGGAAGAAATGGGTCCTGTATGGTTCGTTCAAGGGAAAACTCCCATAAGAATTTCTTGTAACAATATGTAACAATAGTATAGAAAGATTCCCCTCAGGTCAGGTTGGTTTATGTCGGATAAATGATCTCCAAACAACAAAGTCTGTGACGTAGTCAACCCCAACTGGCAGACCATGAACATTGCCCATTCCAAGAAGGAATAAATAAGTGGCTTTAAGCCAAATATATCTCGAATATCAAATATTGATTGATATCCCCATAATTTGAAGCCCAACGCATCGCAAGCGTTTTGGATTTAGAATTCCCTGACTGACCTCACCCTGCAGTCAAGTAGCTGGAGCTGGAGTTTTCTCTTTGTCCTCCAATTTCGTTGGAGGCTGGCATGGAATCGTCACCTCAGCCGCCACCCCCAAACTCGGAGGCCTGACACTCAAAACTCAAACGTTCGGAACAACATGTTCAGTACACATGTTTCTGAACAATGGATGTGTAGAATCCGTAGACTTTGTATTTTGGAAAATCACACACTGGAACTGTGTCGACTTGAGGTCAGAGGAAAGATTAGTGAGGAAACGAACCGTGACATCAACCAAAATCATCGAGAATCTGGGCAAATTGGCAAACTCATACGCATCACAAACATATAAACTAATAAAAACTCCAAACATTCAAAACCTGATGAAAGTAATTTAAGCAATTTTAGGTGGGAGACTGCCCCCGCAATTTACACGGCGGTGAAATCTATTCTACTTTGTTCTTCCCCAGGTCAGACAAACATCAACAGCTATGTTACATTTTTTGCTTGTTATGCTTCCCTTGTTGTTTGGTACCAATCTGGGCGACGTGCTGGAGGAATTACAATGAAATACACAGCAACCGACGGACATATCCCTTTCGTTGCAGGTTTCATTCCCCATTCGGTGTTTGTACCCCAATTTCAATTCCATCTCATTTTCCCTCGATCTGTATGTTTTTTTGGCTTCATGATGCTTCATGCCCATTTTCTGGGTAAAAGAAAGCACCATGGTTTGGCTAAACTCATGTGTTAAAATCAAGTTTCTGCTGCTTAAAACCCGAACTCTTGTTGTTACGCCACATGTCATGCTATTCCAAAAGTGACACACGATGTTTTCTTTTGACCCCCAGCCTTTTTCATCCTGTTTCTATGCCAGCGCTCCAAGGTACGGTGACCAAGGTGCCCTTCTCCTGCGGTTGGATCTCACATCCTGGGACGCTGCGTTTCGGAGAGTTCCAACCTGTTTCTGGTTTTCCCAGGGTCAAAGAAAGGGTTCCATATCTCACCTGAATCATGTTGCCATATCTGACATATCTGATGGCTAATTGTGAGGTTGCTGTATGTATGTATTGAACTGTATGTAAGTAACTTAACATAGCTATGGAAAACAGGTCCATGTATAGATGATTTATATACCTCCATTTGTTATAGATTATTTAAAAATTATATACCTAAAACAACTTTCTGATGTTCAACAGTTATCTTAGTTTGCCAGAGGGTAACTTGCCTGAATTTCTTTTGGTTGTGCCACTCACAATGATGTCAACTACGCTTTTGCCCATCATGTTTCAGCTGGGATGCCAATGTTTCTGCAACCCCGCTCTAGTTGGGGGTAACTCCTGCTGAATTATTGGTGTCGAATGTGTTGCAGGAGTTTCCCTTCACCCCTTGGAGGCCCCGAAGAAAGGTTTTAATTCTTTCACTGCTGTAATTACATTGTATCATAATATCTATATATATTATCAGATCTTCCATGATATATATCCCTATCATATCCCAATAAAATGCTGAGTCTTCCCCATTTTCTCCTTGCTTTTTTAAACACGCTTTACAGTCAATAGCCACATCTCATGAGATTCCTTCACTTCGACCAAGCTGCGGCCGCTATGGATTCGCAGCACCTCCTTCACCAAGGACAAGCCCAAGCCAATGCCGTCCACCTCCTCTCCTGGGCGCAGGGATCTTGGGATTCCGCAGGGATGTTCATTGGAAAAATCACCGAAAAATCCATGGATGATTGGAATGGATGATGTTGACCATCTGATTATCTAGCAACTTCTTCTTTTTTTTAAATAGGGATTTCGCCTAAGCATCCATCAAAAAAATAGGTTGAAAAACAAACGACGATTTATTTGTTGCAAGAATACGGCTGATATGCAATTAAGATCACACATGAAATCAGTTCAGAGAGGTTCAGTTGATGCACAAACATGGTGAACGCACAGTATCCGTTTTATACTTATCATACCTCAAATGGGGTGCAGAGGACCAACGGGCTGCTAATTTCGAGCACTTAGCCATCTATAAATTTGAACCATATTGGGCTCCAATTGGGCACACTATACTAATTCCATCTGATTCCTAGACTGGGAAAAAGGCTTTTTGGATGATTCTTCATCCCAACCAGCATGTACGGTGAGATGGCGATGTTTTCTCAGATCATCGTGAACAATGCTATTTATAATCTGTAGTAATCCAATGTAACACTATTTGAGTCCGATTTTACTTTATCTTTTCTGAGGGTTGCTATAGACATATTCTACCATGAGGCGATGATTGGCATTGTGGGCGTAATGACATTCAAAGAGTTCAGCTGGCTTCCCACTTTGCTAGAGGCCCAAATTGCCATACAAGGCCATCACGAATCACAGCCACAAAATAGAAAGTGCATTAAATAAACGCCATGAATTGTCCGTCTGAGGTAAGACAGACTCCTCTGTTTCCATGTTGTCTTTTAATACATCGCAACGCTTGTGTTGTTTGGTGCTGCTGCTAATATTGTGTCCTTCACGTTCATCTTAGTCTCAGTTCGTCTGAGTACGTCTCAGACAATTTGTTGGAAACCTGGTGATACCTGGGTGATCCTGGGTGTAAGTACTGCCCTTAGTTTTACTTCGATCCACCGGTCCGTCATTTCCGAGCCACTGCTGTCCGATCCGGGGGAAAAGGCTTGCAAAACTCCTGTGGCAAAGCCAAGTGGTGGATCTTTCCCATGTCATGATCTTTCTCATTCTCCCAAAAAAAGGCCGTTCCATTCCTTCAACCTCTCAACTACGAACTAAATCTGTTGTGTCAAACTATTTCTGGAAACTAAGCTAGATCTAGACATAGACCCAGTACATCCACAGATTGAAGCACCATGAACAATCCCTTTTACCATGCCATGCGCTATGATTCGACGCCGTGCCCGGGTCCTTGCAAGATCTTGGGTTTGATCCCAGATCCTAGCAGACGTGAAATGCAGCTCTGGCGTCATCAAACGTGGCTGGGAAATCCCGTTTAAATCGGCATCTATATAAGGGAAAATCATTGGATATCATCGAACTAAACGGGGGTTGTCCACTGCCATGTTTGATTACCGGAAGGTAACATGAATATGCTGATATTTAAAGTGATGTTCATCCCGCAAATATTGTATCCACTGGTACCATGGGGCTTTGACCCCTGCCCATATGGGAAAGTAGAGGCACCATACCAAAGGAAAAACTATTCAGTGCCCCATTCTGCGTTGAAACATCCACCATCAATCAATGCTTGTATAAAAGGACATTTAAAAAACAATCAACTATTCCCCAGCTTACACCCCCTAAATTTGACCATACATCCCAGATCCAACCTCAACCATTCCGCTGGCCTGTATCGCTCACTTTGATGACAGCTGACTTGTCCACCTCTTTGATACTTAAAGATACCTGAAGGAAAAAGAGTTCTGCCCCCCACAACTCCGGAGCGTGAACCGTGTGTGGTTGGCGCTTTCAGCTTGTTCCCAAACAATCTTTCTCAACCTGGTTCATCTTCCAAAGTAGGGATAATAGGTGACATTGCTTCGAAACACAAAGCAATCATGGGGACAGAACCATGTATGGAGTGAATATGGGGAAATCAGCAAGAACAAAGGAAAGTAAAAACTTATGTGTTTGACACACAAACCTAAAACATCCTAAAACTATGACTCCAAAAACATGGGGATTGTGACTCACCGGTGCAAGGGTTCCGCAATTTGACAATCCAATCCCCTTTAAACACCCCTGCAAACCATGGCCTAGTACGGGATGAAACCACATATTTGGGTCCATACAATGGGGATGTGATGTAACACATACAGTATTTGGGGGGATGGGATGAAAATAGAATGGATCGAACCATTGGAATTCTTGGTTCATCAATTTATATAACCACAAATTGCCCACATACCCAATAAAGATAAATAAATACAAGGCTACTTGGTCAAGAGCCAACTACCCACATGTTTGGAATCACCCTTCAGGACAAACCCTGTTGCCATGTCCAAACAGTCAGTAGGGAGACAACATCAGATTGCATATAGATACATATGTATTGCAGTTGATGTATGTATGTAAATACTGACAAATTACAGATTTACCGTATACCGAGCACTTGATATATATATATATATAAAATGAAAAATAACATACACATGGACGAGAAAAAGGCATCTGATTACAGTATAAAACTCGGTCATTGCTACAGGCATTGTTTCTGTAGAGCACAAGTCTGCCTTCGATACTTAGAAAACACAAAGAGGTACGGCCGCCTTCTATGCGTATCTATGTGTATACTTACTGCTGAACTCTTGATTACTTCTGCTGATCATTGTCCCGGGTTTTGACTGTACCCCAAAATTATTAAAAATGGGGCCGCAAATATTTTGGGATGTCGCTCTTAGTGGCTGTGGTTTTTGACAGTTTGCAGTTTCTGACCATCATCCTAAAAACAGTCAGTCTTCAATAACCTCCCTTGGCCTTCTGTCTTTGGACACACACACACACTAGACAAGAACTGGATCACTTGAGTGATCCGTTGGGAACTGAATCCCTTGAAAAACTATGTTGTGGTTCTCGGCTTAGCCCCTTGCCATGTCAGTCGCAAATTGAAAAAATCTGCAGGTACGTCGGGATGATCAGTCCCGAAATCCTCCCAACTCATGATTAGCTTCGTTCGCAGTGGACTCATGAGTGGGCCACCAACCCCCGCAAGATAAAAAGGGGGATATTAGTAGAAGTTTTACATCTGTTCAGATGTTACACGCACGCGAACAGGTTTACACGACTACAAATCATTTCATATTATGCTGAGCGAATATCCTTCCTTCCTTTGAAATCCTTGTTGGAATTGCACATCTGATTACTGATTGTCTAATTATCCGCATATATCTATATTTGGCAACCCCCAAATAGTTAGAAGTTGGCGAACTCCGATTCAAAAAAGTGGTTTATTAAAACTGTGCTGCATCTTTTTCCAAGTTCATTACTATAGACATATCACATCAACTCCACGATCTCTTCTCTTCAACAGATTCAGAAAACCCCACACATCATACAGTCTTTAAGTAGACAGATGGAACAATAGAACACAGAATGCCAAGTATATCGATGCTACAAGTGCATATACACGCAGATGCACACACAGACACACACCGGCTGCGGTTTTTACAAATCAGTTCATGCAGCCCCATATGGCTCATGGACCCCACGCATTGGTGTTATGTCATCTGTTATTTTTTGACTCTTGATAATCATATCTATATGTTTAAGGTGCTTTTTTTTTCGCCCTTCAAAATTCCAGTCTATGAGTCAATGATGATGTACATGGAGTCAAGCCGGACTTCAAGAATTACAGGATCGCCAGCGTTATCATGCCTATAATTAATAGGTGTCAGATCGATGAGTGAGGTGAACTATTCCCAGGATAAGTTCAGTATGTTCATCAACTATACTAGTTCCTCCAACTATCCCCTATCATTGATAATCTATCCCCTTGATCATTAATAAATATATATATATAAATGTATATGTATATGTATAGATGTGTGTATATATATATATATATACACATCATGAATCATCATGATGTATTCCTTAGTGAACATATATATATACATATAGAATATACCTTAGTGAATATATATGGAGGTTTTTAGTGAATATATAGGGGGGTTTCCTAAGTCATGGGGGTACCCCTAAATCATCTATTTTATGATAGGATTTTCCATGAAACCATCCAGCTACTGGGGTACCCCCAAGGTCCTCTGCGCCGTGAAAGCCCAGGGGCTTCTCCATCCTCCGTAAACTTCAATGCCTCGCATAGCGTGGGATCTTTCTTAGGGGGGGTGGATTGGGAATTTAAGCGTGTTTTTTAGGGTTTAAAGGGTTTTCATGAAATCTTTAATTGGGTTTTATGGAGTTTTGATAGGGGCTCAAATGGGATTTAAAGGTTTTTAATGGGATTTCATTGGGATATAATTAGCAACCAGTGGGATTTAAAGGATTCTTTTTTCAGGATATACTGGGAATATGATGAGGATATACACTGGGATCAAATAATGTATATATATATATATGATATCTACTAGTATATAACCAACACTACTCCCTTCCCCCTATTACTACCCCTAGAACAAAAACTAGGGTCCATTCCCAATTTTTGACGTCTTTGTTTTTCTAAAATGCGTTTTTCAATTGCGGCAATTGAAAATAGGAGACTAGAATACCCAAAAATATCAAACATGCGATTCAGCCCCCAATTTAAAAACTAGTCAACCCTGGGGTACTTATGATTAGGGTCTGCCGTCTGCCCTTTGAAATCAAAAAATTGGGTTTGTTAAGACTACAGCTTTCATCTTATTAGGGGAAAGCTTCGAAACTCAATTTTAGCAATATTCTATATGGATTTTAGTAAGGCAGTTGATCAATTTTGAAATCGAACATTTTTTTCAACACTGTTTTGGCTTTTTTTATTGGGGGGAAGCATGGAAATCCAGTCATTGACAATATTGTATATCGATTTTAATAGGGATTTGATCCATTTTGAAATCGAACATTGCAGTTTTCTTTTTTGTAAATTTAGTTTAGTGTTTGATTTAATTTGGCAATCTTAAATATCATTACGCATATATATATAGATGTATGTATGGATTTCAAATGATTTTGATAAGCAACTTGATCAAATTCGAAATCAACAAATCAGTCAATTATGTATCTTCATCCTCCCCGCAAACCCGAAATACCACCTAAAGATAAAAACCACTCCAGGTGTTTATTCTTTGGGGGTTTTAGTATTAGGGGGCAGGGCATCTGATGTTTGGATGTGTCTGAACATGTGGTGTACCCCGCAAATGGCAATTCCAAAGCAGAAAACTGGCAGAACCAGGTGATTTCGGGGTACTCTCTTTTCAGACCAATCCATGCAAGAATGGAAGGGCAGAAGTTATTTGGGGGTATATGTCATGGTATATTTTTGAATTTTCCGACAGACCCATACATACAAAACATTTCTTGAAGTTGCTTCTCAATCTTTAAGCCCAGGTGGACAAGCCATTCAAAATTTGGGAGCAGGAAAACTGCATGTCCAAGTATTTGATGTTGAGCAACCTGCAAATAGATAGAAAGGCAACATAATTACAACTAAAATAGTGACCACATGTGATCAAGTACTTGTCTATATATAAGCTACTATGTCAATGTAATTCAATGTGTATATATATATATATTAGATGAACATAGACATAGATGAACTATGTATGATCAACTTCTACCTTGACCGTGAAACGTTGAGCGTTTATATCGGCATTGTTTGCCACTATCAAATCTCCTCCGTCCCCTTCTCAAAGAATGAATATTGGTTCAACCCATTCATTGGCATTTCCATCATGCATCACACCAATCCGTATAACATCTGGTAAGAGTAACCACATAGAAACGCTACTTCTGCACAGTGCGTGATACTTTCCGACCCAGATTTCTTCAATCTTGCATCATCTGGGTGTCAAAACCCTGGTACCCTGCAGCCCGCAGTGAAACATAGCTTGTAAATGAACGCTCATTCCCCCAATGGATCCAAATGGTATTATAGCTTCCGGACATGGATTTGTGCAAAAATGGGGTAAGACTAAAACCCAATGGTTGATCATCACTTCTGAACGCAATGGATCTCAGGTTTTCTCAAGAAACTACGTTTTCTAGCCCAAATAAAGGGACCAAACCTGTAGATCTTCGATTTTTGGCAAATTCTTGGACCACAATTTGTAAGACAACCCCATATAAATTGAACCATTGAGGCTGCCTCGCCCGTTCCTCTTGCAGTCCAGTGGCGTTGGTCAACAGCTGCTTGAGTAATTGCCTAGGGACATGAAGCACGACAGAAACCAGGATGTTTACATCAAAACAAATGGTTTCAACCTCTAGGGATCAGGAGAAAAATCACCAACCTGGAGACAAAACCAGGATTTAACCAGCAACAATATTGGGGGCAGTTGAACCAAAAATACATCATAGGAAAAGAACAACAAAGATCGGGTGGAAAAATTCGGTGGCGGAGCCACATGGAAAGGCTCATCCCAAGAATGTTCTGTGGCTGGGATCATATTGCCACTTTCGTGGGTATTGGAAAGCAAAAAAAAAAATATATATATATAAAGCCTATTTCTTGAAATATCCCAATTGATTGTTGTCCATCGTTGTCCCCCATATCGGGCCCCACCATTTTATTCCGACTGTTCATCAGTAATAACAAGTAACACCATACAAGTAGTAACAACCCCCAGTTTTGTTGCTTTAACCGTACAACAACAATTGCTTCAGCGTGGTTTCAATTCTGTTGGTTAAAACATGTTGGCGCCAAACCCCACGTTCGCCCATGCCCAAATAACAAACCCAAACAATATCATATACTTGTCACCAGAGGATGAATGAAAAAATGGCTATACGCACCGATTTTGACTTTTGGTTTTTAGGATTTAGGGTCTTAATTTAGGGTTTAGGCTTTTAGGGTTTTTAGGGTTTTAGGTTTTGGAACGTAAAAAAACGTTAGCTCAGCGCAGGGATTTGAGCATGTCAAAGGATATGCGGGATCCGATGCGGGCAAACGTGGGGTTTGCAGCGAACATGTTTAAACCATTTTAAACCGCCATGTTTGTTGGCTAAGAACAGCCCAAATCCGTTGATTTTTGGCGAAGTCCAGGTGACCGCATGGCGTGGCTGTCCGCCGCCACTGCCACGGTCTGGATCTCGGTGCGCAGATTCACCTGAAAAGGCATTGGAAGGGAACAGAACTCACGGAAGTTTTTGGTAAATCATGGGCTGGTCTTAAAATAGCTTATATTAGTGTATATTATCATCATTTTCTAAACTCAAGCTAATCTGGGGGTGTACAGGTATACACCATTTTCAGACAAAGCCACATGGTGGATTTGAGTATCAAAAGCGGGGATTCAACCAACAAACATGGGGATTTTACCAGCAACAATAGGGGAATTTAAGGAGGAAAGCTTGGATTTAGACGGCACAATTTGGGATTGAAGTGATGAACAGGTCAAAATGGTGAATGTATCAGCCAAAATGGTCACATCACCCCGAAGATTGTCTTTTTTACCAGCAACATGGGGGTTCAAACAACAAACACTATCTGGTTGGTGGTTGACCTACCCCTTCTGAAAAATATGAAAGTCAATTGAAAAGGATTATCCCATATATTATGGAACAATAAAAAATGTTCCAAACCACCACCCAGTATATTGTCTGATATTGTTTTTTTTCAGCAACCAACACTTTTGATTTAATCAACAATCCGAAGAACATGATTCAATCCGCACGAGGGGAGATTTCACCTGCTGCGGCAAGTGACCAGTGGAGATGCCAATGAAGACAGCTAGATACCAGCTTTTTTAGTGTCCACATTTTGAAATTGAACAAAACAGCATGGAGATTCACCAGGTACGGTGGGTAGGGCGATCAGCCAAGTGGGCCGCATCTTTGGCACCTTGTCCTTTTTCAGTGGCCGCCCGCCCTTGTCCTGCGGGCATCGCCCTGTGTCTGCTATGGATGTTTCTGCAAACATCAATTTACAAGACCCATTCTAGAAAAAACTTCACCTAATTATAAATAAAACAAGACTTCGCGAACCTTAGTGGCACATGCATACATACAACAATATGATGATGTGATTGTACACATGATTAAACATGTTCGAACAACTGTACTGGAGGATATCTACCGTCTAAATCTATCATTCCCGCTTTGCATGGGCCATCTATCTGAATCTGGAAAAAACAAGATGCAGCCCACAAACCCTAATGCTCACACGTATGTTAATGGTGATGATGTCGAAAAACATGGACATGCAGTCATGCAGAGCACTTTTCTGAAACAGTATATTTACACAGTCTTGTACATGTAAAGTGTAAAGTCTAGCGTGTGGAGTGCAGAGTGTAAAGTGTGGAATGTAAATTGTGGAGTGTCAAGTGTGCAGTGTGGAGTGTGGAGTGTAAAGTGCGGAGTGAGGAGTGTAGAGTGTAAAGTGTAGAGTGTAAAGTGTAGAGTGTGGAGTGTAAAGTGTACAGTGTAGAGTGTGGAGTGTGGAGTGGAAAGTGTAGAGTGTGGAGTGTGGAGTGTAAAGTGTAAAGTGTGGAGTGTAAAGTGTGGAGTGTGGAGTGAGGATTGTGGAGTGAGGATTGTGGAGTGAGGAGTGTGGTGGAGTGTGGAGTGTGGAGTGTAAAGTGTGGAGTGAGGAGTGTGGTGTGAGGTGTGTAAAGTATAAAGTGTGGAGTGTAGAGTGTGAAGTGTAGAGTGTGGAGTGTGGAGTGTAAAGTGTAGAGTGTGGAGTGTGGAGTGGAAAGTGTAGAGTGTGGAGTGTAAAGTGTGGAGTGTCATGTGTGTGTGCAGTGTGGAGTGAGGGGTGTACAGTGTAAAGTGTAAAGTGTGGAGTGAGGAGTGTGGAGTGTCAAGTGTGGAGTGTCAAGTGTGCAGTGTGGAGTGTAAAGTGTGGAGTGAGGAGTGAGGAGTGTAGAGTGTAGAGTGTAAAGTGTAGAGTGTAAAGTGTAGAGTGTGGAGTGTAAAGTGTGGAGTGTGGAGTGTGAAGTGTGAAGTGTGGAGTGAGGAGTGAGGAGTGGAAGGTGTAGAGTGTGGAGTGTGGAGTGTAAAGTGTGGAGAGTGGAGTGTGTAGAGTGCGGAGTGTGGAGTGAGGAGTGTGGAGGGAGGAGTGTGGAGTGTAGAGCGAGGAGTGTGGAGTGTGGAGTGAGGAGTGTAAAGTAAGGAGTGTGGAGTGTAAAGTGTGGAGTGTGGAGTGTAAAGTGTGGACTGTGGAGTGAGGACTGTAACGTGTGGAGTGAGGAGTGTACATTGTAAAGTGTAAAGTGGGGAGTGTAGAGTGTAGAGTGGAATGTGTAGAGTGTAAAGTGTAGAGTGTGAGGTCTAGAGTGTAAAGTGTAGAGTGTGGAGTGTGGAGTGTAAAGTGTAGAGTGTGGAGTGTAAAGTGTGGAGTGTGGAGTGTGGAGTGTGGAGTATGGAGTGTAAAGTGTGGAGTGTAAAGTGTGGAGTGTGGAGTGAGGATTGTGGAGTGAGGAGTGTGGAGTGAGGAGTGTGAAGTGTGGAGTGTAGAGTGTGGAGTGTAAAGTGTGGAGTGTCAAGTGTACAGTGTGGAGTGTGGAGTGAGGAGTGTAGAGTGTAAAGTGTAGAGTGTAAAGTGTGGAGTGTGGAGTGTAAAGTGTGGAGTGTGGAGTGTAAAACGACATGGCAACCTGCTTGGAAACCTTCGAAAAGGAGAGGTTTTGCAGCTTACCCCATAACCCTTCTGCAGAACTTACCATAGGCACGACCATACGGCGCTCACGCGAACGGTTGCGAACGGTTGCGGACGGTTGCGAACGGTTGCGGACGTAAGCGCAACGTCGAGCGAACACACCCTCAACCCCCAGACCCCCAGAGTGAAACGGGAACCCTTGCTACGCATTCGGGAATCAATGATTCCCAAAGTGGATTTCTAAGCCAACTTTGTGGTACACCCCCATGTATCAGGTCTTTGTCAGGCCGTCATCAGCAACGGTTCTCTCTCTCTCTCTCAACAGTTTCAACGTTTCATAGGGAAGATGATGATCAACAAATGGGAGGTGACCCTAGGAACTGAGGGCTCCCCAAGATAGCTAAGTTGGTTTATAAGATTTACACGCCCACGTAACTAGCTCCATATATCATGACATATCCACTACAATCTCAACAGTTATCACTTATTATGGTGAATATCTACATATATCCCATATCAAGCCTAGTGATTCTAGTTCCTATACAGTAGTTGGTTTTATCCCATCAGTTTTTTTTGGTCAAAACCAGCTGGCCCCATGACACCACCTGCAGGCCCTTGGATGTCGAGACCACCTGCCTGGCCAATGCCTCGAATCTGACCAGGGGATTTCATGGTGATCCAATGGGACTTAGTGGTGATCTATCTAATGGTGGTCTAGGGGGGTGATTTCGATGGGATCTAATGGAACTAGTGATTTTAACTGGGATCTAGAATATAGACATAATGTGATTCAATCGAATTTATATAAATATTTACATGGTTGCTTCAGCTGGAAAATGCGAAACCACTTGGGATTCGAAGCAACAACGCATAGAAGTTCATGGCCAAAGCGGGGAAATTTGACATGGTAGAGATTGGGGATGCAAACAGCATAAGTATTTGGATTTTGATGCTTGTTTTTGCAAGCAACATGGGATGTTGAAGGATTGAAGCAACAACGGGCCTAATATTTAAATAAGACAGGGCACTTAAGCAAATTATGAAGAAGCAACAATCGGCTTTTTCCCAACATAGGATTAAAGCCATTTATGAACCATTTTCGATGTCAGAATTAAAGTAACAAAGGGCACGTGACCAACAAACATGGAGGCTTTATTTCAACCTGAAATCGGGTCTTTGCCAGACAAAATCATCGAAATGACGCAAGGACCCACGGGCTTTCATAGGGGGAGACCCTCCACCACTGGCAAGGTTTACACAGCACAAAATGTCATCATTTTACTGATGGATCTGGCTCCCTTTTAGGCCATTGCCGAATCCTGTCAACTACCTTTGCGATTTTTTCCATCCATGTTTGACAGTCTTTTGTGGTTTTCTTTCCCAAGCCCATTCTTCAGGATGTAAAGCTTGAACTTTTCACCCAGTGAAAAAACAATCCGGTAATCAAACATGGCAATGTAAAGTCCACCACCTTTAGATGATTTTCCCATCTAAACCTCCTGGTAGGGGATTTCAAGGTGCTAGATATTTGATGACCGGAGGGTAGCCATCTCTTGGATGACCACAAGTGTAAAACCGATCTTTGATGCCAAGTCGCCCCCAAGTCCACCATGTCATCCTTCGGCCCTTGGCGCACAGCTTCCGACTGATATTTCCTCAGCTGACCGCTGAAACGAAATCATAGGCCTTGGCCACGACTTGAGCCAACAGTTGACATGAAGCCATGTATCGGGATCATTTTTCTACTATAGATATCTATCTATCTATCTATATATATATATATATGGCTTTTCTACTATAGATATAGATGGCTTGCAATCTAATATAATTACTAATTGATTTGTAGTAGGTAGCATTGTGAGATGATGATCCCCACATCGCCAAGTCTCCAAAAGTCCATCATGTTCGTTGCCAACTCAAGCGCCCGTTCGGCCTCAACTGTTCGGATTGATGGCTTGTAGGTTTCAAGCCATCCCAATCTCCAAAACATATCCTGCTGTAATCCAACCTGGAAATGGAAAGAGGGTAGTGAATGGAATCCATATAAGACGCAACAAAGAAATTGCGTCGGGGTTCTACTTGCCACGGGACGCCAAATCTTGGAGCTGATTCCCAAGCGGTTTCAAGGGGCTTATCAAGCGCAATTGTGACACAACCCCAACCAAGAAACGCAACTCGGAGAGCCAAATTTTGGGCAGCTGATCGAAGAAGCGGCTTCATGCTACAGTAACCTACAGCATTCCCAAGGTATACCTAGGAACCACAATATCATGCAGGCCTCAGTATCAGCCATGCTGTCTCTTTCCAGACTTGCCGCATGATAAGCCATGAAATGGGTCTGAAAATGGGGTAAACCCCCAGCAATGTTAATAGGAGAATGATGATTACTAAGCGAAATTCGGGATAAACCGATAAACCCAAATGAGCGGATTTTGAAGTGAGGTGCCGCATCGTGTATAGCATCTCCAACGGACTAGATCCGGGGGTTGGTGGGATGGAGAGAGTCTTGAGGCTCATCCCCACATTCTGAACTGTTGTTCGAATCCCCACATATGATCACGGAAAATCCTAATTGTCACACTCTCAAGTCAACAAACCTTGCCTATAGTGCTAATGTCTCATTTTACTGGTTGAATTGAAAACCGCATCTTTCCCCTGGATTCTTGGCGAAAGATCCATATATCTCTCCATATTTCAAGTCAGGTGATCTAGCTGCCGCCAAGGAACACTGACTCCGATCATGGTGAGCCTGATACCAAGGATAACCGGTGCCGGTGACTGCCGTGGTTCTTACCCACCTGATATCACCTCGCGAAGTTTCAACAATTCACCAGCCCTGAAATAAGATCAGGGATAGCTACCCGATCTATTTTATCCAGAATCATGAAACATACCCCACTTAGTTTGGTGAATAAGAAGCAAACCACACAAACAAAAAAAAGGGTTATCAGGGTTTCTTGTTGGATTCACCAAATATAATATATATATAATATTATCATATTATACTAATAGATTTTATATATATATGTATATATTGTGTAACCCCCAAACGTTTAGGTCCCTCGGATAGTGTGAATCTATCCTTTCCAGCTCGGATCCCTGTGGGATTTTTGAGTTCCATTTGTGTCTTGATGATCGAAACTCCCTAGAATTTCTATGATTTTGAAAAAATAGAAAGAGCAGTCTTGTTGCTGTTCAAATCTAGGACACTGAACATTCCATAGATTCCATAGAAACAAAACACATCCACCCAGCACATTTCCTATCCATCCAAGCGGCGGTTTTTTCAGCTGCCCGGCGTCCTGGAAAGGGTCCCTCTTTCTTCGCAGAGTTGATACCAAATCGGGTCATTGGGCTGATTCAATGAACATCAATCAAACATTTACAGGTATCAGTGATATGCAATATGCAAATAAAATACACAACTTATACAACATGATATAACATGATTCCCACATGTTGAAGCTTATTCTTGAGGATATAATGGTGTGGGAGTTTGTTGCCCCAACCATCCGGGATTTGCCCACTAAACGTTGTGTCATAAACTTGACACATGGTCTTAAATGGGTAACAATATAGTTCTGGCCATTTTTAGGCAAAAATCAATATAGTTCTGATGGGTTTTTTGAAAATGTTTAACAGGACTTAAAGTAGTCCTAACCATAATTTTGAATAGTTCCAACCACCCAAGGTATAGTTCCAGCTAGCGGTATCCATCCTCACCATAACCCTAAATAAAGAGGACAAGGAGCATCCTAAGGTATCACCGTGGTTCTTCCACGTTCTTCCCATGAAAATATCTCATTTTTTTAGAGGTTTCCTGTTCCCATCCGATCCCATTAAACCTTCACCAATCCAGTCATTCAAATGGTTTTTCGTGGGGATCCGCCGAAAAATTGGACAATCCCAAGGGGTCTCCTGGGACAAGGTGTTCGCCAATCCGATGATGCCGTGAAGCGGCGAACGAAGCTCGTGCAACACCATGCCCTGGCGCTTGCGCTCGGGCTTCCAAGGATAAACAAACACAGGAAGTACCCATTAAAACAAAATCAATCAACGAACCAATCTATATAGTCTAACCCAATCTAGTCTAATCTAGTCTATCTACTCCATTGTATATCATTGTCTCAACTTGATCTCCGGTAACAAGAGCTGATGCAATTTTTCTGGGTGCAAAACCGCTATCTGAGATACTTACACAAGTTATCTTCCAGGGAAGCAGGAAGTTTGGACCATCGCACACACACTAGGAAAGAACTGGATCATTGAAGTGATCCGTCGGGAACTGAATCCCAAAACATGCAATTAAACAAGATTATTGATGTAAGTCAGAAATTGAAACTCTTTGCAGGTACGTCGGGATGATCAGTCCAGGTATCACAATCTCAAACCACCGTCTTCGTTGGGCAGTGGATGGAATGAGATTCACTGCCCCCCCGGCATCTTAATGACAATACCAGTTAGGAAGAAGTTTTGCATCTGTTAAGATGTTTCACACAGACACCCGGCCGGAACCGAGTCAACCCTGATAGGCAAGAGGAAGAAAAAAGCGGACACAAACGACGGACAAAACAGCGCAGGGGGGGAGGGGAACAAACGAACCTCCAAAACCAACCTACACGGAGAAACGGACCTAACCAGCACAGAGCACACACCTAAACCCCCACGACACATTACAGAGGGGCACGGGGGATAATTAGGGACCAAATGGGGAACTAGTTGATGAAGAGAAGTGCAACAACAAAAAATAAAAGGGATTCAGTTCCTAGAAATAAGGTCGTGCGTTACTCCCTCGAAGGGACGGTAGTCGGTCACAGCCACAAGTGGGCATTAAACGGCTGTTCAAGTTCATACGAATTGGGTGCACAATGTGTTCAACCTCACCAGAGAAAGTGGACCACACCTGAAAGCATGTAGCCTCAAGCCTTCCATGCTCCATGACAATGAATGCCATGTTGTCAACACCGTTCCTGTCTTGTGATGAAAACAACTTTCAGGCTGTTCCGTACAGCTTCACTTGAGCAAAGGTGGATTTGCCGAGGTATCTCAGGGACGGCAGGGGCAGCAGGATCTCGAGAAAATGGTGCAGAACCGAATGGCCGACTGTTTCACTTTACGTAGACGAATTACTAAATTAAAAAAAATATTAAAAGTGTAAATTCAGAGTTCTGTTCGTCCACATTCTCCCAAAAGGGTTCCCTCAAATGGGTCCATGGCACCATGTCGGAGCCACCATGGAAATCACCCTAGAAAAGAACTGGATCATTGAAGTGATCCGTCGGGAACTGAGTCCCAAAACGTGCAATTAAACAATATTATTGATGTAAGTCAGAAATTGAAACTCTTTGCAGGTACGTCGGGATGATCAGTCCCGATATCACAATCTCAAACCACCGTCTTCGTTGGGCAGTGGATGGAATGAGATTCACTGCCACCCCCCGCATCTTGATGACAATACCAGTTAGGAATAAGTTTTACATCTGTTCAGATGTTTCACACACACACACACACCAGTAAGCCTCCATGAAGGTTTCCTCAGCTTACTGCTGGAGGTCAAGTCTCCTAGTGGTTCCTACGGACCTAAGAAAGAGAAGAAAAGCGGTGCCTGGATTTAGGTAGACCAAGCATGGAATTCCCATCTACGTGGTTGAGCTTACACCCCTGAAATTGACCCCGGAAGCGAAGAAAAATAGGATGTTCAGTACTCAAATCATCTTCCGAATCGCTGCTGAAATCCCCATCTTTGGAATCATGGTGAGCTAAGCGCATATCCCAAAATTTATCCAAAATCCAAAATGCCCAGGAGTGAACCTGCTGAACCTACCCTTCACTGGCTTACCCGGCACGATGCCATCCATCCAATTTTGCACCTGCAACCCTCATGTTTCCTCATGTTTGATGGTAATTGACCCATCTAATGGCCATCATACGGGGTTACTGGTTACCCTCCGGTAATCAACCATGGCACTTGACAAGCAGATACAATTAGGAGGATATGTTCATCATATATTTTCCATTGCATGGTTTGAAGACCGGGTATATCCATGGTTATATGATTACATCCGTTATATCCCAACCTATCAGGGCGACATCGGCATTTTGCCATGGTTTCGACAAGTTTCGACCCTGCCCTAGCCATCACCCCCACCTTCACGCCCTGCCCCTCGGAGGGCTTGGGTGCCGGGGACCCCGCAGCAGGTTGGCCGATGGCCAAGGCTCCAATGACCTCCAGGAAAAAAAACCTGGTGGAAAGCATCAAATGTATGGGAGTGAAACCATCAAACATAATAATTTCATGGAGGTTAACTGAGGTTAACCATGGGAAATTACATCATATATTGCATGGAATACTAAACCATGATCTACATATCTATATATCTACTGTATATTGTGAACCATAGTGAGCCATCAAGATGGAATACTAAGGAGTAAAATAATGGGAGATACTATTAGACTATACGGTGGGAAATGCTATGACATATAACGACATAATTACAGTATATATATATTATCAGATTTACTATATTTATTATATAATATTGTCTAATCATATGCGCATGAACCATCATCTTCCAGGAGTTGCAACAAATATAGTGGAACATCATGAGAATATATTCTGCACAGTTAGATCGAACAAAAACATGGGGATGGCGATTGAGCCACCATCCACGCGATGTGCACGGTGATCAAATTTGCACGTTGCGGGCTCCCGAGTGAGTAAGATCGCTTGATGAGACTGAGAACAGATCCCCAATCCTAATTCAGGAAAATCCTATATAATTCATGATAAACCAGCTGCTAGAAAATTCATGACACTTCGCAATTTCATCTATGATCAGCCCATCTAACTTGGTCACAGTCGCCTTGCCAGAGAAGTTCAGCTGAGGTGAAAATCCCACCATCATCTCAAGACTTGCCACAGTGATCCTGAGGAGAAGGCTTGGAGGGAAAACCTCTATCTTTTAGCATCAAATAACTAATCACATCTAAGTAGCTGTAGGTGATTTTCCTGCACATTTCCCTCCAACCAACTCTGGAAAGTGAGAATGGTGAATATTTGGTGATCACCAGGTAAACATCAGTGAAATCTCCAGATAATTTCAGGAAATCTACAGAGAAATCTTAGAGACCCGGCAACATATTTTTGTTGGTGGCTGGTTAATATAAACATATCTAAACTAGAATCTAAACATATGGGATTTTCACGGATTTTCCAGAAATAGGGGTACCCCCAAAATGCTTGTTTTTTTTCATGGAAAATCCTGTCAACAAAAATGGATGATGAAGGCCCCATTTTAGGAGGTTTCTCCATATATAAACCGATGGTAAAAGCCATTCCCAGCGCTGCGATCCAGGTACTGCAGTGTCGCGGACCAGGCGCTCTGTAGGGCAGCTTTCACTGAGTCGGTCACTTGCTGCTTAGAACCCACCACCAGGTCCAGCAACTTTTTCCTCGAGAGGTCGTGGATGTAGTTTTTTCTAGGAACCACTCAACAAGGAACATTTATGAATTACTTTGTTGAAATTATGGATGACTTATATATGGTTGACTTATGCACATTTCAGGTTTTTATGAGTTGTTTTTTTAGCGTTAAACCACGAGAAGTCACTAGTCACTGGGCGAGTTTCCGAATTTGGATCCCCCCTCAACTCGGATTGACAGACCCTCAAGCTGAAGGGGGGTGTTCATCTGCATTTTTGGATCATTGGGAAAGGTAAATCCGAGGATGTGAAGCAACAGGAAAATTCACCCAAGCAAAAACGGCCAATTGGAGGACCATCATTTGTAGTGATGGCACATCACATGGTATTTTAGACTACCAACCATCACCAGGCAATTCATTGGTTTTCTTCCAATCTTTTGCGTTACATCCCGGTAACATCCCCATGTTTGGTGCTTTAAATCTCCGTTGATGATTAAGAACTACCAACTTCTAGAAACATCACTGATGCTGCAACCCCCCACTCGCTAGCATGGAGTTCTGGATGGGATAGTGGTTACAAAAATGGGATTTGGATTGATACCACGAATGACCAACATTTGCGATTCCCTTGACCCATTCCAATTAGGTATGACTTGGAAACATGGCTACATAATGGCTACATAGTTATATAATGTTATTGTGTTACATAGTATATATATATATATACACTCCCGGAAAAAATGATGCACATATAAGACTTGATTATATAAGAAGGATTTCGGCAAAAACACGTTTTCCCGTATAGGATCCTACATTAGGTCCTGTCTGGTCCAGGAACCCCTGGAGATCAGCAAGGGGTTGCCCCAGTCTGGAACCGTAACACATGGCTTTGGACGGCCAGCCCCATTTCTATTGGAGACACTCCGCATATGGGACGCCAGCAACCAACTCAAGTGAAGGCAAGTTTCCCAGCGACGGCCTCTTTATCTTTGCCAGTCACATCGGCCAAACGGTGATTCCATTCGGTGACACACCTGTCAGCTGAAACCGAAAACTGGGCTTCAACGGTTGACCGTCCCAAAGAAATGGGATTAGACCAGCCAATTCTTGGGGTGGGGATTCAGAAACACCGGAGTTGAACCATGAAGCGTCAAACACTGAAGATTTCACCAGAATTGTGGCCATCTCCAATCCAGGAGGATTGAACGAAGTAAGCAACAAACAACGGGAACTTTGACCCACAAACCCCTAGCCTAGGAATAATGGGGTAGTAGTAGTCTGTATTTTCACGCGGTATCGGCCAACTCAAACAACCAATAACTATATTAAGCAGATTTTTACAAGTATGCAGTGTTTTGCACTTGAAGGTGGTTTCAAACCACCCAAAATATATCACAAAATCCAGTTGTTTCCATCGTGTTCCCCATTAAAATTGCATATTCGGTATATACCTCCAGATGGGATGACTTATTCGGGATGGGTTATTCTACCATTGTGGGCCCCACTTTACGGAATATTCACAGGAATACCATAAATGACGGGAAATTATACGGAATCTGCATCATGTTCCCCATCACATTGCTATTCACATATTTTTTTGGAACATTTTTCCTCATCAACATTTTAGAATTACGATTTTGTAAACAAATATTTTTGTTTTTGTTGGGCTATCCCTCATTTCTGCACCCATACTGTACCCTCTGGTTGTTTGACGTACTGTAGTGAACTGGAAAATCTGCATGTTTGAGAACGGTAAATCATCATTTCAATTTATTTCAATCATCTATTTCTATAGGCCATTTCTCATCAATCACCGTTTAAACTTCCCATCAATCACCATTTACATGATCATCATTTTAATCATAGTAAACCCAATTAGACACCATCCCCAAGTCATCACCGTAAAAATTATGGGTGGGAGTCCAACCATCCCCAGCCATGGTAGTTCTGAAAATGGCAGCCAGGCTTTCCCGCTATACTTAGACATAATATATAGACACATCGATGGCGAATGTTAGATAGTTGGATAGTTGATGTACTTGATGTACAGATATCTGAGATAGTTATATCATCTTATATAATGTTATATATATCCCATTTATGGGAAACTGGGACACCCACTGGCTAGTCAAAGAACCAGGGGCTTTTTTCATCTTTTCGCCCCGACCAACGGGGAATCCACGGCACATGTTGGAATCCACCGAAAAGACGAAGGCATTCGCCTGGTCCAATTGCTCAGCGCAGGCTTCCTGAGGAATCTTCGGTTTCAATGGGAGGTTTCATGGGGGGAAACAGGTGGGAACATGACCTGGCGAAATGCTGTGTCTTGTTTGCTCAAAGTGTTAAACTGTTTCTCTCTCTATTTTTTTCAGTTGGTGAGGAACGGCACATCCAGAAATGGCTTTTTGGCTCCAAATACCAGCCACAAGTTGGCGGATTCAATCAGCAATGGCTTTGGCTTAAAACAGACTGGCAAGTTATATGGAAAATGGGCAACCCATGACCTACACACCCGGGGTTGCCGGGGTTTACCAAGAATTTGTTTTTTCTTCTTTTTCTCACCATCACCATGGGGCTCAACCAAGAATTAAGAGCGATACATATTGCTTTTAACGAGCAGAACGAGGATTTATGTGAAAATGGTCACACATGTGGCTCTTCGCCGGCGAAATGGTGATTAAGCCCACAACAAATACGAATAGTTGGCAGGTATTGTATGCTATCGTACGGGTCCCAAGTTGATACCCGAGTATCCAAAAAATCACCCGTACCCAGAGGCCTATCCCGATACAGCACCTGATGTTCGCTTACCAGATTTTAAGTGGTTCAGAAGGCACAGGGCGCGGCATTGCAACTTGTGCAGGGAGCATCACACTTGTAGATGACTCGGATTTGCATGGACCTGGCATCCTACACCAACCTCTGCAGCAAGAACAAGTAATTACAGTACTGTGGTAAACCCAAGAGCCATAAACCATCCCAAACTCGCCCAATGATCGAATTTTGGGGGTACGAAAAACATCTGCCTAAATGGTGCGGTTGGCCGGATCAAAGACCACTGAAAAATCGTAGTTCCACTGGCCAAGAGACTCGAACCCAGTCTGCCTGGCACAGGGTGACTCTGAGATATCTGGAGCTGCTGCGATGATAGATATGATGATTAGATATGAATTATATTATATCATTATGCTGTGAAAGAAACAAAGAAAAAGGATCATAAAACCACGAAACATTCTTCTCCATTTTTTAAATTGAAGGTACTGTATCTTCATAGATCCTTTGGACACTTTTAAGTTTGCTGAGGACACATGTGCGAGAAATACCCATATCATTGATGGTTAAATCACCATTGTTATGGCGGACTCTGGCGGTTAAACCCACAATCGGGGGATCATTATGAGATAATGGTCAATCATTATAGATGGATGGATATGCCATTTCATAATATTTCATAATTTGGTTGGAATATCCTAGCCAATTCCTATCTCTCCTATTTGCTGATTAAACATCTCGCCCAAATTCCACGATCCCGATTCCCCGAACATACAATTAGTACTCAAATCATTCCACTATTACCCTTACTATCATTCTCATCTATAACTACCATTATTGGTATCATTGCTATGATCATTGCTGGTATAACAACTGTTGCAAACCATTACCCTCGGGTAAACTAACATAGCGAACTGGAACATACCTATTTTTAATGGGTAAATCCACTATTTCAATGACCATTTTCAATAGTTTTTTGTTAGTTGACCAGAGGGTACCGGATCAGAGGGGCCTCCGCCAGCCGACGATCGGATTCGATGACATCATCGAAGTGGCCCATAACGCCCACCTTTGGCCCGACGGGTTGAGTTCCAACATGTCGAAAAATCGAAAATGATCCCATGTCTTGGGATGGAAACATGAATTGACCAATCGTTGTTTTTGTATATTTTTGTGAACCAGTTGAAGTGACCACCCGGACACTACATCCACACTGGAAAAGTTCAGTGGGCACTTCCGAGCCGGGAGGCACATCCTAGCTATGACGTGGGAGCTGGAGAGGAAGCAATGCTTTGGAAGTGGATTGTGACTCTTCAAATGTAGGTGAGCACATGTAAGTGGAATTGAATCTAATAACCCAGTTGTAACATGTTGTAACTGGGTAATAACCACCTGAGAAGCCAGTTGTAGAATGCTAGAAATGGAATATCCCCAGTTCTATATATGGGTGACACACACACAAACGTATAATACCGTATAATTACATATACATATGTATGTACATATACAGTACATATGTATCATCGTCAAGTTACAAGGGACGAATGCAGTATGGTCATCCCCCATCATGAATGAGATTTCTCATAAATTTATAACTTGATATAACGGGTATATTAAGCCCTATGAGTAAGGGGATGACGATCCACTCCTGTGAGAAATACACAATGTCTTGACTAAGGCACATATGATCCTGTAATAGCCTCACGGAAAGTGACTTGCTCTTTGATGGTTTCAATCCATCCCAACAGTAATTACTGGTGTAATGTACTGGTCAAATATGCAATGAATTGGGATCCTCCTCCCAGATGAAGAAATGACATGGAAATGACATGGAAACAAACATTGGCCCAAGCAGATTACACAAAAATAGCCGTAGTTTCATTCACCAACCAACCACTGATTTCAATCTTTTCCAAAAGTTTCAGCCCAGAAACAATGCGACCAGTGGCTGAACGCCATGGGGCCATTGACATCCAAACTTCCTGTGGCGCGCATGGGATCCTGTGGGTCAAAAATAAGCGTTCCCAAGGCCAAAAATAAGCATCCACTGATGGTTGAAATCCAAGTCATTTCTCTGGCAAACTTGGGGACGGTTTGCGGTTTACCATGGTTTACCCATTTTCATGCATACTTTGTTGGGTCCACTCCTAAAATGCGAACAGTATCATGGTAGTTCTGCTCAATGGTATGAAGGCACATTGGTGTTGCCCATCCCCCATGAATAACCAAACAAGAAACGCTACATTCCGGTAATCAAACATGACAGTGGAAAATAACTTATTCGTACATGATGTTTCCATTACAACCTCCATTTGTAGAGCATTGACCGTCCCCATGTTTGATTGCCGAAGGGTACTCTTCAAAAAGTTTGTATAATGTGAAATGATGACACTATCTGGGTTTGTCTACATACCCCGAAACCGCATTGTTGATCATATTTTTCTTCATTATGTACATCAAAATTGCCCATTTTGATGTAACGTGATTCACGGTCTACGGTGAAATCACCAGGGAACTCCACCATTTCACCAAGCTTCTTTGGGTCGATTGCCTGCAAAGGGCAGGAGATTCAAGCGTTAAACCTCCTACCTTTCTGGCAATATCGGGTAGGGTACATGCACATGTGTGTACAGTATGTGTATATATATATAATATATATATATATTACAGAGGTAGATAGAAAAACATACTAGATGCAATTTTGATTAGAATTGCAACTGAAAGTAAGCAGCTTGCCTATATATAATATATATGGTATGGTTGTGTGCAGTGTGCAATGCAATGGAATGTACTGCTGCGATGCATGTGATATATGTGATTGTACTGTCTGCAATGCATGTAGTGAATGTTGTTTCAGCGTATTCCTGGTATGTCCGGTCTGTCTGTTCTGTTCATTTCTGTTCTGCTCCGTTTTATCCGTCTATGTGTGATTAAATTTCACGAGGTCTTGAAGTTTTTGATTTCTTAGGGTCTTTTGGGTACCAAAGTTAAAATGCATTATTTCGTACAACCTACGCGCAGAAAGGTCGCGAGCAAAGAAACTATTGTGTTGTTCTGAAGCAGATTAGACTCTGAAACTGGACCGTCCGCGTGGCGGGCAATTCATCTAAATCAAAAGCAACGGAGGAGATTCCTATGGCAAAATCTATCCAAATCTTACAGTAGATACCATTATATCAAGATCTAATCAATATATGTACAAGTTTTAGTTACCATAGTCTAGCTTGATTTGGCAAGCCAACGGCATCTTTTCTTTTTTTAGCTGGTCTAGCAAGAAAACCCTTATGGCCAGCGAAAACAAACATTACCGGTTGGTGGTTGCAACCCGTCTAGATGCTAGTCATTGGGGATAATCTTCCCAAATATCTATTTTTCGAACTCAACAAATTATAAAACATGTGGTGTTGGATTTATATATATATATATATATATATATATCCGCCGACCCCGGCCTTCGCCAAGGCCGGGGCGGCGCCTGGGACCACCGCAGGTGTGGAACTTTTCCGCGCGGGCTTTAAGTGTGCGCGGCAGCTTCCACCAAGCCTGGCCGTCAGCCTTTGCTGCTCCAGGGTTGCAGCCTGGCCCTTTGCCTGCACATCCCTCGCGGCAGCTTCCACCAAGCTCCTGGCCGTCAGCGTTCCAGCATTGCAGCCTGCCCTTTGCCTGCGCATAGCCCTCTCTTGTTAGGGCATTCGAGCCTACCGTTTGCCAGGCTTCAAACGCATAAAATGCCTCAAACCCTCCTTTGCCTGCACATAGCCCTCTCTCGTTAGGGCATTCGAGCCTGCCGTTTGCCAGCCTTCAAACCCTTAAAACCCCTCAAACCCTCCGCGGCAGCTTCCACCAAGGCCTCTGGCCGTCAGCCTTTGCTGTTCCAGGGTTGCAGCCTGCCCTTTGCCTGCACATCCCTCGCGGCAGCTTCTACCAAGCTCCTTGGCGGTCAGCGTTCCAGCATTGCAGCCTGCCCTTTGCCTGCACTTAGCCCTCTCTTGTTCGGCATTCGAGCCTGCCGTTTGCCAGCTTCTACCAAGCTCCTGGCCGTCAGCGTTCCAGCATTGCAGCCTGCCCTTTGCCTGCACATAGCCCTCTCTTGTTAGGGCATTCGAGCCTGCCGTTTGCCAGGCTTCAAACGCTTAAAACCCTTAGAACCCTCCTTTGCCTGCACATAGCCCTCTCTCGTTAGGGCATTCGAGCCTGCCGTTTGCCAGGCTTCAAACGCTTCAAACCCTTAAAACCCTCCTTTGCCTGCACATAGCCCTCTCTCGTTAGGGCATTCGAGCCTGCCGTTTGCCAGGCTTCAAACGCTTAAAACCCTTAAAACCCTCCTTTGCCTGCACAGGCTTCTTATAGGCGTTCAAGGCTGCCGTTTGCCAGGCCTCAAACCCTCCCATACCCTCCAAAACCCTCCAAACCCTCCAAGAGTCCGGCCAGCTCCGCAGGGAAAAGGTCCCCAACAAGCCCAACACGCGCCACTCCCGCACGCAAAAGCCACCACAAGGCCACAGCAATGGCTCAACTCCCGCACGCAAAAGCCACCACAAGGCCACAGCAATGGCTCAAGAGCACCACACTTCCGCAGCAATGGCTTCTTATAGGCGTTCAAGGCTGCCGTTTGCCAGGCCTCAAACCCTCCATACCCTCCAAAACCCTCCAAACCATCCAAAAGTCCGGCCAGCTCCGCAGGGAAAAGGTACCCCAACAAGCCCAACACGCGCCACTCCCGCACGCAAAAGCCACCACAAGGCCACAGCAATGGCTCAAGAGCACCACACGGCCGCAGCAATGGCTTCTTTCTCTCGCACGCAAAAGTCACCACAAGGCCACAGCAATGGCTCAAGAGCACCCCACGGCCGCAGCAATGGCTTCTTATAGGCGTTCAAGGCTGCCGTTTGCCAGGCCTCAAACCCTCCATACCCTCCAAAACCCTCCAAACCCTCCAAAAGTCCGGCCAGCTCCGCAAGGAAAAGGTACCCCAACAAGCCCAACACGCGCCACTCTCGCACGCAAAAGCCACCACAAGGCCACAGCAATGGCTCAAGGGCACCCCACGGCCGCAGCAATGGCTTCTTATACGCGTTCAAGGCTGCCGTTTGCCAGGCCTCAAACCCTCCAAAACCCTCCAAAACCCTCCAAACCCTCCAAAAGTCCGGCCAGCTCCGCAGGGAAAAGGTACCCCAACAAGCCCAACACGCGCCACTACGCAAAAGCCACCACAAGGCCACAGCAATGGCTCAAGAGCACCACACGGCCGCAGCAATGGCTTCTTTTATAGGCGTTCAACGCTGCCGTTTGCCAGGCCTCAAACCCTCCAAACCTTCCGCCCAACATGCGCCACTCTCGCATGCAAAAGTCACCACAAGGCCACAGCAATGGCTCAAGAGCACCCCACGGCCGCAGCAATTGCTTCTTATAGGCGTTCAAGGCTGCCGTTTGCCAGGCCTCAAACCCTCCAAACCCTCCCCTGCAGCTCCCAGGCGCCAGACCTTTCCTGCAGCTCCAACAAGTCCCTGAGGCCCTGGCAGTGTCCTTTTAAGGACGTTCAAGGCTGCCGCTTGCCAGCCCGCAAAACTCGCCAAACCCTCCCCTGCAGCTCCCAGGCGCCACTCAGGCCGCGGCAGACCTTTCCTGCAGCTCCAACAAGTCCCTGAGGCCCTGGCAGCGTCTTTTTATGGACGGTCAAGGCTGCCGTTTGCCAGCCCGCAAAACTCCCCAAACCCTCTCTGCAGCTCCCAGGCGCCACTCAGGCCGCGGCAGACCTTTCCTGCAGCTCCAACAAGTCCCTGAGGCCGTGGCAGCGTCTTTTTATGGACGTTCAAGGCTGCCGTTTGCCAGCCCGCAATACAAACCCTCCCCTGCAGCTCCCAGGCGCCACTCAGGCCGCAGCAGACCTTTCCTGCTCCCAGGCGCCACTCAGGCCGCGGCAGACCTTTCCTGCAGCTCCAACAAGTCCCTGAGGCCCTGGCAGTGTCCTTTTAAGGACGTTCAAGGCTGCCGTTTGCCAGCCCACAAAACTCGCCAAACGCTCCCCTGCAGCTCCCAGGCGCCACTCCGGCCACGGCAGACCTTTCCTGCAGCTCCAACAAGTCCCTGAGGCCCTGGCAGTGTCCTTTTAAGGACGTTCAAGGCTGCCGCTTGCCAGGCCGCAAAACTCGCCAAACCCTTCCCTGCACCTCCCAGGCGCCACTCACCCTGCAGCTCCCAACTCAGGCCGCGGCAGACCTTTCCTGCAGCTCCAACAAGTCCCTGAGGCCCTGGCAGTGTCCTTTTAAGGACGTTCAAGGCTGCCGTTTGCCAGCCCGCAAAACTCGCCAAACGCTCCCCTGCAGCTCCCAGGCGCCACTCAGGCCGCGGCAGACCTTTCCTGCAGCTCCAACAAGTCCCTGAGGCCCTGGCTGTGTCCTTTTCAGGACGTTCAAGGCTGCTCCAAACCCTCCCCTGCAGCTCCCAGGTGCCACTCAGGCCGCGGCAGACCTTTCCTGCAGCTCCAACAACTCCTGAGGCCGTGGCAGTGTCCTTTTAAGGAGGTTCAAGGCTGCCGTTTGCCAGCCCGCAAAACTCGCCAAACCCTCCCCTGCAGCTCCCAGGCGCCACTCCGGCCGCGGCAGACCTTTCCTGCAGCTCCAACAAGTCCCTGAGGCCTGAGGCCCTGGCAGTGTCCTTTTAAGGACGTTCAAGGCTGCCGCTTGCCAGCCCGCAAAACTCGCCAAACCCTCCCGTGCAGCTCCCAGGCGCCACTCAGGACGCGGCAGACCTTTCCTGAAGCTCCAACAAGTCCCTGAGGCCCTGGCAGCGTCTTTTTATGGACGTTCAAGGCTGCTGTTTGCCAGCCCGCAAAACTCCCCAAACCCTCCCCTGCAGCTCCCAACTCAGGCCGCGGCAGACCTTTCCTGCAGCTCCAACAAGTTCCTGAGGCCCTGGCAGTGTCCTTTTAAGGATGTTCAAGGCTGCCGTTTGCCAGCCCGCAAAACTCGCCAAACGCTCCCCTGCAGCTCCCAGGCGCCACTCAGGCCGCGGCACTCCCAGGCGCCACTCAGGCCGCGGCAGACCTTTCCCGCAGCTCCAACAAGTTCCTGAGGCCCTGGCAGTGTCCTTTTAAGGATGTTCAAGGCTGCCGTTTGCCAGCCCGCAAAACTTGCCAAACGCCTCCCCTGCAGCTCCCAGGCGCCACTCAGGCCGCTGCACTCCCAGGCGCCACTCATGGGCCCGCGCAGAACCTTCCTGCAGCTCCAACAGTCCCCGAGGCCCTTGTCATTGTCCCTTTTAAGGACGTTCAAGGCTGCCGTTTGCCAGCCCTGCAAAACTTCGCCAACGTCCCCTTCAGCTCCGCAGGCGCCACTCATAAGGTCCTCGGCACTCCCAGGCGCCACTCAGGGGCCGCTGCAGACCTTTCCTGAAGCTCCAACAAGTCCCGCCTGTGCCTCGTCCCCCGGGTTTCCTTTTATGACTTCATGCTGCCGTTTGCCAGCCCGCAAACTCGCTTCGCCAAACCCTCCCCCCGGTCAGCTCCCCGCGGGCCACTCAGGCCGCGGCACTCTCCAGCGCCCCTCGGCCGCGGCAGACCTTTCCTGCAGCTCCAACAAGTCCCTGAGGACCTGGCAGTGTCCTTTTAAGGACGTTCAAGGCTGCCGTTTGCCAGCCCGCAAAACTCGCCAAACCCTCCCCTGCAGCTCCCAGGCGCCACTCAGCCGCGGCAGACCTTTCCTGCAGCTCCAACAAGTCCCTGCTTAGGTTCTGCTTTGAAGTTGCGGAAGTTATAACGTATGTTATAATTATGTTATAACAAAGTTGCACAAGTTATAAAAAGTAGCTTTCCAAAGTCATTTTGAAGTTATTTTTTGTGTTTTTGAAGGTTTACTTTTATACAAGAAAGTGTAACCCAAAAACTTCTAAGTTTGAGCTGCAGCGAAATCCGGCGAAAGATTTTTCAATGAAAGCTATACAGAGATATCGAAAAGAAAGCAATGTATAAATTTTCAACTGGTCTGTTGCCATGGTGCCCTCAAGTTGGATATACGGTTGGTATACGGTCCAACTCCTTTCTGGTATACGGTTGGTATACGGTTGGTATACGGTCCAATTCCTGTTTTGGTATACGGTTGGTATACGGTGGTCCTTCTTTGGTATACGCCTTTCACTTCTCTACTTAGACTTGGTATGCGGTCCAATTCCTGTTTGGTATACGGCCGGTATACGGTGGTATACGGTCCAATTCCTGTTTTGGTATACGGCCGGTATACGGTGGTATACGGGTAGACTCTTTGCAGTGCCATATTTTCATTTTAAAATTGTTTATCTAAAGCGGATGACCCGCTCCAAAAAGCAACGCAAAAGCTGAATCTACTTCAGCGGATCATCCTCTCCAAAATCTTGCAAACAGCGCCTCTGTTCTTTTTGAAAATGATTAGGCATAAAAACAAGCCTAATCGAAGTTACGTTTCAAGTTTTGAAACAAGTGGTTGAAGTTACCACATAAGATATATCTAAGTTAGTAACAGGAAGTTAGTAACTTCATGTTATAACTTCCATAACATAGGTTATAACCTATGTTATAGAGGTTATAACCTATGTTATAACGTATGTTATAACTTCCGCAACTTCAAAGCAGAACCTAAGTGAGGCCGTGGCAGTGTCCTTTTAAGGAGGTTCAAGGCTGCCGTTTGCCAGCCCGCAAAACTCGCCAAACCCTCCCCTGCAGCTCCCAGGCGCCACCCAGGCCGCGGCAGACTATTCCTGCAGGGCCGCGGCAGACCTTTCCTGCAGCTCCAACAAGTCCCTGACGCCACTCAGGCCGCGGCACTCCCAGGCGCCACTCAGGCCGCGGCAGACCTTTCCCGCAGCTCCAACAAGTTCCTGAGGCCCTGGCAGTGTCCTTTTAAGGATGTTCAAGGCTGCCGTTTGCCAGCCCGCAAAACTCGCCAAACGCTCCCCTGCAGCTCCCAGGCGCCACTCAGGCCGCGGCAGACCTTTCCTGCAGCTCCAACAAGTCCCTGAGGCCCTGGCAGTGTCCTTTTAAGGACGTTCAAGGCTGCCGTTTGCCAGCCCGCAAAACTCGCCAAACGCTGCCTTGCAGCTCCCAGGCGCCACTCCGGCCGCGGCAGACCTTTCCTGCAGCTCCAACAAGTCCCCTGAGGCCCTGGCAGTGTCCTTTTAAGGACGTTCAAGGCTGCTGCTTGCCAGCCCGCAAAACTCGCCAAACCCTTCCCTGCAGCTCCCAGGCGCCACTCACCCTGCAGCTCCCAACTCAGGCCGCGGCAGACCTTTCCTGCAGCTCCAACAAGTCCCTGAGGCCCTGGCAGTGTCCTTTTAAGGACGTTCAAGGCTGCCGTTTGCCAGCCCGCAAAACTCGCCAAACGCTCCCCTGCAGCTCCCAGGCGCCACTCAGGCCGCGGCAGACCTTTCCTGCAGCTCCAACAAGTCCCTGAGGCTCTGGCAGTGTCCTTTTCAGGACGTTCAAGGCTGCTCCAAACCCTCCCCTGCAGCTCCCAGGTGCCACTCAGGCCGCGGCAGACCTTTCCTGCAGCTCCAACAACTCCTGAGGCCGTGGCAGTGTCCTTTTAAGGAGGTTCAAGGCTGCCGTTTGCCAGCCCGCAAAACTCGCCAAACCCTCCCCTGCAGCTCCCAGGCGCCACTCCGGCCGCGGCAGACCCCCTGAGGCCCTGGCAGTGTCCTTTTAAGGACGTTCAAGGCTGCCGCTTGCCAGCCCGCAAAACTCGCCAAACCCTCCCCTGCAGCTCCCAGGCGCCACTCAGGCCGCGGCAGACCTTTCCTGAAGCTCCAACAAGTCCCTGAGGCACTGGCAGCGTCTTTTTATGGACGTTCAAGGCTGCTGTTTGCCAGCCCGCAAAACTCCCCAAACCCTCCCCTGCAGCTCCCAACTCAGGCCGCGGCAGACCTTTCCTGCAGCTCCAACAAGTTCCTGAGGCCCTGGCAGTGTCCTTTTAAGGATGTTCAAGGCTGCCGTTTGCCAGCCCGCAAAACTCGCCAAACGCTCCCCTGCAGCTCCCAGGCGCCACTCAGGCCGCGGCACTCCCAGGCGCCACTCAGGCCGCGGCAGACCTTTCCTGCAGCTCCAACAAGTCCCTGAGGCCGTGGCAGTGTCCTTTTAAGGACGTTCAAGGCTGCCGTTTGCCAGCCTTCAAAACTCCTCAAACCCTCCCCTGCAGCTCCCAGGCGCCACTCAGGCCGCGGCAGACCTTTCCTGCAGCTCCAACAAGTCCCTGAGGCCCTGGCAGTGTCCTTTTAAGGATGTTCAAGGCTGCCGTTTGCCAGCCCTCAAAACTCCCCAAACCCTCCCCTGCAGCTCCCAGGCGCCACTCAGGCCGCGGCACTCCCAGGCGCCACTCAGGCCGCGGCAGACCTTTCCTGCAGCTCCAACAAGTCCCTGAGGACCTGGCAGTGTCCTTTTAAGGACGTTCAAGGCTGCCGTTTGCCAGCCCGCAAAACTCGCCAAACCCTCCCCTGCAGCTCCCAGGCGCCACTCAGCCGCGGCACTCCCAGGCCCCACTCAGGCCGCGGCAGACCTTTCCTGCAGCTCCAACAAGCCCTGAGGCCGTGGCAGTTGTCCTTTTAAGGAGGTTCAAAGGCTGCCGTTTGCCAGCCCGCAAAAAATTCGCCAAACCCTCCCCTTGCAGCTCCCAGGCGGGCACTCAGGCCGCGGGCAGATATCCTGCAGGGGCCGCGGCAAGGACCTTTCCTGCGGCTCCAACAAGTCCCGAGGCCTTGGCAGTGTCTTTTTACGACGTTCAAGGCTGCCGTTTTGCCAGCCCGCCAAAACTCTCAAACCCTCCCCTGCAGCTCCCAGGCGCCACTCAGGCCGCGGCAGACCTTTCCTGCAGCTCCAACAAGTCCCTGAGGCCGTGGCAGTGTCCTTTTAAGGAGGTTCAAGGCTGCCGTTTGCCAGCCCGCAAAACTCGCCAAACCCTCCCCTGCAGCTCCCAGGCGCCACTCAGGCCGCGGCAGACTATTCCTGCAGGGCCGCGGCAGACCTTTCCTGCAGCTCCAACAAGTCCCTGAGGCCCTGGCAGTGTCCTTTTAACGACGTTCAAGGCTGCCGTTTGCCAGCCCGCAAAACTCGCCAAACCCTCCCCTGCAGCTCCCAGGCGCCACTCAGGCCGCGGCAGACCTTAAAACCCTTAAAATGCTCCGTTGCCAGCCTTCAAACCCTTAAAACCCTTCAAACCCTTAAAACCCGTAAAATGCTCCGAATCCCTCGCGGCAGCTTCCACCAAGCCCTCCTGTAAGCCTTTGCTGTTCCAGCGTTGCAGCCTGCCGTTTGCCTGCATAGCCTGCAGCGTGCTGTTTGCCTGCACATGCCTCTCTGTTGTTAGGGCGTTCAAGCCTGCCGTTTGCCAGCCTTCAAACCCTTAAAACCCTTAAAACTCTTAAAACCCTTAAAATGCTCCGAATCCCTCGCGGCAGCTTCCACCAAGCCATGCTGTAAGCCTTCTTCAAACCCTTAAAACCATTCAAACCCCTAAAATGCTCCGAATCCCTCGCGGCAGCTTTGACCAAGCCCTCCTGTGAGCCTTTGCTGTTCCAGCGTTGCAGCCTGCGGTTTGCCTGCACATGCCCTCTGTTGTTAGGGCGTTCAAGCCTGCCGTTTGCCAGCCTTCAAACGCTTAAAACCCCTAAAACCTTTAAAACAGCGTTGCGGCCTGCCGTTTGCCTGCATAGCCTGCAGCCTGCTGTTTGCCTGCACATGCCTCTCTGTTGTTAGGGCGTTCAAGCCTGCCGTTTGCCAGCCTTCAAAAGCTCAAAACCCTTAAAACCATTCCAACCCCTAAAATGCTCCGAATCCCTCGCGGCAGCTTCCACCAAGCCCTCCTGTAAGCCTTTGCTGTTCCAGCGTTGCAGCCTGCCGTTTGCCTGCGTTTTCTTGCATCGCCCTCTGTTGTTAGGGCGTCCATGCCTACGCCGCCTCGCGGCAGCCTCCACCAAGCCCTCTGGCCGTAAGCCCTTGCTGTTCCAGCGTTGCAGCCTGCCGTTTGCCTGCGCATAGCCCTCTGTTGTTAGCGCGTTCAAGCCTGCCGTTTGCCAGCCTTCAAACCCTTAAACCCTTTAAAACTCTTCAAACCCCTAAGACCCTCCAAATCCCTCGCGGCAGCTTCCACTAAGCCCTCTGGCCGTAAGCCTTTGCTGTTCCAGCGTTGCAGCCTGCAGTTTGCCTGCGTTTGCCTGCATAGCCCTCTGTTGTTATGGCGTTCAAGCCTGCCGTTTGCCAGCCTTCAAACCGTTATTCAAACCCTTAAAACCCCTAAAGCCCTCCAAATCCCTCGCGGCAGCTTCCACCAAGCCCTCTCTCTCTCTCTCCCTCCCTCTCTCTCCCTTTCTCTACAGCACTCCCCAAATAGGGGGGGTCGGCGGCACCAGGGCGCTAGCCCATTCTATATATATATATATTATACATATTCATACATTATTATACCCATTACATCCCCATGTCCCACTCTGAAAAATGGTTACTATCCACCCTAGGTTTACCAAACTCCATCGACTCCATCCCCACCCGCAAAGTTGATCTCCACGGTAAAGCGGGACACTTCCTGACCGCCTTGGGGCGCTGGCAGGGCGCTTGGAAGGGTCAAAGTTGAGGCCTATTTTCAGGCTCGAAATATACCAGGTCTTGATTTCTATAAAAGGATACCTGTACATTTCTATAAAGGATACCTGTACCAGCAGAAAAAGTAACAATGAGTTGCAAAAAGGGATGATGGATTCAAATGGGGATGGGTCAATACCTATTAATACCATTTTTAGGGGGATGAACATCCATATTAACCCAGCTATGACTTGGGGTTCACTAGGTACCAGGGTTTTGACCCATCCCCAAATGACGAGCATATTTTTGGGATGGGTTAAAACCACCGAGCTCGTCTCCGGTCTCGTCTCCATGGCTGGGAAATCACCGAGCCATGGATGCTCTCGTTGAAAATCGTTGGTCACTAAATTGGACGATTTCCAAACTAGCCATGCTTTGATTATCATATCATAATATATGGTTGGTTGTAAAATGCTATGTATCCCCTATGCAGGTTGCAATGGGAAATTGATCGAACTCAATGGTGGGATTTCGCACCCCATGTGAGACCTTGCGGCTTCAGCTTCTGTCGAAGGAAAATGGGGGCATTTGATGAAAGAATTGAGATGTCACTTATCAAAAATCCAAAAATTCTAATGTTCATATAAAATGAGGTGCGACATGAACATATCAGAATCTAATCCAGAACAAATGTTCATCATTGATTCATCATTGATCTAATCCAAAAATAACATGACATATCAGATCTGACAGATCTGGTGGTTGAGTCACCAAGCTGAAACACTCAGCTGAATTCAGATGGTCATCCAGCCAGCTGGGACCCTGGGACCCTGGGATGGAAGGTAAACATGGGTTGAAGAAATCAGCCAGTCTGCTGGCTGAAATTCCATATTTCATGATCGATTGAGTGGATGGATATGTACTACAACATTTATCATAAATGTTCAATCACTGGCCAGTGCAGAGTTTGTTCTAGAATGTTCAATCTAGATATGGAGCTGTGCCTTGTTCCAATTTTGGCTCTTGTGTCTTGGGGGACTTGCAATTTTGCTGAATTCAAATGATGTTACACCAGTTCCGTATAAAAGGCAAAGGCCCGGATCTAACAAAATATCGACAAAAAATCCGTGTTGACCATAAACCTTCAAAAAGTCATCCCCAAAGTTTCTGGGTTCCCCTCATCCACCTTGCATGGCGAACTAAATTAACCTATGACCTGCCGGGGTTTTCAGCTGAGGCACGTAAGGCTTGTTCCAAGGATTTCTTCATGGCTGATTTGAAATTCTCCTTAGTCGAGCGAACTGAGCCTGTGCGCTTCCTAAATGCTACCCCACCTGGGGTCTAGGAGTTTTATTTCAGTGAAGCACTTGACAACTTGATGGTCCATCTATCCAACTAGAAAAAAAGTGTGTAGCAGCAGCTCCGTGATTTGAATGTTTTTACACTTATGGGGATTTACTCAACAAATGGGATGTAATGGGATATATACTGGTTGGTGGTTTCAACCCCTCTTAAAAATTTTAGTAAGTTTGGGTTATATTATTGCCAATATATGGGAAATAAAAAAGTGTTCCAAACCACCAACCAGTATAGATATATATATATAATGGGATATAATGGGATATACAGATATATGCATACATAACAAAAAATGTGATGCCGCTTCGTCTCAAAAGGGGCGAGATCCTACCCCAATTGTGAGACATACTCATGGGGATCAGCACTGGCAAACATGAAATCGAAAGAAAGTGATGATTTTTTTGGCACCATTCAGGACTAACACTTGCATTCCATTTCACTGATTCATGGGGAATCTCAATATCCATGTAATTTGTGATAAATCCCATGGAAATCCCATGGCATTTATGGATTCCATGGAAATCATGTGGCTATCGGAATTCACCACCCATCCGCAGCGTTCCAGCTATATGCACCGAAAAACAAACACCTTTTTATCACCAAAAAAATCCACCAAGTTTACTCACCCACCAAAAAAATCATCATTCCACCACTATCACCTTTTACTGCAGGTAACTTACTTATCAACAGAAAAACACCATTTCGCCACCATTTCACCATCTCGCATTGTTCGAAACCCGCAACTTCATTCCATAAAATATTGGTTGGTTCAGAACAGGATTTCGATAACTGATGATGCTAATTTTCCGAATTGATTGGACCGTGTACTTGGCGTTTTACCCCAGATAAGAAATGGGTTATAACCCCAGTTTCCTGGTAGTTATGGAAAATCACCATTTTCAATCGGAAAATCATCACACCATAGCAAACTGTAAACAAATAACTGGAGGGCAACATCCACTTTTACCATTTTCACTGCTTAAATCCAAAATGAAGTCACCCCGACTGTGGAAAAACCAACACCCCAAACATCAGAAAATATGTGATGGCGGGTAATTTTTTTAACAATCCCCCAGGTTTATGTCAGTTTATTCGAATTTATGAAAGTTCTGGGGTTTACCACGGGTTTATACCACATCAAAATAACTATGGATTGAGTACCTCCCCAAAAAGGCGCCGAGAAACGGCCACGAACTTGCCCATCTCCTGACCCGAGGCTTGGCCCGAAGAGAAGCCCGTGATCTTCCTGAACCGACACGAGATGGAGAATGAAAGAATGATGTATGTAGATCATAATATGATTATAAATTATATGTTTCAAATAGTAATATTATAATGTAAAACATCCATACTAGGATAATAGTATAATTATGGTTCTTAGAAATAGTTTTACATTAATAATGATGTATTATTAATATTAGATATAGATGTTTGATATTAAAAACATCATATATTAATGCATCATCGTTGATATAATGGTGATGATCATATTAGATATAGACAATATTAATAATGATGTATGAATAGACTATCAGATATAAATGATTTATTTAGAGGTGGGGCATCTTGAGGGCGCAGCTGTTTTCCGCCGGCCGCCGGACAGGTTTCTGGCTGATTCCGCCGTCCGCCGGCCGGTAGTTTTGGCTGATTCCGCCGGCCGCCGGATGGGGACGTGGCTGATTCCGCCGGCCGCCGACTCCGACAGGTGGTTTGGGGCATCACTGGCTGATTCCGCCGGCCGCCGCGCTGGCTGGCTGGCTGGCTGGCTGATTCCGCCGGTTGTTGGAGTTGGCTGGCTGATTCCGCCGGCCGCCGCGCTGGCTGGCTGGGTGGGTGGCTGGCTGGCTGGCTGCCTGACTGATTCCGCCGGTTGTTGGCTGATGGCTGTGGTGTGGGGCATGGCTGGCTGATTCCGCCATCCGCCGCGCTGGCTGGCTGGCTGGCTGGCTGATTCCGCCGGTTGTCGGGGTTGGTGCGAGAGGGGCCATGTGTCGGGTATGGGTGGCTGATTCCGCCGGCCGCCGGCTTTGCTGGCTGGCTGGCTGATGCCGCCGGTTGGCGGGGTTGGCTTAGCTGATTCCGCCTTCACATCCTATTAGGCTAGACATCCCTGCGCAAGTCTTCCGGTGGATGTCTTGATGGCCATGGTATCTCCTAGTCTGCGTCTCAGCCGCAAGGTCGGGTCACTTTTGTCTGCGACTGAGATGGTGATAGGATAATGGCTCTACCGTCCTCAAGCTGCTTGAATCTACGGTCTGTCGATCTGTTTCGGCAGTGGAACCCTAAAGTATCTACAGCTTTGCAGGGATTGTCATTTTTATCATTTTTTCCCCGAGCAGGGAATCTGTTAGAAGCAGCTCAAATATGCTCAAATGCTTTATACCTCCAATGCCAAAACCTTGCTAGTTAGTGAGTCACCGGGCCATGTCATGAACACCATTTGGTTGGAATCGGTTCATATTGCGCGAAATTCACGAAAAACATGTCTAGCAAAAAGAATTTGCCCTTGAGCACATGAAGGCCCAGCCGCTCGACCCTCTCATGTCTCTGGGTCTGGCACCCATGGCGCGCAATGGCCCGGGTCAGACACCTCCCTGTTGAAGGCATCGTTGGGCAACATGGAGGTCAGCCTTCGGATCCACACAGAACTTGCGCTACGGAAGAGGCTTCAGATCGCCTCGGCAACTCAGTGACCCCCAGAATTCTGTGGCAGACGTTCAATCGGATCCTTATGTTTATGTTTAAAGTTTTGATTTTTAAAGCTAGTTATTGTTTATGTTTAAATTGATGTTCATGACTTTTTGGATTTGTGGCCTGTGGCCGTGTTGATTGTTTCCGGGTGGTTCCAATGTACAAGTACCGGATATGTTCATGATAATTTGTGCTACTTTTTAGCATTATTGATGAGTTGCATGGTATGCGGAAATGGTTCTACAAGCATCATCATCATTTGCATGTCAATTGCTTTTTCACTACTATGGTGATATTCTCATCAAGTTCGTCATGATGCGTTGCAATCATTTTGCAAGGTCATCATCATGCTCAACATGTGAGAAGTTTAGTATGTTTAGGTAAGGACCGCTGGCGTGAAATTTTGGACATGTTGGAAGTTCTCTCATCCTCAACCAACTCGGGCGAAAGCATCGGGGTCTGCGAACTTCCGGTCCACTTGGGCATAACAAGTTCTGTTGGACAAGTTCTGATGATGATGCTGATAATAGATGATGATGATGATGATGAGGAGGAGGACGGTCATCATGATGACGATGATCATGATGATGATGATGGTGTAAACGCCATGCCTGACTGGAATCATGATAGAAACATCGAGACATCGTCATATCAGGCACCTTTCTGCCATGCCAACAACATTGCGTCCATGCTGTCACCCCACGTCTCCCGCCACCGGCGGCCCTGTGCACGCCTGGCGTTCCAAACGCCGTTCCAAATCCCTCTGCGACTCGGCGGCGACGCGGTGCTGCGCCTGGTTCGATTGTTTTCGCTGGGGATCGACATGTGGCATATGGATTTTTAACTTCGGAATCATTCGGATATGGAAAGTTGGAACATGCCTGCGCAAATGCATATTTACATATCCAACCCTATACCCCGTCTGATGCATATATCGTTTTTGTATGCTATATATTGCTGTATGGTCTATCCGTGTCTTGCGACACAGCATACATGAAAGTATTGATTCATACATAGCTAAAGTGAGCCAAATCCACATTCACTTCTTCGCGCAAGATCTTGCAGCAGGTAAATGAGAACGCACAAGATAAGTGGTGTTGAAGTCCTTTAAGTTTTTAGTAGCGCCAAAGGCCATGACCAAACATCATAATTCCAAAGCTTGTTTCAACGGCCCTGGAAACATCTGTAGAGCACCCTCTGCCTCACATGTGTCCAACTCCCTCTGATTGCAGCTCTTTTCGCTGTCAAAGCCTGAGGCAAAACTTGCGATGCCGCAAGAAGCAAACGATTCGGATGGTTTCTGAGGGAACCAGTTCAACCTGTTTCTGGGTTAAACAGAAACATGGCCACACACTCAAAACCCTATATGAGACCATGACAAAACATGACAGACCAACCATGAACGGACAAGGGGATACCTATCAACATCATTTGCCCAAGACTGCTCGTCATTGATGGCGCAAGCCCATCAGCTACCAATCAACGCAGGTGTCTGGACTCATGAGCTTTGCATTGCATCGTACAATGGGTCCCATGGTTTGGGGGTATAGCGGGGTGCATGACATTTTGCCCTGGCCATGGCCACCACCGCCAGCTTGTTTTTTTTCACAAGGGTACCTGGACACTAGGAGTACGTCTGCAAGTACATTGTATATAGATATATATATGTATGTGTGTACCCACATGTCAGTCTGAGCAACGCTTGCAATTATGTAGTTGCATGGTGTTGTCTATTGCTTTTATCTCGGTTTATCCATATAGAAGTAACCAACCAGGCATGAACAACCGGCACACATATCTCTAACCTGTACAAGTGAATTTCCGTTGATGTTAAGGGAACGGTGGTTAATTCCTTCATGCCTCCAAACTGTACGGGTACCCATGACCTGTGATAGTACCAGTGTCAGTGAATCAGTTTGCACTTCGGACCCACAGATTAGATGATCAACGTGCGTTATGGTCGCTAAAACTCAGGGAAAAAAGCGAAACAAATGTACAAGAATGGGTGCATTTTTCCCTTGTAACGTTAACACGAAGAACAAATTTTTCAACAACTCCGCGCAACGCGCTTGGCGGGTTTGGATGTCTGTGGATGCCTGCTCGCTGTGAACCTCATGCAGTATGACACAACCGGTGTAAAGGTGAACTCATCCCATGACGCCAAGGCTCGGTCGTCGAAGTTCCTGGAGTCAGGGTCTTGCTCGGTGAGTTCCTTGGATTAAGTTGACGCTAGAGAAGGCATCTGGCGGTAAACAGTGGCCCGCGGGCACCCTTGGATTCTGGAATTAATGTTCACTTTGATCTCAGATGAAAAACTCAGCGTTCGTTGCAACTGATCGCCCCGCATCATGGGACATCACGTATGCTGCGATGATGGTACGTTTTTTTTTGGGAAGAGCGTTGCGTTGAAACTTTCCTTTTGGAAAATTTGTGCTCTCCGAAGTTCAATACCTGTAAAAACATTACAAGTCAGCACAACATCCCAAAGTTCAACCTCACCTAAAAGGCATGTTTAGTCATAGCATAGCATAGCATAGTATAGCATAGCAAAGCATAGCACAGCATGGCATAGCACAGCATAGCGTCGCATAGCATAGCACAAGGAAGAAAACTTTGTGTAGCGGTGCAAGTGGACGGAACCGCAGCCCAAGGGAAAAAACGCTTCACTTTGCGAGTTCGGCTTGGCCTACCTCAGGTCAGTCACCGTTTTACCGATCAAGGCGCGCTATGTGCGCGTGCTTACGAATAGTGGGTTTCTGACTGTCTGACCTTTCTTTATTCTGGGTCTGCGTGCTATCTTTTTACACCTTGCGCCACTTCGTCTCGTGAGGGGTTTGAACCCATTTTGGCTCCTCCTGGCTTCGCCAATTGCTAATCTTCTTGCCTCCAAAATTACATACCACGCAAACTACTTTGCATTGCATAGCTTTGAGGTCGTTCGTGATCATAGCATGGAGCTCTGCGAAGTGGAACGGGCTGAGTTGATCTCGGCATAAATTGATGTACTTGCGGAAGTTTGTCTGAATGCCGTCCTGGTCCAAGCTGCAAGCCCTTTGAAACTTCAGTGTATTAGGCCCTAAGGCTGTGTTCTCCAAATCCACACCATCTCTCCATAAGTTCCATTCGGCAAAAAACCCGGCCATGTGCGGCATCATCAGGTTCCAAGCATACTCAGCAGCAGCTCCAACAACGTCGCTCAGGGTATAACCAGATAAGTCCGTGTTGTACTTTTGCTTGACACCAGTGCGAAGAAAACGCGGAGGCAAAAATCGCTTTGCGGGATAAGGGTTGCAAGAGCGTTTGTACGCACCAAGTAAATGCAAGAGGTCGGAACTTTGCATACCTCTGCACACGCGCTTTGCTAGCCACTTCGCAAATCCCAGGCTGCGCAAGAAGGCAATCAAAAACAAAGTCACTCGCGTGACTGGCCCCTCATCCATGACTCGAATGATGATATGACCACAACGGGTAATTGTGTCTGTGCGTTTGTTGATGGTGTGGATGAAGGAGCCACGCACCGCTTGGTCAAATGTCAGATAATTATCACCCAAGGTTGCTAACGGATTAGCGATGTCCAAGGCGGTTGTCCAGTTGGGTACAAACCGCAAAAGAATCAGTTCGGCCAACACAATGACTGCAAATGGGATTCTCAACTGCTTTGCCATACACAGCGGACCAAGCTGCTCTAGGACTTGCAGAACTTCCACGAAATCGCCATCGCGCAGTTTCTTCGCTGATTGCACTGCAACTTTCAAGTGGGATGGCACTGGTTTATCCGCCGGCAAGGTTTTCAGAGCTTGGATTTTTTCATGGAGCGGAAGTTCTCGGTTGGGCATGGCGCAGCGCAGCCGTTTCCTAATCTCCTCGAAAAAATCTTTCAACAACTCTTTGACCTTCGGAATTCATCTCTTTAAACATAGCTGTGGCTAAAACATATGGATCAAAACATGGGGAAAAATAAACGCACTGTCACGTTGAACTTCAAACATGTTTGAGACCACCAACTAGTCATGAGTTGGTCTGTCATAATTTGCGAATTATTTGTGGACTGACGACATGCGATTGAACTGCTGAAACATAACTGCGCCATTCATGGAAATGGCGAATCACGCCCCCACGGATGATACTTATTTAACACACACTCACCGGGACGAGGGATAAGTGGATTGAACAACCAATATAACAAGAATGATGGCGCTGTTCTCGATT